CCCCCCCCCCCTCTCCCGGCTTGTCTCTCGTCTCCTGCAGCCCGTTTTTGTAATATCGGCTGGGAATTTGGTTTCACTGCGCACACAGCTTCGCCATCTCTCGCGCTCTCTCGCCTTGACATTGGTCAGGCTCTCTTGTCATGTTGGCTTCTGTTGGGAGAACGGCCTGGAGATGAGACAACCCGCGCCGATGCCTGCCGTCCACTGCATTTGCAACAAAGAAAAACGCGATAGCCGTGTCGTTGCAATCAAATCCACCAAAAGTCGTATGACATCCTCGCCTTTGATAGCGGGAGACGCAATCGTTGCCAATGGGCCAATATTCAATCAACGATAAGTGATGTCCCTTATCCGGCTCGTAAATTCAAATGCACCCCTTGTCCTTGGACTCTCTCTCTCTCTATCTTTTATTACATTTTCATATAGTTTATCGCCCGCATCACATGGACCGCCCTTGGGAGTCGGTCGGCATCAACTCGCAACGTGCCACACGGACAACCTCCAGTCCAGTCCCGCTGCTACCCTCTCATCTGGTGGTCGCATCTGGTGGTCGCCGCCCCAAAAACGGAACCATCATCTGATGCCACCGTGCATGTCTCGCACACACGAACGGCCAAACGCTCAAAAGGCAGTCCGGGTGGTGCTGTGTAGGGCCAGGCGACGCCTTGCAAGGTGTGGCGCCCCTCCCCTTTCTCGACCTTCCTGTTCCAGCCAAGGCGACTTTCTGGCAGTCCACCAGACTACGAATATAACCCATCACGTTTTTTTTTCCTTGTGCTTCCTCGCCCACTCAGCCTGTCGTACCCGTTGCGCTGAGCGGGGAGGGGAGGAGGTGTGGGCAAGGGAAAAAGAAAAAAGGCAGGGGGATCCATCGTAATCTTTGATGATCGGCGCGGACTTCTGCCCTCCTCTTCTCTCCCAAGCATGTCATGGGGGGGGGGGGGGGGGGGGGGGGAGGAAGCTCGGGGATAAAATGCGCGACAGCAGCGGGACGGCCGTTTTGCTGCGTTGGGCGGGATGAGGTGCATTTGTTTGCTTGCCCTTATCGACTTTCCTTCTCGAATCTCTATCAAATCAAAAAAACGCAAATGGAACATGCTTTGGCGATGGCCAACGGAGCTAACGGACCGAGATCGTCACTCACCTGCCCAGCCAGGACGAACTTCTTCTCGAATGCCAGCCACAAAAACGCCAAAAGAGCCATCATCTCGCCCCGAGCCTCTCTCTCACTTTTTATATATAAACTTTCCTAGTCCAGAGCCTTGCCGTCTTAGGAAGCCCCCTCACTCTCTGTCGTGTTCTCTCGCTCTTCATTGCTCGCAACGGATTTCGAATCCACCTTCCCCCGCAAGCCCAGCTGCCCTCCTCATCGTCCATCAGGTCAGCATCGTAGATTCGTTTCGTTCAAGTCTTGACCATTTGACATCCCTGGCAACATGGTGAAGGGGGCGGCGCGCGAACACGTCAAAATCGGCAAGGGCCGCTTTTTTCAAACAACCCGAGCTCGTTCGTTCGTTTGTGCGTCGTCCACGTTGGTGGTCAGCGTCGAGGCTAAATGCAAGGCTGTTTGCGGGCCCCAAGGACTGGAATACCTGACCTGGCCTCACCTTGGATGGATAGAAAGAAATAACTAGCTAGACCCTGGATCAATCACAAATCGCGAGCTTGATGCAGCTTCGGCGACTTTTTTTTCCCTCATTCTCCCCCAGCCCAAACGTTACCGGCAAGGGGAAACCCGCCGGCAAGCTGCGGCTCTCTCCATCAGCGTCGAATTAGGCCCCAAAACCCGCCTCACCGCGCCGCGCGGCCCGCAGCGAACGAAACGACACCAAAAAAAAAAAACCAACGAGCCCACAATCCATGTTCAAGTGTTTGTGCATCTCCGTGATTATATGTACATCCATGGAGACAGTTCAGCCATCCCTCTGACTGTCCCGACCCAGCCCCGAGAGCCGCGAAAAAAGCGTCCCGCCGCCACGCAATGCGATGCCATGCGGCTCAGCTTACCACAGCGCCGGGTCCCGACAACTCCGCCAGCTGAGAGAGGCCTGCGATGCCATCCATCTCTTTGCCCGCGCTGCCCCTCAAAAACACGTAATACGGGTCAATGTTCACCGACAGGTTTTTTACGCGTAACCTGGAAAAAGCGCCGTCACCACACCCCATCGCTGACGGTCGGTGGTGGATCGTCAAAGGGAGATCGCAGCAGCCTTGTCCGCCCAGAGGGAAGGGTCAGGAAGGCTAGCTGCTTGGCATGATCCTCGATCCGTTTGGCTCGTTCGTTCGTTCGTTCGTTCGTTCGTTCGCCCAGCGGACAATGACAAAAAGAACAATGTATGGATAAAAAGCGAAACTCGTTCACGCCACGCCCCTCCTTCAGCCGAAGCAAAGGCTTTGCCTTGCATATCGCGGCCGTGCCGGGCCCATCGTTAGATTCATCGCTCGGAGGACGCCGAGAAGGGCCATGGCCAAGTTGTTTTTTTTTCTTTGCTTTAAGATGCGAAGCCCAACGCCGGTGCATGCATGATCTCCCCCGTCTATTCGCGGCCCCTTGCCAGGGAAAGACTTGAGACTTGGCCTCGCGTTTTCGTTTTTTCCCTCTCCTCTCAGGTTGACATGTCGGCAACTCGTTCGACTGACGAGAAGCAAAGACACGCCACTTGGGTAGAGGAGGCAAGGCCAAGCAAGACGTCGTTTGGACAACCAGCAGGAGGGCTCGTAGGGGCAAGGCGAATAGCGTCCGCCCATGAGGCGTTGCGCCGCATGTTCGAGACGGCGAGACATCGGGGGATCAGGGCACGGCCTTGCCCACGAAGCACGCGGATGGAACGAGCTTGGGATACGTGTTGTGCAGCCCTGTACAACGTCACGGCTGTATACTCGGCATGGTGCTGTCCTTTTCCAGAGTACTGTTTCGAGTTGACATGCGCACAATTTCATCAAGTCTCTCTACTTGGTGTTGGATATATATCAACTGAGTTGTGAGCCGGGTGAGCAGCATTCCTCTAGCTTTACCTTGCCAGGAAATGACGACTATGCTTCGACTCATCCTTGGTCGGGTGATTTGTAGTGAAATATGTCCCCGTCTCTCTTGGCGGCCAACTAAAGTTCCCATCATTCCATTTGTAGTGTCAGTTCGTCTGCGTCTTTTTACAACACCCTTCCAAACTCCAACTCTTCCACAACCCATTGCCCGGTCTACAATTGCAGATTTACGTTGATTTGTCACAGCTTCTAGGTTTCTCAACTTGGGCAATTAATGTCAAAGTAGTCTTCAATAACTATCAATGCGGAATTGCACCGTGTATACCGCAGTCGTAATGGTAAACAAACTCGTGTCCTTGCCATGTTGAATGAATCGTCCCGTCTCCGCCCCTACTTGTCTTGCCCCCAAAAAAGTCTTTCGCATGAATTCAATGTACGCCGTTGCTCCTTGTGGTATGTGGAATAAAACAATGTAGATGACAAAACCGCTCAACGTGGCCACAAAGTAGCTTGGGTAGCGTTGCTTGTAGCCCATGCAAGCACGCGAGAAAGAAAAGAAGCCGCCGGTATGAAGGAAAACGCCCAAGAGCAGATCATGTCTTGCGTGGCGTGAGTGCAAAGCTTCGCCGGAAACATGCCAGTGGAAACCTCATACATGTCCAGTAGATGAGGCATTACAAAGCAAACGCGGTGGGCAGTGGAATGTCGCTTTGCCCGTCAATAGCATCTTCGAGCGCATTATTCGCTTCCCCATGTCAACTCGCGCAAGGGCATCTCTTTGCCCGAGGCGGCACGCGTGCCATCTTGCTCATGCTTGCATGCCCAGTACTCTCCGAGACGCAGCTCCGCGTAAGAAGCATAGTCGAAATCAATCTTGGAGATGGTGGCCTGAATGGACGACCAGATACCCCAGTAGAAGCCAGGGACACCACGGAAATCGTCCACATCCTGCATCATTTTGGCCGTCTCGCGTTCAATGTCGAGATCCTGTCCCGAGAGCTCTACGTACGTCTCAATGTATTCACGCACAAAGGTTAGACGCTGGCTTCGACGGGGGATGACGGCATAGTCGCAGTCGTAACCGGCCCACTCAGCAAAGTGGTTGGCGATGTCGAAAGCGGCAGGAGAGGGCGTGCCGTACTCGTAGTCAATGAAGCTGACAGAAAAAGGCTTGTCGTCATCGTTGTGCATAATGACGTTGGCGCACAGCAGGTCGCAATGGGCAAATACAAGCTACTCCAGGGTTAGTTGTCAGTGTACACGGGGGCAAACACGTGGTGCGGCAAACGTACTCCGTTTTGCCCGAAGCCTGGGCGTTGGCTGAGCTGTTTGACGACAAGCTCCAACTCTGTTTGCAACTTGACCTGACGTTCGCGCTCGGCCTCGGTGCCGACGGGCAGAGCGAGGATCCATTTCTGGATGGTTGACCACAGGTTGGGAATAGGCTTTCCGGGGGCCGCGTTGGCAATCTTGGCCTTGTTGCTGCTGCCAGTCAGGTCAATGTTGGTGGTCGAGTTTCTAGCATCGGGCAAGCATGGAACTGTGGCATGCCATTGCGCCAAACGACGGGCGATGGCTTTGCTGAGGACGGGATCGGGAAGGTCCTTGGGCTGTGCAACGCCACCGGGGACGAAGCGGTAAAGCATGCCGTTGGCGAAGCGGGCAAGAAGGGCGGGTGCGAGGTTGTACTTCATGAGCAGCTCGTGATTGGCGGCCTCACGCTCGCGATCGATGAGAATGTCGGTGCCGTTGCCGTAGGCGCGGAGGAGGATCGCCTCGCGGTCAATCTCGGCCGCGGACATGCCTGGACGGCGGTTGATGGCCTTGAGGAGGGTGTTTGTGATGCCGTCGGTGAAGCGGACAAACTCGACATGGTCGTCGTTCGCCCAGTGAGGCGCAATGGTGTGGATGAGCTTAAGGGCGGAGGCCTGGGAGTCGGAGGGGTCGTAGGTCAAGGGGATGAAGCGCACATGGCCGGGGCCGGTGCTAACGGCGGCGGGAGCCATGTTTTTTGCGAGTGTAGTGAGCGTCCGAGGGAGGAGAAGGAGCCGAGGCGATTCAGGAGAGACTGCGAGCAGGAGTGAAAATTCGGAAGGAAGGGGCGGCAAGCGAGGCACAGGTCGCTGGCTTGTCGTAGAGAAAAGGCCGGTGATGGATCTGGGGTAGAGAAATGTCAGTCTGGTGGCCGATCTAAGCGCAAGGAGGACGGAAGAGGGGAATCTTACAGATTGTCAAGATGGATGAAGTTGGCAGAAAGCACGAGACCTGTTGCTGTTTGTAGCTTGGGCAAGTTGTCGAGGGCGGGGAGGGCAGCCAGTGATGAGGCGGCCAGGGACCATGTGAGAGCCGTTGCAGGGGGTCAGTGGCTGAGAGGAACAAGCGGTCGGGCAGGTACGCTAGTTTGCAATCTATCTAGCGGAAGGTTCAAAAAGCAAGGACGGTTGAGGCGAGCTAATGCGTTGGCTTGCGTGGCTTTGGCTTTTGCTTTGGGATGCAGCGGATAGTTTATTTTCGTTTGGTGGCATGGAGGGAGACTTTTTGCGCGACGCCTGTTTGTCTGGAGGGGGGGACAAGGAGGAGCAGACGTGGGAAGAGAGGTACCAGGTACATCGAGTGGCGCTGTCCGCTTGTACTGGCTGGGGTGCCGAGGATGTCGATTTGTTGAGCAGGCACTTTCAATTTGCCCCTAATAAGAGGAGATTTGACGTGTCTGGCTGTAATTATTCAACGAGAATTTATTGCTTCATTTTTTTTTTCTATTTCGGACTGTGCCGCCGCCCTGGGTTGGTGATTACCTAGCATGGCGTCATGAGGCAAACATCTGGCTGGCTCTCTCCGTGCAAGTACGGAGGGGTATCCGTACATCTACCAAATCTGCAAGCGCTTTGAAATGTCTGGCAACAGCCGTTGCTATTGACTGGCCAGGTATTCGTTCATGGCTACAAGGCTGGCATGTGCCCGGGCCAGTGCGTCCCAACGGGTTGGTACTTGCAATCTATGTGTGTACATCGGATAGCCTAGGCAGAGGTACCCAGTACCCTTCACATGGGTGACCTACATACCTGCGTCGAGTCCGCCACCATTTACGCAACCAAGCACGAATTCGATAGATTTGAAACATGCGGGTTACGAGTAATATCTACAAAAAAAAGAGCACTTGATAATTTCAAATTCTCACATCAACACTCATCCTGTAGATTTTACAGACGCGACAGCCTATCAACAACTCTGCAGCCCCCAAATCTGTTCTAGTTGTGTGTTGAGGTAAGGAGACCCCGCAACCCCTGTCCGGGGGCGTCCCTCACGTCGCCGCCTCGTCACAAGGCCTGCATAACAATGACTGCATAAATAGAATTCTTCCGTCACTTGATGTCGTTCACAGGGACTCAGCTTCTGCACGCTTTCGTCTTGTCTCAGAAGCTGCCTCTTCGAGGTTCGACTCCTGTTGTCATACGTGGCAGGCACGCAGGCAGGGAGGCAAATAGTATGCGGCCAAGCAGCATGCAACGCACATGCGGCATCGAGACTGCATAATATCGACAGTGATCGTTGGGAGCCCTGGAGGGGTAATTTTACGTGTTAGTTTGTACCGCCAGCACTACGTCATTTTCTAGGCTATGCCAATTACACAACGTCTATCCGTAGATACTGGTAGCTACCCTATATCATGCACCGAAACTTAGACCAGCCACGCTTCGTCTTGCAGTTGTGTTGTAATGGTAATGATTTTAGCTATCAAAGAATTTGCCCATTGAAGCAGTAACTTTTATGCAGTGTGGCTTACAAATTGCGCGTTGCCAACCCAGAGCGCATGGCGCGTTCTGATAGCTAATAACGGTTGGTGTCACGATACTTATACGATGCAAACGCGCGGGGCATTCTGTAAGCTTAGTTTGACCACCTGTGAACAAGAAATCCAGCAAATATGGCCCCTAGTTATTGAAGAGACCCTCATCTTCGATACGATGAAATCAACACAAAAATGAATTCAATTAGAATAATATTATTATTTTAAAACAAATAAATCATATGTCGTTCGGCCCCGCACCGACTCAGATCCAGCGTCCCCACCGCACCTGACCTCGCGACCCTGCTTCTCCAACCTCGCCCCTCCCCTTCGTTTCTTGCTCCTTCACAACCTGTCGCGATGCACGTCGCGCAGACGTAGCCCGTCCTCCACGCCCACGCCATGTGAAAGCACAATGTCATTTGTCAACCCCGACAACCTCATCGCCGTCGCCCTCGTCATTAATCGCTCGCGCGACGGCCCAGCCTTCGTCTTCCACTACCCGCCTGCCGTCCTCCCCGTCGGCGGCCCCGACGGCGACCACGCTCGCGATGGTGCCGACTCCGAGGACATGCTGCTTGAGCGGCTTTCGCGACCGCTCTTCCGCTCCTCCAATGACCATCCCACTGCCAAGCACGGCCGCGGCGGCAGCAGCAACCGCCACACCGCGTATGACGAGCACGTCATCTCCGACGCCGGCTCCCAGACGGTCCCCTGGGAGAGCGTCGCCGGCTTCCCCACGCGTGATCTTGCCGGTATCCTGACCCCCGCGCGGCCCTACCATAAGAAACTCTTCCAGCTCTCACTCGACCCGCTCCTCTGCGTCTCCTACCCCATCCACGTCCCAGAGAGCGGCAAGTGGAAGCGCGCCAAGAAAAGCAAGTCTGCTGGTCCTGGAGCTGCGACGGGCCGCGCCGCATCAGCCATCGTCGACGACCAAGTCTCGGCCACGGCCACGTCGCGCGCGCCCTCCATTGCCGTCTCCGCGCCGCCCGCCAAACCCGACTCGGACGGCCCGGCCGACACGGACAAAGATAAGGCCAAGGACAAGATCAAGGACAAGGAGAAGGACAAGAAAGAGGAAGATGACGAAAAGAGGAGCTCTATGACTATGTTTAATCTTGTCTTCATCCTGAAGCCTAAAAGGGACGGTACCAGGGAACTAGTAGATGCCCTCTACTCTAACGTTGCGAAAAAGGTCAACAAGGCCTTTAAATACAGCCAACAGCACAGCGACTTTGTGTGGAAGGAGTCTAAGAAGATTCTCGCCACCAAGGACCGCGCGCGCGAAGACAGTATGTCACTAACCTACCTCTTCTCACACGCACATATCGACGGATGTCTAACGGAAATGCAGAGACACGAATGAGCCAGCTATGGAAGGAACTCCTGCAACAATCCTCCCTCGCCGCCTCTGTCCGCGATGTATACGAGGCCATCTCGCAGAACCGCATTGCCACGCTGCATCTAGACACCGCTGCCGGAGTCCTCAGCCCGTCGGTGCAGATCCCAGCGCCGTCCTGCCTCGCCGACCTGCCCGATGAGACCACCCAGCACGGCTGCGGGCGCGGGTGCGGCCTGTGGCTCACCACCGCCAACGCCTTCCTCACCGTGGATGCCCTCGAGGAGCCTGGCTTTCTCGACCGGAACTTCGGCCTGCTTCTCCTCGAGGACGAGAAGAAGATTGTCGCTGAGCTGCAGGCTGACGGTGACCCTGGCGCCCTGCCCATGGTTGAGTTTGTTCGCCTGGCCAAGCCGACGATGAGGTGAGAGCAAAGACGCAAGCCACGGGAACCAAGCCTCTTGGTTGCAACCGCCTCCCCCAACCTGTAGCCCCAATACTTACGCACTGATACAGCTTCTACCAGGTCAGCCAGAGCAACGTCCTCAGCCTCTCCCAGGTCCGCAAGTTCGCCCAGCACTTTATCTTTTGGCGGCGCGCCATCGCCGTGCCCCCGCTTCACGCCCGCGACACCTACGTCGTCTCGCCCAACTGCGACCTCGACCGCCTGCCCGAGGCCTCAGCCGGCTGGCAGCGCGCCTTCCCTCTCGCGCCCCCGCTCGCCAACCTCCTCTCCGACATGTCCGTCTGCCCGCGGCCCTACAAGTCCTTCTGCCCCAGCAAGGTCCACCGCCCGCTCTACCTGCGCATGCTCGCGTGGCTGCTCCGCGGCGGCTGGGTCACGCAGCTCTGCACCTTTGCCTACGTCGTCGTCTGGCCCGAGATCGTCTACCAGGTCGACTACGAGATGGAGGCCGAGGAGCTGGCCGCCGCCGGCGCGCCCACGCCCTCGGCCTCGTCACCGCGCTCTGCAGGCGCCGAGTCGTCCATCTCCCCGCTGTCCACCGCCGCGCCGCCGATATCTCGTCCGCACAACCAGCTCTCCCACTCCCACCACCACCTCGACAATGACGCTGACGCTGACGACGACGATGTCGCCGTAACCTCGCCGATGAGCACCTCCAGCAAAGCCCGCCAGACCAGCATCGCCAGCACCGCCTCCGACACCACCACCTTCGCCAGCGGCTCCCTGCCATCCACCGCCTCCGCCTCCGTCGGCACCGTGCCCGTGCCCGTGCCCGTGCCCGAGCCCGTGCCGCACCCGTCCACCAACCGCAGCCCGCACCTCGCCGGCGTCGCGCCCCGCGTCATCCTCGACGCCAAGCGCGCCACGGGGCCCGAGTCCCGCTACCTCGCCGCCATCGCCGCCCGCCTGCGCGACGACCGCGTCCGCCAGGCCTGGCCCGCCATGTGCCGCTACTTTGACGGCCGCTGCCCCCTCGAGAGGATCGCCCTGCAGGAGGAGATGAAGCGTAAGGAGGCTTGGACGCTCCTCACTGCCATGAGCGAGTACCTCATCTGCACGAGGCATTGGTAGCCGGCTGCGGTAGCAAGGACAGTGTATATAGTGTCATATGACTTGGATTGATAGCGCGCGGCTGCATCGTCGTTAATGAAGCTAGCTAGAGCGGCAGACATATCTGTGGTCATGTTTGTCACGAGTACTTAATATCACATGCCAAATGATTGAGCAAATAGTTCAATTCCCAAATTAAAAAAACTGCACCAGAGGGGAGAAACAGTACAAAATATGAAGAAATAGTCTGTGGTATCTGAAAAAGCAAATATCCTCCACAAAGTGTATCAAAAGCGTCAACGAGTATATCGGATTAAAAGATGCTGAACAAAGTCCACCAAAGAACACTCTACCCTGTGCTGAAAAAAAGAACAGATACACCCCCCTGTATAAAGCTCACTACAGTGTATAACGCGCAGGAATAAAGGAGATAAATGGAAAGGAAAAAGACAAGAGGCGCAGCACCCTTGACTGAGAATGTGAAAGGAAATGAAAACGGGGTAAATCAGGCAACGAGTACATAAGAAGAGGGGAAAAGAACACAAGGAGGTTGAGATCAAAGGGACTCGCTGTGTCCCGTAAAAATCGTGTAGATGCCAAATCTTGCCGTCCGAGAGCCACTGAATCATGGCAATAGAAAGCCAGCTCCATATCGCCATTCCATAGTGTGAAGTCCGAAACGCCAGCAGCGAAGGGAGACGCTAGTAGCGACTCAGCCAACGTTGCCAAGATAAAAGAGCAGAGACGGCACGAAAGCGTCGTGGGCCCGCGACAGAAAACACCGATACGCCAATATCATGCCCCAAAGATATGCTGATGAAAGAAGGACCCTGCGTGCTACTGGTAGAGCGGCCGATGCAGACATTATTCATAGAACGAACAAGTGGTGATGGCCTAGTTCAGGTCCATGTCATACTCATCTTCATGTTTAAAGTTGAGCGGAACATTGCCACTACCGTCATCATGGTCTTCGTGCCAAAACTGAGCGGCGTCTCCCATATCGCCGCCCAAGACACCGGAAGCATCGGGGGTGATGCCGATGGTGTCAAGGTTGGGACCGTTGCCGTTGAGTGGCTCGCCGCGATAGTCAGTGTGGTCCGGGACGCGGAGGCCAGAACCAGAGGTACGCGAGTAAGTCAAGTTGTCATTCTCAGACCGCGACAGGGCCTCGGCGAGCTCAGACTGCATGCGTTTCTCGTCGTCGGTCAGCTCAAAGGGAAATTGTCCGCCAAGATCGGTAATCGTGTTCATGAGATGTTCGTGCTGCTGGAGCTTGAGGTGCAGCATCCACATCAGGTCGCGGGTCCAGCTGACGGCGCCGTTGAGGATGTCTCCTTTGTTGGGGCCCTTGTCCTTGTCCTCGATGGGGAGTCCGGTGGTAATATTGCCAGCGGCACCGCCAGTGGCTCTCCTGGCTCCAGGACCGGCAAGGCCGGAAGTGGCCTGAGAGGGGTTGGAGATGCCAGTCAGGGTGGGGGAGAGAGGGGTTCCGTTCTGGATAAGCTTGCGAATCTTTTCATCCTCGAGACGGTGCGATGGAACAAGACGGCTAAGATCCTGGATTCTCTCATTGATATTGTCGCGGCGGCGACGCTCCACAAGGTTGTGCGATTCGCGGCGGCGTTTACGCTTCATCTCCTGGGAAGACACAGTGGCTCCGGGGGGTCCGCTGAGCTTGGCGGGCATGGAGGTGCCGCCCTTCATCATGACCTCGTTGATGGGTACCATACCTTGTTGCATGGGCGAGGAAAACCCCGAGTTATAAGAGGCCGGGATGCTGCCGGTAGGAGTGTTCAACCAGTGACCAGGGGACTTGTCATGGCTGCCAGAGTTGCGCATGGACTGGGGACCAAAGGAGGGAGACTCTTGGGAGCCGATGGGGATTCCGTGGAGACTGTTTGTCTTGGGTGTCATGGGAGTCCGGTTGTTGGAAGCCTTCCTTTGCATCTCCTGGGACATTCTGGCTCTGGCTGCGCCCATATCGCCGGCAGTGAGGGGAGAACCATTGTAGGACATGGGAGAGTGCAGTGACGTACTCATCTGGCGGAACTGTGCGTTGTTAAATCCATGTCCATAGGGGCTCTGAATAGGATCACCATCCGGGGTGCTGGAATAGCCATTGGTCGGGTCAATCTGGAGGGAGCCACGGTGGGTAAAGTTTGACTGGGGAAAGCCCATGTTCATGTTACCAAATTCCTGGTTAAGGTGTTGGTTGTCACCGGGACTGGCGAGACCATCGAGCAGCTCGTCATCACCAAAGACGGCAGAGCCACTGGAGAAGCCGTTGGACTGGTTTGAGTTTGTGTTAAAGTTGTTGGCGTTGGGGTAGGAGGGCGAGATTCCGCTTCCCATTGCGAGATCGTTGGGGTCTATATTGCCCCCGTTGGCAGAGCCAAACTGAGCGAAGCCGTGCTGAGCCATGGGGACTGGTCGGCGAAGTCGGGTTCGACGGGTTTGGAAAATGGAAGGATGCCCAACGGGCTGGGTTATCGAGAGTAGCTGGTGCGCAGCAAGCGGCGCAGGCGGGATCGAAAAGGATTGGGAATCGAGCAATATGCTGATGCAAAAGGTCAGTTACGATGCGGGGGAAGGGGCAGCGGGCAGCCAAAGGAGTGGTGTTGTGCGAAAATGCGGGATGACGAGTTTGAGTGACGGGATGAGGGCGGATCCAGCGCGGATGTCGGAGGATTCGAGAAAGTGCGGAAAGGCTGGTGACGTACCTCTAGTGTGGGTGATAAGATAGAACGGCAACACAGAGACGGCAGAGCTATGGCAAGGCCATGTGTCGCCGGAAGACGGATAAGTTTGTGAGTTGTCAGGTAGCACTGTATGTTAATGCGGGAGGGCAAAGAGGTGCGACGTCAGAAATGGTTGTCGGGGACTTGGTGCGAGGGGCTGCTTTTCTGACGAAGGGAGAGGAGAGCCAGTGAGTGGTAGGGCGGAGCCAGTTGGATGCGGCAAGTTTGACGGGCGCCAAGGGTCCTTTTTTTTTTTTGGCCACGGACACAAATGGGTAGGGTAGGTCGTAGGCGGTGACGGCTAGTTGGGACTTGCGGCGAGGAGCGTTGCAAGCCTTGGAAAGCTGGGCAGGCTTGGTGGGCGATTTCAGCAGTGCAGGCAGGCTTGTTGGGCGCTAAAAGAAAGTGTGGTCAGCCAAGCGGAATGAGGGGAAGGAAGCAACAAGCAGAGCAGCGTAGCAGTTTGCAGTGAGGCGCACCACAGCCGTGTTGAGGGAGTTGAGGATCGGCAACAGCGCGGACAGGTGCCCCATAGAACGGGAAAAAGGAAATATACCAGTCCTGAAGGAGTTGGGTAGTTGGGTAGGTAGCCGGGCAAAGAGCGGGAGCAAGATGCGATGATGACAGAGGTAAGGTGGAGCGCGATGACGGTGGTGATGGTGATGATGTTGAAGGGAAAGTTGGGACGAGGAAGAGGAGGATGAGGGGATAGGTAAATAGAGCGGTAGGAGCGGGTTGCACTTACAAAACACCGGCTTTGTTTGCAGCTGGCAAGGAGTTGGCAGCTGGCAGCTGATGACGTTTGGTGATAATGAGGAGTGACAGCTGGCGGGAAGACAAGACTGAGGCGGACAAGCGTTTGACCGTCGTGTCCGGACGCGGGGAATATGTACTAACTATAGGCCGGGATGATTAGCAAAGACGAACCAGTCGGCGAGGACGAAGCCCGGTTTCTGTTTGTGGGTGGATAGGACGGGAGTCGAGAGATGCGACGTGCGACATGCAGCGGGAAGGGGATGAGGCTTGATATAGGTAGGTAGGTAGGTAGGTAGGCATGTATGGGAAGACAATTACTAACTTACTAGTAGAGCCGGGTCTGCCGTAGGAATGGGGTGAGCAGGTCGAGGAGAAAGGCAAAGGGTAAAGCTGGGACGTGTAAATATAGAAACAAGGTGAGTAGGCAACCGCCGGGGAGATAGGTTGAGCAAACCTTGAAACTGGAATTAATAGCCTGGTAGCAGCTGCGTTGAGTAATTCACAAAGGGAAAGGGCACGGGCAAGCTGAGGGCACAAATGTGGAGGTGGCGACTGCCCTGTCCAGGAGTTGAACAAGTTGAAGAGCACCAGAGAGGTGAAGTGTCCAGAGCGTGTGGTGGTAGCAAAGACACGCTAGCAGGAGGTACCAAGGTAACCAGAGATGAACGTTGTGGCTGGACGAGTGCAGCGGGCGGTAGGAAGGCAAGGTAGTAATACCAGGAATAAGAGAGATTCCCAGGTAGGTAGGTAGCTTCTTGACTGGGGTAGCGCCGGTGGCGGAAGTTGCAGTATGGCTTCTTATTTGTTGAAGCAGTGATGGAGCTAGACGCAAGTCAGTCGATGCGACAACCACTATATCTGAGCGTTGCGAGTTGCGATAAGTCGATCCAAGTCGCTTCAAGTTCCTCTTCCCAAGGTATGCGACTGGGTATAAGGTACTTGTCGCGAGACTTCAGACCGCCTGGGCCAGTGGCAGCGTGAGGCGTCGCCTGTGGCGCAAGAGTGGGGAGGCCTCAGGCTAGTTTTGCTGGTAACTAGTGCTGCTCTGCTCTGCCTTGTGTATCCGCCTTTCTTCTTTCTTTATTGCTGCCTGGTGCTGCTTACCTAAAAAAAAGGCCGCCGCGCAAGTGCAAAATGAAAGATCGTTCTTTATCTGTACTTGCAATAACGCTGGTATCGGTGCTTCGCTTGCGCTATTTGCGACATGGAAAATAATGGGGGGGGGGGGGGGGGAAGCAGGCTTGCGATGCGACGTTGGCGTTTCGTTTGCTGCAGCTAGACAAAGAGACGGCAGGATTAGCAACCATGGATTCGCTTCGCGCAGCACCAAGTCCGCCCGCAGCCGTTCGACGCTGTTCTACAGCGAGCGGGAGCCATCTGCCGCTACGACGGGCCTTGCAGGGGGAGGGGACCGGCAGGATCAGGATCCTGGGGGAGGCATGTGCTAACCGTATCGTATCGCGTACTCTTGTCTTGCCGTGTGTGTCGTCTTGGACTCTTGGTGTATGGGGCTGGAATGTCGGTGGCGGCCGCGCGATGCGACTAGCTGCCAAAACGAGCTGAGCGGAAGCTGGGAAGCCGTTTGCTTTGTATTACGATCGGGTTCGTTTGGCTTTTCCGTCCGCGCGTCGGTGAGTGCAGGTGAGTGTACACAGTGTGTGTATCGAGAGTCTTGTCAAGTAGTAAGTCGATGATGGAGTTGAGGCAAGACTAGGTTCGCGCAACCAACTCGCGACTCGGTTTGTTCAGCAACGGAAATCAAAGCCAAGTTGGAGATTGTTGGAGGCAGAAATCACATTCACGTTTGCGCGCGAATCAGATCGGGGCATTACTCTTTATACTCTTTCCCTTCACCAGGACTGGCCGGCCATGGACATCACGCCCATTACCAAGCCCATCTGGTGGCTACCATCTAAAAATACTATGTCCGTGGCTGCATGCACCGCTGTTTCGTGGGAAAATACAACTTTGCCCATGGCGAGAAGCCTATCGCCATGACTGCCCGGACGGACGCGTCTCCTGACTTGCTCTGGCGTCGCAGCGTGGTGGTGGCCCTCCACCGAATTGGCCGCGCCAATCAGTGGTTGAGATGGTGGGCAGCCTGGCCGAACGTGACTCGACTCTAAGACACGGAGCCTATCGTTGCACTCGTCTTTTGCCCTTTATAATCGCCATGCATCATGACATCGACGGGACCGGGGCGGTCATGGGTTGTGGACATGTTGCTACGGGCTCCCCATCGGCGGACCACGCGGCCATGTAAGGCACCGGGGGGGTGAATCGTGATGGCTTGGAAGGAGAGGAGTGGGAAAGTAAAGATGGGATTCAGAGAGAGGGTGTGTTGTGTCTGCGTGTGAGGGTACTTGTGAAAGAGAGGATAGGAGCTCGCAGAGAGTAGGCAGCCAAGTTGACGATATTATCGTATGCATATTGCCTGGTTTACAACCTCCTCCTTCTTATCAGCTTACACGGATCTGCACGCCCGCTTCATTCACAACCCATCGCCGTCGATCCATGGGTTTCCAACCCGTTCCCACGGGCTGCATGGCATGGGCCGGAGCCAAAACTGGCATTTCCACAATCGTGCATGGGCGAATCGCAGTACATGGTTCATGGTACATGGCCACTGTGTAGTCGGTTGAGAGGCATGTAGGGTGTACAGTACCATGTAGAACAAGCGGCCGCAGTTTGTGGGGCTACTTTCAGCCGGGTTGAGTCGTTGGCTTGTGAATCCATCTATTTGGCATAATGAAGAAGAGTAGTCTAACTGGTAGGTATGCAGGTATAAGTTTGTACTTGATGTTGCTGCCTGTATCGACTTGTTGTTGATGGCTGTTCCCGTAATAGAGGACAGGTACGTACCGGGCACTAGCCACACCTGTCGTTAGCATCGCCATCTTGACCACTGCCACCGCCCGCTATTGTGCCGCTAGGTCGGGGCGTCTTGGTCATGATACCTATCACCCCAAGGCCATCAATACGATTTCCTCGCCCTCCGCGTCGGTACTTGTGCGGTGTGACTTGCAGTGCCTCCAGCTATCCGTCTCTAGCGCCCTCCCTTGGCTGTTTTTAGCCGTTTTTCTGATTTTTGACAGTCTTTAGCCATCTCTAGCGGCCCAGCTCCCTCGACATCGTCCACATAAAACAGCCTCTACCGGCCTCTACCGTTGCATCCGACCCGCATCTGCCAATCATGTGCCACCTCCTCTCCACATCCTTGGCTCACCACTCGCCTCCTGCACTGCACACCACCACATTCATCTGCTCAACTTCGTATCTCTCTTCATCCATATCCTCTCTCTCGCCTTCTGCCGCTGCCATCAGAGCTCCAGTGTACGTTCCATCTCTCCCTTTCCCATGCGCTCCCTCACACCCCCTTCTCCACCACCGACCGGGCCTTTCCTCCCGCCTGGCGAGACACTGCTCCACCACTCCCGTCGTGCGTCCCCCATCGTAGCTTCGGCTTCCTCAAATCGCACATCCTGGTTCGGTCACTAACCGTACGCGCGGTCGTCTTTGTCATGCTTGGCTGTGCCGCCCTTTGCTGCCCATGCCCGTTCGCTCGTTGCGCGGCCAGCTACGCAACACCTATTGCCCACCGCCCTTCCCATCATCACCTTTGTTGCCCTTGACTACATCCGGACCTCTCTCTGCAACTCTATAACTTGCCTTGCCCTTCTTGACTGACCAAATGGAATAGCTAGTTGCGACACACGTCCCCCCCACGACCCCCCCCCCCCCCATCTCGCTCCTCGCTCGGTCTTGTTCGACTTGCTCCCTTGCGACAGAAACCAAAGGTGCACGCACATTGTTCCAAAGCAAGTCACCGGTTACGTCGATCGTCTCGCCAGTAGCCGTACCGCTCCTACCGTCACCAGGTGTCCACCTTGACCGCTACCATGGCTTCCTCATCGTTCCGAGACTCGATAAACTCTTTGGGCTGGTCGCGCGCCACCGAAGAGCCCGTCAACACGACCGCACATTCTGGCTTCTTCTCTGGTATCCAAAACCTGAACCCCTTTCGGGATCGCGGATACCTGCAGCTGCCTACCCATGAAGCGTCACCGGGCGCGCCTCTGCCTGCGCCAAGTCGTCGCGAAGAAGAAGAGGGCTGGTTTGTCCGTGAGTCAACTCCCATCATGTCGTGTTGTTCAGATTGCCTGGTGCCTGCGCATCCGCCATCCACCCATGCCCTTGCAGGCGGGACTGTAGCTTGTTCTGCCTTCTTGTCTGCCCGCCCCCCTCCACCTCCCACGATTTCTGCATGTGATGCAGATGGGACGCCTCGTGGCTTGCCGTGACTAACTCTTTGGGTAATAGTCAGTCGCTGGGACAGACTCTTGGTCTTTGCTGCTTGTAACCTTGCCGCCCTAGCATGCTTCGTCATATGCTTCACGCTCTTCCCCATCGTTGCCACTCGCCCACGCAAGTTTGTTCTCTTGTAAGTCCATTTCGCACTTCGGCACTTGGCCCTTGCCTACCTCCCATTCCACCTCGATGTCTGTAACCTTGCGCCCATCTGCAAAGCTACTCGGCTGCATCAACCACTCGCCTTGTTTGCCGGCCTGTGTTGCAGACGGTACTCTCATATCTTTTCGTCGTGCAACTCACCGGTCTCGCGCATGGGCCATGCACGTCATAGCCTTCTTGCCTGCCCGTCAAACCCCACCGCATTTTGTTTGCTAACCACTCTACAGATGGACTGTGGGATCCGGCCTGTTTTTGGCGTCCTTTGCGGCCGTCATGGGTCCCATGAATTATGTCTATCACCTCTTATCGGCGCCTAGACTGCCTTTCACTGCGGCCTACTTTGGATCCATTATAATGACGTTGATCTTTGCCATAAAAGTGAGCACATGACCCCTTGTGTCAATGCCCTATGCTAACTTATGCAGCTACAAAACACGATTCTTACGCTGTTTTCGGCCCTCGTCCAGCTTGCCGCCCTTGCTTGGTATCTTGTCAGCTACTTTCCCATGGGCTCAGCCGGCCTGCGCATGGCAACGACGTTCGGTGCTAGGCAAGCGACATCTTGGATGAGTGGCTGATTCACTGCGACTCGAGCACCTGCTTGTGCAAAATGTAACATAGTCTCTACCCTATACTAACCAGTCATGCCATTTCTAAGCACTGGTAGGGTACGAATTTTGGTTTATTATGGCGTTGTACTTGAAATCTGCACCAAAAGCTTATGCTATAATGACACTGTACGACTCCAAAGAAGTAATAATATAACGGCGTTTCGACGCAGATACTAATTGAAACTGGAAGAAACTGACAGCTTGCGGACATGTGAGATGTGCTATTGAAATCGTGTTTCCTTCCACGGTACTTTCTTGGACCGTAAATGGTGGAGGGTGCAACAGAGTTGTGGCCGATGTGACCACGCTGTAACCGCCACCACGACAGCGATGACGAAATAGAGAAAGACGGGTGGAAGAGGGATTAGGAATCACGCGTGGCAAAAATCTTGGTCCAGGGAAAAGGGAAAAAAAAAGGGAAACACAAAAAAACACCAGACATGTAGCTATGTGCAAGGCTGGCCTTCTTTTGCAAAGTCCCATGGCAACTTTGTAAACGCTAGCTCTGACCAATAGTGTAGCACAAAACGACGACAATGCCTGAAACTCGAAAGGAACTTGATGTATCTGAAACCGGTTCCCGCAATACCCTAATGAGCTGCCGGGGAGGAGGAGGGGGAGGAGAAAAAAAGAGGATGAGGGTTGCCGCCGCCCCGGGGTCGTGAGAAATTGTAAGGTGACTTTGGCGATCCGGCGGGCCGCCGGCTTGACGTTGTTTAGAGTTTTTCTGGCGTATTAGCCGCCAGACGGGAGGCGTTTTTTTGTTCCCCTGAATGGGTAGCCATAAATAGAAACATCCGCGCCAGTCGATTTTTATGAGATGCTTACAAGGAACGTACGTGACAAAGGGCTGGGCAAGGCACAATACGATTGGGAAGGGGGGGGGGGGCGCACAAAGATACGAGGAATGGGCATGTCTGCCACGTACGTCATTGAGAGAGCCTTGTTTTGCGGTTGACCAGAGATGTAAGCATAAGTAGACTACGGCTAGGCAGCCAGATACGATGCGGATTCAGTCATCTTATTCGGATAATCAAGCTGTATCCATGCACCGCCGCCTTGTCGGGGGTGGGGGGGCCGTTGTGCCGTTTTGGTCGTCATAATGTGCGGCCCAATCTCCGCGATGCAAACGCCCTGCCGTTTAGGTGAGCCAATGTATTGTATACTGAGCTCTAGACTTTTCTGACCATCTGCATCCAAGGGAATACAGCTGCGATTGGTAAAAATCAGATCAGTGCAAAGACTGCCCAAGCACTTGTCCGGGCTGAAACTCAAGAGGCGGCGTTAGAATTGCCCTAGGTGGTGGATGATGATGGGGTTGCAACTTGTACATGTTGCATCGCAATATGGAATCGAAGTACCAATCTCGCGGCACCTCTACGTCCAACGGGCAACGTCTAAATCGAAGCGATAGGGCTGCGTGTCTCGTCTCGTGCATTGGCGTTTGCCAGGGCCTCCAGCAGCACCATCGCACCTCACCGCACGTCGACGAGCCGAGCCGCTCCCTCCACGCCCTTGCCGCGTCATCCGAGCCTGAGCTTGGCCAGCATAATAATGAGGTACGAGAGGTAATACAAGGAACAATTTGCGGGTTGGCCTATGGGTCGATGCGATGCCAACGAGCACCCAACGCCGCGTACTTGGGCTCCTCCGCCCAACAGACATGCGGCTCTGGCACTTCCCGACAGCTCCCAATACGGGACAAGTCGATGATGCTGGGCGGGAAGCAGGCCGTTGCAGCGCGGACAGCCGCATTAGACGTGAGCGGCATTCCTGCGCCAAGAGGTTTTACCTGGGTGTCTACAACCGGAAGCCCGGGCAAGGCCCCCAGGACGCCCAAATGATGCGGAGCCAGGAAGGTTGACAGCCAGGCAGGATAGACGGAAAAATGACAAAGCTCGCAGCGCATGTGCATGTGCATGAAGATAAGTCCGTCTTGTCCCGACCCGTGCTGGCGTTGGTGAGGCGGGCACGCACAACCCCGGTCTCGCGCCGTGAGCGAGACTCGCCACCATGTGAAAGGGAGTTGTCAATCCGATGAGAGTGAATGGTCCGATTTAGCTTCCCGCCTGGGAGTTGTACATGCGATTACATGCGATTCTCAATCTACCCGTGTAAGGCCGTTGGAAGTGCAGTTTCAGCCTATTTATTTCCTCGGGCGGCAGCACCCCTTGCTCCCTAGAGGTTGGCCATGGGGTCGGCTCTCCGCATCGTAGCCGCGGGTAGTGGTTTGCCAGGGCGCAGAGCGGGTTTGACTACCGGTACGACTGTTTTTTTTTTTTTTTTCTTTTTCAATCGTCTGCTTGCTCTTGGTGTTAATGAATACTCAATTCTGCTTGAAAGGACGAGAAGGAGAAGGAGAAGGAGAGCTGCCGTTTCGGGCGGCGTCGCCGCGGCTCTGCCAAAGGTGACGATGCCAGGGCTCGTTGAGACATAAGCCTCGGCGGCGTTGCACTGAGCAAGCCTGGCCTGGGCTCCATGTAGTCAGTCATTCAAGCCACCCTGCCCTTGAGCGCAGCCCCGGAGGCCAATATGGGAGGACGGACGCTAGAGCAAATCAGCCCCCAATAGCCTTCTTGATTGATTCCTCCCACCCGGCGCTATAGGTGCATATTCGTTTGGGATGGATGGTGGATGGATGAGTGTGTATGTATGGTGTGGTGTGATGCGGTGGTTTGGTGCGGTTCGGTTTGGCGCGGCTTGGTGGAGGCATGGCAGGAAGATGCCTCATCTTTTCGGAGTGGATATCGCTGGCAACCTGGTGCGATCGTGTAGTTGGTAATACTGGTGCATCACAGATACTTTCTCTCTGCCACTCACGCATACAGGCTTGCCCTCCGCTCTAGTGCATGTCGTTCCCGGGCCAGCGGGGGAGCAGACAGAACGAGGGCTAGACGTGCCACGGACTTTTCAGGGAGGTCGGAAGCGGAAAGTCATCGATATTATATATTAATAATTGTAAGTCGCGAACCAACCTCGGGAGCAGAAAGCAGCTGCCGCTTTTGGCTGGTGGGTGATCTCTGACGGGTGATGGCCTTTTCTCCTTCCCACTTGTTTTGTTTCGCCGCTGGGTGCTCAGCTTGGTATTAGTTAACTAGTTAGTAACTACGGGAAGGGAAGGGTGGCTTGCATACCTTAACTAATTAGGACCCCTTTCGCCGTAAATAATAAGGTAACGAAGTAAAGCGGCCAAGACTTGGTTTGGGTGTGACGGTGCTGGCCTGGTGAGATTCACTGTGGGATGGGCTCCTCCGCTCGTAGTGTTGCCGGGGGTTAGGTGTGCAAGTTATTCGCGCATGCTGCGAAAAAGTGGCTGTCCTTGAAATTTCCAACCGTTTCTGCAGCTTTTCTTCATTTTTCATTTTTGTCCTTTTTCTTCTTTTTTGACTGTGTTCTCCCCACAACCGACGTTGACGGGATATCCAGAACGTGTGGAGCCGGACGGGTGGACACGAAAAGCACAAATGGGCTTTTTCTGATTTATTATTGAATAAGATTTTTTTTTTTTGGCTTGGCTTGGCCCGACCGAGGCACCAATGATGGATTTAAGAAAAGTGCAGCCCGTGTTCTGGAGGAAAGCCGGACGATGTTGCTTGCAGGGCTGCTGCTGACGACGATGTAGGCTGAGGAATTTGTTTGATTCTGGAGTTATGCGTCATACCGAGCCCACCACCTCGATTTTGGGGGGGGAGCGCGGGATGCGCTGCCTGAGGTTGAGAGGCAGGCTGGTACTAAGGTAGGTACGACCTGCCGAGGAAGCAGCAAGCGAGACGAGTATCTGGACAAGCTGTGAGGAGGGGGGTTTGCACAATGTTTGAGACCAGATTATTTTCCTAGTTGTGTTAGGTTGTCAGCCAGCCATGATAAATCCAATCCGGGATAACTGCAGATTCCTGAGCCAACCTGCCAGCAATGAGCAGTGAGCAGCAGCAGCTCGGGGCTGGCGGAAGCTGCAGCAGTCCGGCGCTGCAGGATTGTGGTACGTACCTGGGGCAAGACAGGGCAAGACCGGGCAAGACAGGAGGAGGAGGGATGGACAAGGCCTGGCCCTGGTGAGCAAGTACAGGTAGACACCTCTCTTGGTACCAGTACTTTGTTGGCTACCTACCTCTGTAATCCGTATTGCCAGAGGAACAGAGGGGCGGTCCACCGAGGCTGCTGCGTTTCTTGTTCATTATTGCCTCGCACAGGCTTTATTCTTGTTGATATTTATTTCAAGCGCTTTAATAAAAGGTCAAGATTAAGGGCCTTGGCAATGCTGTCCCTGTATGTAACTGTGGTGTTGGTGCCTCAGCATATGCCTCCCGTCAGGTACCTTGGACATGTGTACTTGAAGGTGGTTTCGCAGGTACCTTCCACACCTAAATTCTTAGGTGCTCGCCAGGTCCCCGCCCTTTCGATGCCGCAGGACGCCGACTGCAGGCTTCTGTAACTTGGTGTGTTTAGGTCATGTTTGCATTGCAGTAACTACCTAGGTACCTCTGTGTAGGTGACTGCGAGGGGAGAAGGAGCCTAGAAAAGTAGGCCAGAGAGAAGGTGGTAGATTGACAAGAGGACAGACATCAGAGGATAGGTGACATCTAGCCGAGAAGACCCTGATAATCGCAGCATCTGTTCTCGCTGTCAACTAATGTAGACTGACCACCCACCAAACAGGTGCATACCTATGTATGTAATTGAGGCTGCCTACCTGGTCCAGGTACGGATACTTGTCCTGGAGAAAGAGGTACATGGCATTGGCCAATCTGTCCCCAGAGGCCCAGTCTTACTTTGCCTTTCTAACTGCCAGGCAACCAGGCCAAAGAGCGCAAAATAAATACCACCAAACAAGGGAAACCACCTAAATTTATTTCTTGCCTAGACCCAGGCCCAACGCCATAGGTACAAACACTACGGATAGCCCGCTAGGTGACCTTGGTAGTATTCTCCTACATCGCCAGCGCGGAAAAATTTATTACTTCGCACACTGCAAAAATATTAACCGGCTCGCCGCTCGCCTGCTTCTCTGCTCGCCTGCCTGCCTTGGTCAAAGCCTCTCAGCGTTCATTCTCTGCTCCCAGGTACTTTCACTCTCCCTGCAAACCCTTGTCAACTTAACCCTCCCGCCGGCCCCGTCTCCTCGTCGCCTGTTTGCTCTCTTCGCAATCCCCCTCCTTCATCCAATTCTGCCCTATCGCCACGCCAATTCGCACTCATCTGACCGCAAGCCTTTTCAGCTTTGCGTGTGTTTGTGTGTGAGAGTATTCCTACCGGCCTCCTGCTCCTCGGTCTGCGTTTCGACACCCAAAGTCCCCCATTTTCCTGCGAGCCACCACGACCGACCCCCCGACCTGACCTGACGAGGAACCGCACTTTGGCTTTTTTTCTCACCACCACTTTTCTGCCCCTGCTACCCGCACCCAGAAAAGCGAGAAATAAATCGAACGTAGCCCGAGCCGCGTTACTCCTCCCCAGTCACTACCCTCACCAGCTCTGCTTTTACTTGAACCTTTTCTTTTTCTCTTTTTCTCTTTTCTTTTTTCATCCACCGCTTACCACCTTACGCTCTCCAGAGACCACATACGACAACCCTCGATCGCACTCCCATCTGTTTGTTGTTCAGTTTGGTTGCACCCGTCTTTGCCCAACCTACGACCAACGCCATCGCCCCTTGTTATTCTTTATTCGTTTGCCGCGCCACCGCAATCTTCTCCTGGCCACTTCGCCTCGCATCTCTCAAATTTCTCGCCCTCGCCCGCTTCAATCGACCTTTGCTCCTTTGAACACGCATCCTCTCGCCCTTTTGGCGCCCCCACGACAAAGCCGGATCCCTCGGCCTTATAGCCCTACGTGTCCTGGTCGACGATCGAGAGCCGGATACCCCCTGGGTTCTGCACACTCGGGAGATCACTGAATCTTCATCTTGGTCGGCGACGACCCGTGACAAACTTTCCGCTTGATATACCCCCTACGCCCACCCCGTAGGCTCTTTCAAGCTTGTCCGATTTTTCCCTCCTGAGTGCCGCGACGAGTCTAGCTCCGCAGGGTCTTCCGCTGCATACTTCTGCCACCATGGCTACTGCTTCAGCATTCTCCTACGCACAGGCCGCAAAAGGCCAAAATCCCACTCCCGAATCTCCTCAGTCCACCTCTCACGTTACGGATCCCCTCGCCACTGTTCCTGCTTCCGCCACCACTCCGCTGGACGATGCCTCTGTTGCCGACTCCGGCAATCAAGACAACATCGCCGCTTCGGCTGAAAAGCATGAGGCTGCCAGCACAATCGGTTCCGAGAGCGATGTTCGCTCCGAGTCCGTCCTTTCTAGACGTACAGACGCTCGCAAGGACGACGAATTGAGCAGATTAGAGCGCCCTTGGCGTAGAAACGACAGGGACGGCCAGTCTTCTACTCGATCCGACGATACAGACGGAAAGCGCCGAAAGGCCAAGAAGAAGGGTGCTGATAAGCCCGCCGAGGAGGAGCAGCCCAAAGTTGAGCTCACCGAGGCCCCCGTCCCCTCCGTCAACATTTGGCAGCAGCGCAGAGAGGCGGCTGCCGCCAAGGTTGTCAAGCCAGATGATGCTAGCAGCACTGCTGCCTCGGAAGACGTTAAGCCACCACCCAAGGTCACCGACTTTGCCGGTGCCGTCAACGGACACAAAACCACCCGCAAAGCCGATGCTCCACGCCCAGAGCGTGCCAGTCGTGGCGCCAGAGTCGCCGACAGAGAGGCCAGAGATGGCAGAGGCGAGCTCCCGCCCCCTGTCGACGATGCCATGCTGTGGCCTACACCGGAGACTGCTGTCCAGGAAGACAAGGACAGCAAGAAGAAGAATGATGCCAAGCCTGAGCCCAAGGAGACTCAGGAAGAGACTGGCAAACCTCGCTCCAAGGAGAAGTGGGTTACCTATGACTATGTTCCCACCGTCAACTTCGAGACGCAATTACCACAAATGCGTAACACCAAGCCGCGTGGTGGTGCCCGCAATGTGAATGGTGGTCGCCCCAGTGCCCCCAGCCAGACTGCTGACAAGGCAGCCTCTGCGGCCCCTGCCACAAAGACCAACGACAGAAGACAGAGCACCGCGAACGGCGTTGCTCGCACCGGCTCCCAGCCCCCAAGCAAGAGAGCTTCCGTCGACGTTGCCACGCTCCGCGAGCAGCGTAAAGTTTCTGGCGGTGCTACGAGCGAAAAGGCCAAGGATGCCACCCCTGCTGCCCCTTCTGTTGTACGTCGGGCCCGGCATTTCAATGCAATCTCCCCCACTAACGCTTCTCAGCAGGAGCAGCCGCAAGCACCCCGCGAGCGTCCCGAAGGCCGTGCCGAAGGCCGTGCCGATAGGGGCCGCGGTGGTTATAGAGGACGTGGCGGCCATCACACAAACTCGCACTCCCAGGCCCAGCACGCCACGTTTAACGGCAACGGCCCCGCTAGCGGCCGCCCTCAGGGTCCCTACAGCCCACCTCCTCGCGGCGGCCATGGCCAGATGTTCATGCCCCCCTCGCAAAGAGGACGTGGAGGCCGCGGCAACGCCGCCAACTTTCACCACCGCATGTCTCTGCCCAACGGCCGACTCCCTGCTGTGCAGACCCAGTTTGCCTCGTATGAATTTCCGGTGGGCCCTATGAGCGCCATACCCTTCCAGCCTCAGCAGCCATACTGGGATACCGCGATTCCTGTTCTCAAGACCCAGATTGAGTACTACTTCTCCATTGAAAACTTGTGCAAGGACTTGTACCTCCGCCAAAGGATGGATTCTCAGGGCTTCGTTCCCCTGCATTTTATTGCCGCCTTCAAGCGTGTTCGTGAGTTGTCGGCTGACCTTGGCATGCTCCGCACGGTCTGCGAAATGTCCACAGAGATTGACCTTGTTGTTGGTGAGGATGATGTTGAGCGTGTGCGCAGGAGTGAAGGTTGGGAGAGCTTTGTCCTTCCCCTTGAGGACCGTGACGATTTGGCCAGAAACCACGGCCCCGTCAAGCTCTCCTTCAAGAGCCGTGGCCCCTACCCCGCGCCCCCTCAGTTCAACGGCATGCAGATGCACTACGGCATGCCCTCCCCGCCTGCGTTTGTTCCTCACGACCAGTTCCAACAGTTTGACCACCACGCGATGAATGGAGTTAACGGTGTCAACGGGCACGGCCAGAAGGGATCGCAGCTGTCTGCTGCCGTCCCGGACTTTGCCCCAGCATGCCATGCTCCCGCGCTGAAGGCCAACGGCGCCGTCAACGGCACCTACGAGATGCAGAACGGCATCCACACACAGGCCGAGGCGTAAGAGTCTCTACGGCTTTTTACGTCAAACGGCGCCCTGCGATATAATGCGCAGACGGCATGGCAAAGCGAGCATGCAGAGCAAGCTGCGACGGATCAGCAGGCGCTCTTGAACAAAATTTCATTTGTATTTTGTCAGCATGATGGTTAAAGCGAACGAGGCTTGTGAATTTCGGATCTGATAGACAGTTTATGGATTATCCAGAGTGTTGCACTCCGGTTAGGGACTTGCTCTGACCCAGGCATTTGGGCACCAAAAGTTGAAAAAGGAAAAAGGGTCACGGCGTTTGCACCAGGCTTGCTTTACAAATCAAGCCATTGCGTCAATTCCTTGAGCTGCCGCGTGTTGACGAGGCCAGCATCATTGGGATCCCGACACCTTTGCTGGTTTTTCTCGGGATTCATCTCTTCCTTTTCATTTTCACCTTTGTATCGAGCGACGGACGACGAAACTCGATTCAATTCTTTTACGGTATATAATTGTTTTCTTTTCGCACACAAAAAAGAGCTTCGACACTTTCAGACATCAGCATCGATCGGAACAGCAGAAGCGTGATATCATGAAGATTTGACCACGGACAGACTTGCCCTGTCGATATTATACAGTGGACCTCAACAATTTTGAAAAAAAAAAAAGACACAAAAAAAAAAGAAGAGAGAAGGTTTGCCGTTGAGACGCAGGACGTACATGTTACGGAGAGCATTGCGCTCTATATGACTTTTTTCTGGGTGCTGGCGCGATTTGCGTCACTTTTCTTACAAGATGAACTGCGTTTTTCTTGCGACGCTTTATCTTTTGACACCACTTATCGCATTTTAAACCAACAACCTCTTTTCTGTCTTGATGCCATTTCACCGTTCGGATGCATTTCGGTCATTTCTTTTGGAATTTTTCCTATTGGCAGAAGAAGAATCGAGTTGAGAAGCCGTTGCGCTGACACAACAGCCAGGCACAATAGCCAGGCACAACATTACCAAAAGTTGCCTGAATGGTTCTTCCTTTTTTGATTTGGATGATTGTTTTCCCCTAGCTTTTTGCGTTTATCAAGCTAGTTAACGCCTTTTTTTTTTCTCTAAGTGGGCTTGTTCATTCGGCAGACGGGGGGAGGGTGGTTGTATTGTACGATATAGGAACTAATCCAAATAAACGTCTGATTATTGAGAATGGGAGCTATGATTGTTAGCTAGAGGTGCTGCTTGTTGTTTCTGGCGGTCACACTGGACATGTTGCATTGGGCTATCAGACAGGCTGGATATTCGGATATCCTCGTGTTGTTCGGATATCTTCGTGTTGATGTCTGACGCTAGTCATTGCGGTTATAACCGATGTTGCTGACGATATCAATCATCTTGGGAGGCGCACCGACGTGAACATCTCACCGACTACAAGCTGAAGGTACAAGCAGCCCGTCCACATCTTGTCCGCGTCTACGTCTGTCTACGTCCACCACACCATTTGCCGCAAGTCGTGTCTACATGGTCTGGGGTCGCACGTCTTGGCATAAAGCGCCGGAAAGCAACCTTGTCATTGATGGAAAAGAAGCCGAGGCGACTCGGATGACTTGTCGCGGCGCCTTACCCGGTCGATCAGTGGACCGTGTCTCGCCGTGAGAGGAAACAAAGCACACGACACCGATCTGCGGCGCTAGTACGCGGTAGAGAAGCACAGCTTTCTCGGAGACAAGTGCTGATTATATGTGCTAAAGCAACCTGGGCTAGTCGTGCCCTGCATCAAGTCTCGTGGTAGTATCTACAACAGGGTTTGTATAATCATAGCTAGCACCGCGCGTCTGCCTACTCAGGCTACCTTCATGATACCCGAGCGGAGGAACGGCACCTCAAAAGCCGTAACCTTGGTTCCTTGGCGGTAAAACAAGACGCGGTCTAGCGGCTCGCCGCCGTAATGGATCCAGTCACCCAGCATCCAACCCAAACAGTCGTCCTCGTCTAGCCAGGCTCCTGGTATGTCCACGGCGGGCGGTGCGGCAAGGTCCGGCCACAGGCGCCAAACCTCCTTGACGACGAGCTCGCCGTCCACAATGGTGTCTTCGCTCAGCTCTGTCGGGAACAGTCGCACCGTTCTCGAGATCTTGGGCCCAAACATACCCAGAGACTCGTTGAAGACTCGCGTCCAGCCCGCTAAGATGTCAGCCGCCCCCCTTGACAGCAAAGAAAGCACGAGCGAGTCCTGGTCAAGCGTGAATCGCGCTCGGACGGTATCGTTAGAGGGCAGGCTACCGATGCTGGCAAACTCCATCGCATACTCGGCCTCGGCGTACTCTCGCGTCACGGTGTCCGCCGCGCTGACCAGCACCGACACGACTGCGTCGTAGATGTACGGGAGTGCGTCCATGTTGCCGGCGGTGAGCACAACAATCCCAAGGCCATAGTCGTCGACGAGGGCCAGCTGACTGCGGTACAGCGGGGCGGTGCCACCCTTGGCATAGACGGCGACCGGATGCGGGTGGTTGGGCGTCAGGCGCGGGTATCGGCGAATCTCCCAGGGCATGCCGACGGCCGAAGCCATGTTGCCAGCGAAGGAAGCGGGCTTGAGCCACTGACGCGTCTGCGCTGGAGACAGGACCGCGGTGTGAGTCAGTAGAGCGTGGGCGAACTTGGACAGGTCGCTGGCGGAGGAGATGAGACCGCCTTGAGGCGCGTTGACGCCGTAGTCGGCGCCCCAGCCACTATCGCCAGGTGGGATGACGGCCTTGCTGGAGTCTCCAGGTGAGGGATGCGTGGATTTGAGACCGAGGGGCTTGGAGACGAAGTCGCGCACCAGCTCGGTGTAGTTGAGGCCGGTGTGCGCCTCGACGGCCAGGGCGATCACGGCAAACGCGGCGTTGGAGTAGGCCGGGCGAGCACCGGGTGGCACAACGGGGTACGAATCGCGCAGGCCGAGTTGCAGTTCTGTCTGTCTTGTCAGCTGGGGACCTTGTGCGATGGGGAGAAGCAGGACGCACGCTGGGCTGTGCAGCCGTCGTTGAGGCCGATGACACCACACGGAGGATATTCAGACTCATCGATGGGTGGGAACCCGAGGGCGATGTAGACGTCTTTGAGGAAGTAAAAGTCGGAGAAGCCGTCTATCTGCAGTCAGTAAGGGTTCCTTGGGACTTGTAAGGGGCTGTTTGCGACGTACAGTTGGTCGGCACGCCGGCCGTCTGCGAGGCCAGCATCCGGAGCGTGACGGCGTCCCAGTGCGCGCTCCCGCTCAGCAGTGGGAGGTACGTCGTGACCGGCACGTCAAGGTCGAGGCCGGCCCTCAGCAAGATGAAGTCGGTGATAACCTTGGAGATGCTGCCGATGAGGTACTGCGAGTCAGCGTCGACGTGCTCCGTGCCGGCGACGTTGGTCTCGGCGCGGTGGTGGTGCTGCCAGAGCGGGGGGTCGCTGTCGGGTTGGTCCGCGGAGACGACGGCCACGGAAAAGGATAGGTTGGCCGCTGCCGTGCCCGGCAGGGAGATGGCGCCGGAGACCATGCCGTCGAGGACGCGCGAGAGGTCGACGGCGGCATGGCGAAAGGCGGCGGCGTCGCCGAGACGTACGGGCTTGGGCAGTACGGGGCCCTCGGGGCGGCACTCGAGCGCGGCGGCGGCGAGGCCACCGGAGAAGAGCAGAGCGGTGAGCTTCATTGCGAATATGAGGCTTACATTGAGATGGAGATTGATTTCATAAACTCGCGGCTTTTTACGACACATTTATTTACATTTATATAGCCATTCTTTTGGCGTGATCGACTCGACTTACACGCTGGGTTTAGCACGATACGAAATACGCTCCGTCGCGGACCCAGCAAAAAGCGATACGAAATACGCCGCCCAGTGAGGATGGAGGAAACGCTAAAATGGAAAATACGCCGTATGCGATGCGTAAGATGGATGATTTAGATGATGTTGACGATTCAGATGGCGTTAGGGGAAGGTTAGTTGACGTTGATGAGTAGCTTGCCATCTGTCTGGTAGCATTATGTCTACTGGGAAAATGCACTTGATGGATGTACGTGCATGTCTAGAGGCCGTGGGTCTGTAGGTACATAGAGGAAATAGTATAAATGAATTCATATACAGATACCCGTCTAACCGAAACCTTGTCTCGTAATCAATAACTCGTTATTCACAGCCAATATAAAAGAAAAATGGCATCTACACCAATCACCTTCTACACCACGACGCTGAACAACGCCACCTTACGGGGCCAGCTCGCAGTCGCGGTCGAAAAAGGACCACTTCCAGCCGGTGTAGGCGCCACCGATGTTGAGGGAGGTGATGGGGGTGTCGAAGAGCCAGCAGTTGTGCTCGTTGCCGTCGAGCGAGCCGGCCTCGAAAGTCTTGCAGTTGGCGTCGGCCTTGCAGGCCTGCTGGCAGTCGCCGAGTGTGGACAGGCGCAGGCTCTGGATGGGCTTGGTGATGAAGCTGCCCTGGAGGCCGCAGCGGGAGGCGACGTCGCAGTCGCGGTCGTAAAAGTTCCAGCTGAAGCCGTCCTGGGCGCCGCCAATCTCCATCTCGGAGAGGCTCTGGGGGAAGAGCCAGCAGTTGTTGCCGTCGCCGTCGACGGTGCCGGCCTCGAAGGACTTGCAGAGGTTGCCGCGGGCGCGGCACGCGGCGGCGCACTCGTCGATGCTGTCGGCCTTGGTGGCGTGGCTAGGGGGCGTCACGAAGCTGCCGGCGACGCCGCAGCGCGTGCTGGTCGAGGTGGTGGTGTTGGTGGCCGACGTCGTGTTGAGGCTGGCGGTGGTGTTGAGACCGGCGGTGGAGTTGAAGAGCGGGCGGTTCGTGGGCAGCAAGGCCGGCGTCGTCGTCCGGTTGTGAGCAGCGGTGGCATTGGCCGAGCTCGTGGGGAAGCCGCTGGTGGGCAGCGGGAGTCGGTAGTCGGTGGTGCTGTTGTGTCCCACGCCGGTGGTGCTCGAGTTGAAGCGACCCGGGGAGAGAGGGTTGGCCGAGTTGGCAGTGGCCTCGGGGCGCGTGGTGGTGGAATTCAACGGCGCGGTGAAGCGGGTGGACTGGGAGCTGCTGCTTGACGGGTCATCGGTCGTGGAGGATTCGTCATCGGTCGTGGTGGTGGACAGCGAGGTTGTCAATGTTGTGAGGAGCGATGTCGTGCTCGACTCGGTGGACGAGGAAGAGGAGGTAGTGGTGGTTGTGGTTGTGGTGGTGGTGGACGAGGTTGTGGTGGTGGTGGACGATGTCGTGGTGGTAGAGGAAGTCGTGGTGGTGTTGGTGAAGTTGCTCCAGTTCTGGGAGACAATCTCGCCGTCCTGTCTGGGAAGCCAGGCATTGTTGCCGTAGGCGGCGGCGAGAGCGACGTACTGGGCCGCCGCGGTCGCCGCCAACAGGATCCCCTTGGTCTGCATCTTCAACCGCCTTGTTGAGGGATACAAGGAGAGCTGTATGGGGAGAAGAAGAAGCAGGCTGGGGAGGAGTGGGAACGGAATCGACGAGGCGGGAGGAGACGAGTAGAAAAAGGACGGGCCATGGCGTCGTCTCCAGGATCTCGCTAGTTGGGCGACTGAGTTGGTATTAGCGATCCACCAATCCACCAGACGTCGGTCGCTCGAGCAGGGAGTTGATCTTGTCTGGGAGAGCAGTCTCCTCCGCACCGCTCGCGTCATGGTTTTGGGGGGGGGGGGGCTTGGTCCGTAAACGATGGAACGAGCGAGCAGCGCAGCGCAGCGCAGACTCTGACAGTGCGAACAAGTACAGAAGTCAAGCTAGTGAACCGTAAAAGCCACTGGGTGGGAACAATAAGCCCACTCGCGTGGACCGAGTCGTGCCAATAATAGTTGACCTGGAGATGGAGAAGCTGGGCTCAGTGCGGAAACGGACTGGGGCGAAATTTTTGACTCTGCGCTTGTAGAGCCTCAGCTCTGGTGTGTCTTGTCTGGCCCCCTCCCGAACAGCAAGGTTCTTTTTCTTATTGCTGCAAAATTTTCGATGATGATACTGGCCCGCTTCGGGATTCGCTTTGATGAAATTTTGATGCATCGGGAGACAAGCATGTGGAAGTCAGTCCCTACTCCTTGTCAGATGGAGAGACATTGCAAGCGCAGCCATCACCACCACTACTTGGCAAAGTGACTGCGTTCAGACAGGCAGAGACAGGCATCTTCATATGAACGCCACCGCCTTGGTTCCGAGGTACCCGCACGCTTCTTCCTGTGATGGATGGATGGATGGATGGATGGATGGCTGGATGGCTGGCTGCCATGGTTGATGGTTGCTGATGGCTGATGGCTGATGGCTGCTGGCTGATGACTGATGGATGGCTGCTGGCCCGTCAGATGTTTTTCTTTCCTTTGGCTGCCGAGGCAGGCAAGCTTCAGGTCAAAGCGCCTCCGCATTCTTTCCCCACAAAGAGCCTCGACTCGACAACCTCCTCCATCCATTATCCCCATAATCCTTGGATTCATCCACCATCCATCCACCATCCATCCTTCAACTTCCCCGCCCCCGGCCAACCCCGCAAACTACGCCCATCAAATCAATTGCCAACAAAAGGTAATGTGGACTGTGCCAACAATTGAACAATTGGAAACTCAATTTTCACCTCTCACTTTTGCAATGGATGAGCCGAGGGTGGCTTTTCATGATCCATCCATTCTCTCCGCGATACTGCCCAAAAGCGCCTCCGCCCTCTCAGCCTCCATGGCGATGGGTGGTGCTAACACTAGTAAAATCACCTTGCTCATCTCTCTCTCTCTCCATCTGTCTTTATTCGTATCTGCACGACACCCATACTGTAGTAATATTGAGCCACATTGACCCTCCCCGCTGCCCAGCAGTCCGACGGTCGCAATGTAGCTCCGGGTGGCCGCCTGTGGCTTGTCCACAACAGGCTGCAAGTCTAACAAGTCACCCAGTATCTTGAACAGATTTCTCGAAATGTCACCTTCAATGCCACATAGCCCAGACATGACCCTCGTTTTTTGTATAGCCGACTCAGCTTCCCCGCGCTGACGAGCTGTGCTTTGGAACCAAAACCATTACCGATTAATGAAGTAACGCTGTAAAATCCCATCCATGCCCTGCCTGCTGTTTCCCCGCGTCCAGCCACCTAACGAGACAATAACCCGTGCTGCGTTGGCCTTTTCTTGCTGCTCTGCAGATTGCTGCGCCGCATTCATTGCCAGCTGGAAGCTGTGCGACAAGTTAAAGCCAAATTGAAACAGTGGTATATCACTGTTCCCTTCCACCTCCAAAGTCCTCCTGGTCATCCACCGCATTTACATCGCATATCATGGCTTGACACCCCGGCGCCAAAGGGCAACCGCTTGCGTTCAGAAGAGCGGGAGACTGAGCAGCGGTCGAAGACTGTCCGCCAGGTGCCATGCAATCCGATCCCACGAGTTCCATTCCCACCATCTCCTCAAATGCCCGCTCCCGCGCCAGAAGCTGGCGCTGTTCAGCATCTTCCTTCAGCCTGAGTCGGCGAACCTCCTCCATGCAACGCTCCGCCTGCTCCATATCCCTCTCGATCGTTTCTTCGTCAACAGGCTCGAAGGCGCTTCTCCATGCAGAAGCAAGCTTGCCGTTGACAATGTTGAGCTTGAGATCGGGCTTTTGTATAGGCGAATCCCAGTGCGCAATGTTCAGCACTGTGCACCCTTGAAAAGCATCCACGAAAATGCGCTGCACCTCGAGAGTCGACGCCGTACTCAACGAAGCCGTGACCTCATCCAGCAAGATAATCTTGCTGTCCGTTTGCACATGGTGCAGCAATGCCCGTGCAATACATAGTAGCTGCTGCTGGGCCGCCGACAACCCTGCTTCTTGGATGTCCTGGTCCAGCCCACCCCTTGACCGGATAACCTCCCATAATCCCAGTTGTCTCAATGTAGTCTTGATTATGGACTCGGGGAAGCCTGAATCGACAAAGGGGACCAGGTTGGATCGGACAGAGCCATCAAGAATAACAGGCGTCTGTGAAATAGTCGTAATCCGCTCCCTCAGTGCCTGCCGCGGGACTTGACTGATGTCGACGCCATCGATACGTATAGAACCAGAATAGTCAAGAAAGTTAAGCAATGTCACTAGCAGAGAGCTTTTACCGCTGAAGGCTCAATCCCGTTAGTTTTTATAGCTCCACAAGATACACGTACTATTCGTGACAGGGCGCCTTACCTCCCGGATCTGCCCGTGATGGCCACCTTGTCGCCGCTCAAGATCGTAAATGAGATATCGGTAAGAACTGAATCCGCGCTACTTAGACATTAGTCATTGCGCAAATGATCGCAGTTGCGCTGCTACTTACTTGTACCCGGCCGTTACATTCTTGAACTCGATCTCCCCGCGCCGCGGCCAATCTTTGGGCAGACTGCAGTCGGGGCCGTCCTTTTCCTGCGGCGTATCTTGCACGAAAGACTTGGATCGAGCGATGGACCCCAGTGCGATCTCCATTTCTGTCCATCTTTTCACAGCGATCGTGAGAGTTCCCCCAAAATCGATTAGTGTCAAGTATGCCAGACCCATCGCCGCTGGAGAGCTTGAGCTCTTGACATAGAGCGCGATGCTGACGACGAAGACGGCCACAACAGCAACCAACAGGTCCAAGACCAAGTTGAGCCAGCGCTGAACACAAAACATGTGGTAATACGCTCTTTGAGATGCATCCAAAAGAACAAGATTCTTCTCAAGCTGGGTTGATAGCCACCCAAAACTCCTGATGTGGTGCAAGCCGTTCGCAGTCTCCTTGAAACGTACGAACAAGGGTGTCTTGGACTCTAGATCAAGGTAGCGAAGTTGTCTAGATGTGCGTAAGTAGTACTTCTGGATGAAATATATGGCAGCCACGATAATAGGTAGAGCGATTGTCGCATATGATGACGCGGCCATCACAAACCCTATACTTATAAAGGAAGAGTACAACACTGGAGGCACACAGTTAGAATGCACTTTTACCAGAAAAGTCGCTTAACACCCACTGAAAATGAATCTGTACATGGCAATTGGCAGCGTCTGGACAACTAGGCTCATGTCTTGACTGAATCTGCAGCAGCGTCAGCATTGCACCTCCGCGCATCATGTTCCCACTCCTTACCGATTGAGCAGCGATCCACTATCAACAGTGCAGATGAAGTTGTACGTGGCACTGAACTATGTTAGAAATTTTGGTGATCCAGTCTGACTACTAGCGGGGCTCAAACTCACTTCATTGACGCATCCAAAAGCAGTTGATGAAGTCTTGCGCCGGATTCAGGAAGAATTCGGAGGTAGAAAAGTCTATTCGGTAAGTCATTAATTGGTACTTTCGTTATTTCGAAAAGTAAGAGGTGTCAGCACACTAACCTCTGACTCCAAAGTCCAAGCGTGACTCGCGCAAAGGCAATCAAAGCAAATCCGATCAGATAGAGATTGTTGTTGGGGCCGTATTCCACCCATATTCGGACATAACCGTCTGTTGTTACTGTTAGAAAAGCTACACGGCGAAGGATCAAAAGAAGCGAAAAGCCAGGTGGTAGCAGGTGTACATACTGGGAAAATTGTCGCAGAATACCACGATGAGCATGGAAGTAACCCATACGAAAACCCGCGCCTTCGCAAACGATCCAAAATAAAATCGATAGAGGCCAAACTCCCCTCTCGTTCGAACCAAGTCCTCAGCAGCTTCATCTTCGGGTTGCGTATGAATGTCGGCTTCAGGCTTGCTCGCTGGGGGGCCAGTCGAGGTTGCCTTGGTGGCTTTCAAGTTCTCCGCCATTTGTTTTGTCAACCCCATTGCATCAACTAAGCACTCTTTCAAGACGTCATTTTTGAGTTCCTCTTTATAGTGAAGGATCTTGGTGTTGTGAATCTGAAACAGCTCGTCAGCGACATCCAGAGCAATGCCTAGGTGCGTGGCGAAAACGACAGTCGTCTTCAACCGCCTGAGCAGGCCATCGGGTCCCAGTAGTCTTTTTATGATAGCTCGTGCCGTTATTTGATCCTGAGATCCGAAAATATCATCCACGATCACGATATCGGCCCTGGTGTAGACAGCTCGGGCCAGCGCAACTCGATGCCGTTGGCCAACACTCAAGTTCATGCCATCGCTGCCAACTACCGTCTTATCACTAGCGGCGAGTTGACCAAAGTCATCCAAAAGTTGGCAGGCTCCGACGACAGAATGATACCATTTCTGATCATAGGTGTTCGGTCCAATGATGTTGTCTCTGATGCTGGCATTGGTCAGGTAAGGACTTTGGTCGCAAAATGCCCATTTTAGCTTGGCAACGATGACAGCGCCATGCAGAATTGTACCCTCTCCGATCAAGGTTTGAAGAAATGTTGACTTTCCACAGCTAATCGATCCAATTAGTGCAATAATTCTGGATCGCAAAATCCGCAGATTAATGCCCTGCAAGATTGCCACGGGTTGACCGGCTGGCCCGACCCAAGCATCCTTCAGCTCAACAACGGCCTCTTCGCTTTTCTCCTGATAAAACTCCTCATCACTCATTTGCCTAGACTCGGCTTCACCGCCGTCTTCTCCTTCGTCTCGTAAATGGTGTGCATCAGTTTGTTGGTGTTCTTTCAGTTGAAGGACGTCGCCATCGTGGTGTTGGCGCCTGTCTATCCATTCAGGAAGCTGCAAGTAGTTTTGAATGCGTTTCATGCATTCCCAAATCTTTGGGAGACTGGTATAGGTGTCTACCAAGTAGAAGAGTGGCATTTGAACAATCGCGATCAGCGATAGGGTCGGGAAGGCCACATACGCGGTGAATCCATTATCGAATCGTGTCCAAAAAAGGGCCGCAGCCAGAATGATGACTGGGGTGAGTGCCTCTATCGCCAATGCTGGCAGGCGCTGTCAATACCTAAGAAGCGCCGGTGACTTTGAAAGGGACTTACCTCCCGTCATCGTAGTTGTCGTACACACACGAAACCGTCGTGAGCAGTCCATCTCTGTTTCGCGCAGTTTTTGAGCATATTTAGAAACCATAGGGCCCAGACCCATCATTCGAATGGGAATTTGCTGCGATAGAATGATTGATAGGTTGGACACTCTGGATTCGATGCTCGCGTTCCAAGTCGCCAGTGCTTTCCCGGACCAATTGCCAACCACGATTCCATAAAGGATTGAAACTAAGACAATAACCTATTAGACGAATGGAGTGTCGACGTACGTGATGAAAAAAAAACCGACTTACAAACGAAAGGACCAAAAACAGTCAGAGATGCTAATCCAATAAACTTGTAGAGGAGAAATAGTCCAAAAGAAATATCGAGCAAGTAGCTCCAAAGATCATGAACGTCTGGCAGACTTTGTTCAATCCCTTCGACATCGGCGGTCATTAACGTGGAAATCGCCGATTTTTTTGCCTCGGCTCGCGTAAGACGAAGCTGCTTATCCGCCATGGCCGCGATGAGAACAGCACGAACGGCAGTGACGCAACGATAATTGGCATGCATATAGGCCGCTCTCGCAAGCTGTACAGAAAATCGCATTAGCCAACAGCGCCTAAACAAGAGATTTGGTAGTTTGAGCTAAGTACCCCTCTAGCCCCAAATACGAGGCCGGAAGCAGCAATGAGGCCGACTCGAGCGTATTCTTGAGCCTGTCTCCTCTGCACATAATCCAGAATGCGCTGCAGGAGAAATGGCTGGGCGAAGGTCAAGCCTGAATAAAGAAGTCGGGGGAGAATGACAGCACAAAATGGCCGCCACAAAGTAGCGAAGCAAGCGATAACGAGGCTGCCGTTGGACGAACGAGTTTTCCCTTGTGACTGATATTAGCTTTACCAATTCCTGCTGCGATGGATCTTAAAGATGCACACTTGTATCCCAGTGAGGGCTAAACTTTTCGAACAGCGGCCGCGTCGACAAATCCGTGTCCAAAGGCTCCAAGTCTTGGAGGCTCAGTGTTTGGCGAAACCCGACAGAAAAAATAGGATGAAGCCAAGCAAAGACGCTCCGACTCCAGAAGCCACTGGTTGATTCTTTACTGGCGTGTCGTCTCAGGCCTTCGTCTAGCAGAAGAGTCGTCTTGGGAACTTCCTGCACGCCGATAATGCCAGCTTTGACAGCAGCTGCAGCGGCGGACAGGCCACCCAGAGTGCCTAGGCCATGCCTCAGAAAGTAGGAGCGGCTTTTGACTATATCAAGGGCGAGGCTCAACAGAATATAGAGGCTTAGAAGCGAGGTTGGTCGCAATGTAAAGCGGTGCTCAACAACAATGAGAATGATAATGGTGAAGCTGGCGACGGAGGACACGGAAGCGGCGGCGAGCGCGGTATCGGATCTAATGGAGGGGGTTTTGCAGTACAATATAAGGCTAGAAATCTCCAAGGCAAAAAGCAGCAGCGTGGCAGCCTATACGGTGAAAGTCAGCATTGTGTTCGAAGCTGCGAATCAACATCAGGCCCATCGGTACTCACCAGCTTGATCCACAGAGTGATTCCCGCACGAGCACACGCAGGTCGTCGTTTGCAAACGTAAACAAACAAGGGAGCCGCGGCAATTAGCAAGCCAGTAGGTAAGATCCCGAGAGCGGTCTGCTCAAATTTTAGAGTAAAGTCAAACGAAGTTGCGTGCTGCGGCCCAAACGCCTGGTCATCGCCTGCAGTCGGCATTGTTGCGAATATATATTCAAGCTAAGCCGTCAATTCTCTAAGCAAAGACACTCCTAGGCGTATAGAAGTAGCGTGTGCGAGATCGAATTCCGGTACAGGCCAAAATCAACGAAAGCTGTCTCGTCCGTCGAATGGAGGGCCCCCCAAGGAGAAGATGGGAGGGGAGGGAGGTGGTGATGCCGAGCTGCAGCAGATGGGGGGGTTGATAACCCTGGCACCGAGGACGGGGCAGTTGTTAACCCCGACATAATGTTATCTGAGCACGCCAAATCAATTTGCATGTATACTTGTGTCGATATAAATCCTCGGTGGGTGGTGTTAAATGAGGTTGGTGGATGGGCCTTTTGCAGAGGTACAGTGTATCAAGACCAGTGCGGCATCCATAAACGTACTGTACCACGTCTACACGGCCACGCAGGCCCGTACATACAAGTCAACAAGGTATTTCTTCGAAAGAAGGAGATTGTGGTCGAATTCCGCTAGCTTTGGCATACATCATCTCCCACTCATCTTCTGCGAAATCATCGCTTTAAACGTGATCCCACAACCGCATCATCCATCTACCCAACGTCCGCAGACGCTTTGGTGCCCGAGGATCACTTGCCTCCCTCGCCGCCAACTGCCGCAGACATCGCGGTGACTTCGTTTGCCCCCAAGTCAGCATTTAGAAAATAGGTAAAGATATGCAAAGCGTGTTTGCCTGGCTTACTGATAAAAAGAGCCGACGCCATCGGGATACACATGTTCATCATTCGAATCATTCGCTGCTTGCTTTTTGCTATTGATGCAGAGGTGAAATGGGAAGAACTGCAGATTTACCCCTCAGAAGCAATCCTTCCCTTTATATGTGCACTGAGTACACGGCTATCAATGAGACTTTTTTCCTGCAGTTGATTGAGTTGGCAGGGCCATCGGGTATGAACTGATTGTTGCAGCTGCCACCACAAAAGTTCCACGCCCGGGCAAGGACCGAGCCGTCTTTCATTATCCGCCGCGTTCTATTATCCATCAAAGATTCAATATTCAAGCAAGCCGATCCCATTTCACGCATCCAACTCACCATCGAACCCAATCATGCTCCCTTTCGTGTTGGGGCTCATGCGGTGCCAAGCGCACAATCCTTTGAAGGATTCATGTCGCAGCGCCCACTGTGGTGCATATACATAGTCAAGCCCGAGACCCGAATAATCGACATCATTTCTGCAAGACAACCCCCGCGTGCTTGCCCACCGGGTGGCCCCGGCTGCCTTCACTAGCGAATGGAGACACTGGAGTAGCCGCTGGCATCTCATGCATGGACGGAATCTGGGGACGACGGGAAAGTACACCAACCTGTCACCCTGAGGATTGCGAGCAACATTTCTAATCCAGGGGGTGCATGGCGCGAGACCTTTACATAATCTGTTCCTGCTGCTTTTACATTTTATCTGAGCCAACTCGCATTCCATGCGCCCCTTCTATAGGAGTGAAGGCTTCCTAGCTGTAAACCCGAGATACTTTCACATTTCTGTAAAGTCTGAATTAATGGCTTTACGACCCAGTGTTTCCATTACCATAAAAGGCTATACAAAGAAAATTCCAATGCCCTTACCCAGTACTGTATGTAGTAAGATGACAGCGCGCAACAACAGCAAGTTGCGCAACTCGAACAGTCCGAGTACCCATCAACAGAAGAAACCATCTACTTAAAACTTTTTCAATAGCTCATCTTTGTCCACACTCGAATTCACCAAATCCGTAAACAAGCCGCCCTTCTGATACAGCTCCGCCGGCCGGCCGCTCTCCTCCAGCCGTCCGTTTTCCACAACCAGCAGCATGTCAAAGTCAGCGACAGTTGCGAGACGGTGTGCCACGACGAGGAGCTTTGCTTTACCCCCCTCCGCATAGCGGAGTGCGAGCTGGACAGCTGCGTCGTCATCCGCGTCCAGAGCGCTCGTCGCTTCGTCCATGATGATCATGCGCCGGTCCGCGAGAAGCACCTGCGCGAGTCGCAGCATCTGTCGCTGTCCCTGGGACAGTTTCAGCCCGCCGTGGCCAACCTCGAAGTCAAGTTTAATGGCTGTTGAAGCACTGCTTTTTGACTTGGTCGAAGCCGCGGCAGTGGAGGGAACGGCTTGGATTTCACTGCTTTTTTGCTCGGTCGAAACCCCAGCAGTGGAGGAAACGTCTTTGATTTCACTACTTTTTTGCTCTATCGGAAAACTAACAGTGGTGAGAACGTTTCGGATTTCGTCGTCGGTGTGGACGCCAGCCGGGTCGACCACCTCGCGCAAAGTAGCTCCAAACAGATAAGGATCCTGCGATATCACCAAGAGTCTTCTTCGAAGCTCTTTCACATTGACAGACGTCAGATCCACGCCATCTATGGTGATGCTTCCCCTCATCTGCAAATGCCGTGTCAGTGCCAATGTGAGCGACGACTTGCCCGCGCCCGTCCGTCCCACGATGCCAACCCGTCCCCCTGGGCTCACTGAAAACGAAACATCCTGCAGCAAACATTGTTCGAAATTCATTTCGGGGCTTGCCGTCAGTCCAGAAACTTTCAGCTCGCCCTGTAGCGCCCAAGCTTCAGGTAGATCCTCTCCGTCCACCCTCTCCGCGGGCAGGTCCGCATACTCGTCCACTCTACTAACGCTAACCATGTCGCCCTCAACGTCGACCAGCCGCTGCAGTAGCTCTGACATGACCTTGCTAAACTGGTTGGCAAACAAGAGCGCAACGCCGGTAGAACCCGCATCCGCCCGCGTCGCCACTGCGCCAACTGCGATGCTTGTAACGAACAGCACGCCAACGGCCGCGAGTTGGAACTTCATCATTTCCCCGCAGAGGTCCAAACACCGCTTGTAGCGTGTCCGATTGTCGAGATGCTCGTAAACGTCGTGGAGAAAGTAGTCGCACATGTTGAAGGTGCGCAGCGTCAGCAGCGCATTGATTTGTTGGAGATCCTGCAGCCGCTGATAGAAGGCCGCGGTGCCACCGTCGCTCAATATCTTGAGTTTCTTATCTTGAGTTTCTTTGACACTGGCATCAATCGATATGTGATTTTGTAATAAAGAAATAGCAGTAGCAGCGTGGCGATGGTTTGATAGCCGGAGATGGAGGCACTGCACACGTTAGCTTGCATCTACGACAAGACAAGTCGGCTAACATACCTTGTGAACAGTATAATCAACACACCCATCCCACTTCGCAGGGCTTCTAGAATATCTTCTATTACTTTTCCGTCCAGCTTGTGCACATCAGGCCCGAGTCTAGACGTAATATCCCCTCTTGAAGTCTTTTCTAGCCACTGCAATGGTGAATGGAAGACTCCGAGCAATGCCACCGATGGCAGGATGATGCGCGGAGGCCAAGATACGAAGACAAATATGTAATAACAGCGCTCACGATACTGTTTGCAGTGGCAATCAAGAGATATGCGCCTCCGAAATATGTAGCGTCTGATTCTCTGTAGCCGTCGGCCTCGCTGAGCATCTCGAATCGGGCTATCCAGTGTTGCAGCCATCGCTTCGAGTATATTCTAGTGCCGTCGACACGGCCAGCGTCACCAGCACAAATAAGACGACTTTGACACCTCCGATAGCCCGATAATATGGTGCATATGGATTTTGAGAAGCGAGCTTCGGAGCAGCCCTGCTTTTGCACCCCGGCTCGGCTTGGGGCTGTGGCAGTCCCTTTGAAGGAGCGACGTCTTTAGCAATAGCGCCAGGAGCCTGGTCTTCAGCAACAACGTCAGAAACCTTGTTTTCCAACTGAATCGTCTCCTCGGCGCGTCCACCCTCAATAGTCACAGTCATGGCAGCTTTCTGCACACACTGCATGGCCTGATGTGTCGCCAAATCCTCGTTCGGCCCTGAGCAAGCGATCCGCAAAAGGCCTTTTCCACCAGCCATTGCCGCACTTCCGTGTCCACTGCGGACAAGACGTCATCGATGAGAATGACCTTTGCGTCAGAGTATAGTGCTCTGGCGAGTGCAACGCGCCATGCCTGTCCACCACTCAAGGGGTCCCTTTTGCACCGATCACAGTGCTGTCTCCATCCGGCAGGGCTGCGAGATCTTTTTCCAGAGCGCAGCAGTGAATTGCTGCTTGGTGGCGTTCTGCGTTAAATGGTAGAACAAAAAGGACGTTTTCTCGTACAGACTTATTGTCCATCCAGGGTGATTGCGTAACGATTGCCATTTCCTGGTCACACTGCTCTGGGTTATAATCACCTCCGAGTCAGGCGGCGTGGGGCACTGGCGCACGGAACTCGCCAGAGAGAAGTGCAGCTTCGCCTGCAATGGAGCTCAGAAGAAGACTTTGTCCCGAGCCCGTTTTTCCAGTGACCACGCTGAGTTGGCCACGGGGAAACTGAAGCGAGGCCTTGAGCTCGAGTTTGCCATCCTTTCGGGCGTCCTTATTCCACGCCATAGCCGCCTTGTCCAACAAAATATCCTCAGACGCAGTTTCAGTGGTCCTTTCTGCTTCGGGAGCCGCGAAATAACCTTGCAGCCTTTGCAATCCATTCCATCCTTCCACCCAGTCCGATACCTCAAATGGCAGCGACGCAAGACTGGCTTGCAAGTCATGAAGCAAGCAAGCTTAAACATGCAAATGCGACAGCTGCTGTCATTTTCTCACCTCTGAGAGTGCATAGATAAAGAGGTACTCCGGCCAGAACGGCCGAAACGACACCGCTGACCAATTTTGAAGCACAGATGAGGAGTGAATGCTTCCTGCGCAGCCTCAGCTCCTTGCTTCGGATTTCTCTGGCCTTAATCATCCACTCGTCTTCAGCGGCAGATAGCTTTATCTGACGAATTTTTAGCAGCGCATTAGCAATCACGGTTGAGTTTTCGCTGGTCTGCTTGTTCAAGGCTTCCTCAGTTTTGTGGTGTTGTAGGGCAATTATTGCGTCAATTCCCATGAAGAAGAACGCCAAGCTCAGTGTGGGAACCAGAACTCGCCATCCAACCAATTTATTCAGAAATATCAGTGTGGTGAGTAGTTTTGTGACAATGTTGGGCACCCTGTGAGAGTGGGTGAAGACCATGGAAGCCTTCGCTCTGAAGTCATTATTAGTACACTTCAAGTTGATGGAGCAATGCAGCTTACCCGTTCCTACGCATTTCTTTGAAGATTGATGACTCGTCGTCCTCGTCCTTGGATGATTTGTCATCCATGACGTTAGGCATTCGGAGAGTCTTGTCACACACCAGCGACATCAGTATCATCCGCGTGGGAGAAAAGAGCTGACAACTCGAAAACCAGTCCGACATATATCCCAGCCATGCAGTGAAAAATTTACAGCCACCCAGGGCCATTGCCAGATAGAAACCGTGCGAAGTGCTCGATGACTGCGTTTCGAGGTATCCTAGCAGTTTGTAGGTGACATATTGCGGCACAATCGATACAGTGGTTCCAGCAACTGCGAAGATCCAGTGTATTATCATAGGCTGGCTAAAGCGCTGAAGCAGTGATCCAGTCAGCGATGCAGCACGGTCGCAGCGCTCTGCATACCGCTTTGCCTGTGTGGCGAGGTGGGAAGCACGGGAAGGTTGTCGCACTTGTCGTCAAGTGAGCTAGCAGCCCAGGTGAAGCTGATCCTTTCCAGTATAGAGGCTGACTCTTGGCGATCAACTAGCTTGCCACCAATAAACTGGTCCGCCGACCGGGGAACGAAAAGGTGCGCGGAGAGCAGCGACAGAGAAGCCAGTCCTTGTGTGATGGCAGCATCGCCACGATACAGCGCCACAAGATGAATAGCACTCATAACCGCTCCATTAACACTTGCTATGAATCGTATTTCATAGCTGCCTTCCGTGAGCACAAGGCCGGTTTGAGAGGCAAGCATCTCCTACAGAGTCAGCCATAGAAGCGGCCACATATGAGAGGATACGTACCCAAGACAAGCTCGCATGACCTAGCCGGGCCGACTGAACGATAAAGTAGCATGTAGCAGCCAGACCGACCAACAGAGCTGCTCAGCGATAAGGAGAGAGCTCGGCATGCCCTGGTGATTCGCGGCGCGGCCATAGTTTGGTCACTAAGCCGAGAATCCCTAAAGCCGAGATCAGCGTCGTTGCAAGAGTTTCTATATGTTCTCTGTCAACTATAGTATTTGTGAAGTATTCCATTTCGATCGTGAGCATTCGTCACTGCCGTGTTGTTTGATGGCAGTAGTAGTTGAGTTGCGTCCATCTCTGGGCTGGGCGGGGGGAGGGGTAGTCTTATTTGTAGGTAATTCTCATAAGCGCCCAACAGGACCCGGAGTTACACGGGGTGATTATGTGACGTTTGGTGATTTCTGATTCCATAGAGACAAAGAAAGCGCTTGAAGACACTTTTGTGGACGAGTCACTGCCATAGCATACAGTTGAAGGGCATCGCATCGAGCAGGTGCTGCACCTTTCGTATTACACCGAAACTGGCTGCGGTGCACCTGGGGTGGCATTGTATGAGATGCGCCCCGCCGGTAAGAAGAACAACACCACGACAGCCCCTGTCCGTGCCTCTGGATAGTGATGCGTGCCTGGGCCGGGGGACGTCCAGCCCGCACCCTGCCAGCCGCTCATGCCTTTGAGCTGCGCGCCATCTGACATTGGTATAACGCAGTTAATCTCGCCATATGGGTGCAGGTGGTACTGGCCGCGCAGAATATCTTGGTGGCCCGCGCGGGGGTCCATGTAGACGGTGGTGATGCTGCAAAAGCGCGTAGCCTCAGTGGGCGGGCTGATTCGCGTGCGCCGGTAGTACGCGCCCTGCACCTCATCAGTGGCGACCCAGCCCTCGTTGTACTCGAGGCCCTCGCGGATCAAGCGGGCAAAATCATCATAGAAGGCGTTTCCGGGGCCGTACTCGCGGTTGAGGCGCCGCTCTAGATCGCGGCCGGGGGTGCTGTTTGCAATCGCAGATCATCGGCTGGTTAGTGGTGGCGGGCGGCCGGGTGGATATGCGCCCACTTACAGATTTTCGACTTCGGATAAAAACTCGGATACACGTTGGATGAGTTTTTGGCAATTTGGATGCTTGCTGGAAGACATTCTGATAGACATGTGTTGATGCTGGTGGCAAAATGGGAGGGGCAAGCTAGGCAGGGAGATACCTGTAGCAGTATTATCAGTACACGGCGCCATGGCACTCTTCATGGAAACGGTTCAGCAAGCCACTGTTATATTCAATTTACATGGACACTATTTAATTCGTAGCAAGACCCATTACTTATATCACTTTCACATAATTGAGGCTTCTAGGCATTTAAGCGGCCATGACGAGGCCAGCGACGGCAGCAATACCAGCGATAATATTGGCCGTTGCGGCGGCGGCGGCAGCGCTGGACAGTGAGCTGGATGGCGCACTGGTGGTCCTGGAGCTCGAGGGAGAGCCACTTGTGCCTGTTCCGGTGCCTGTTCCGGTGCCTGTTCCGGTGCCAGTGGTGCTCGAAGCCGTTGAATTGTGCGTGCTAATCCCAGAGCTGCTGTGGTGGTGCGAGCTCGAGCCGGACGTGTTAGAAGTCGGCACAGGGGAAGACTCCGAGATGGTAGAGCTACATTGGGTTAGTTGTTTTACACTCAAATTTTACACTCAAAATATTGAGGAAACTCACGAGATGTGTGTGGTTTGCGTTGAATCGCTGGTGATGATCGGGATTGTAATTGTACCCGAGTCGGTTGTCGGGAACGGGGTAAAGGAGACGATTGGCTGGATGATGCTGAGGCTGCGTGTAGGCGTCGGTTCGCCTCCAGTCTGAACAGGATTGGTGTTCGACGGGGGAGGGTCGCTGCTCGAATTGTGAGCTGAGCTGAAGTGTTCGACACTGCATAGTAGATCCTAGTGAACATACCGAGGAGCGACAGCGCTGACCACGGCAGCGAGTGAGAGGAGGGCAAGCTTCATGATGGAAAACTCGTACTGGAAAATGGTTACAGATGAGAAGAACAGCTCCGAGGCTGGAGGACGTAGAGGTGATTTTAAAGACAAGCTGACAAGCGGGTTACGCGGCACTCTGGCGATCGAGACCGTGGTGATGGTTGCGCTCCTGCCAAATTTGGAAGCCCCGCTGAGATGGCGGGGGAGACAGTGCGATTGACGGGTTTTTGCGGGGTGAAGGAATTCGCACTGTACTTGGCACAGTACAGTGATACTCTGGATACGAGATGGACAAGTGTAACCTGCCTTTTAGGTGAAGGATATGTTGAGTGGCAATGCACCATGGATACTGCGTGGACTATTATGAGACTTGGGCGTCATGGGTGAAGATCTTTGTAGGTGCCATGTCTGTTGTTATACGTAATCCACCGTATTAAATGGTTGCCAAGGACGAGGGTGTCATTTTGTGCGATCAGGAAATGCTATCGCCTTCACTAAATACCCTTTCGGTGTGTGCAAAAGGCAGCACGCCAAAACTCCAGGTGTCGGCCTTGTACGCGGCCATGAACAATGCTCTTTCTCCTTCTGTGGCACGGCTGGCTGGCTCGTCTTGGCCGCATGGAGTAGTTTATGGGTCGCGGAGCGGGACGGGCCTTGCTGGAGACGTGTGATGTTTTGTGGCAGAGGTTTTTGGATTCATTTTTGGAGTTGTGTTTCTGAAATACTGGCCAGATTCTGGGAAACAAATTCCGCAAACGTGGTGAGCGGTTGAGATAGACGGATGGACGACACAAGGTGACATCATTGGCAGAGAAGTACTTGCAGGGCTGGTATCGAGTGTGGCGCAGTGGGGCTGGTGATTGGGTGAGGCGTTTCGCTGGGCAGCTTCTTAACGCTCACACTTTTGCGTGGTAATGGGGGGGGGGTTTCATTTTTCGCCAGTTGAATCGAGACATCGTGGCTATGCTTCCGGATGGAACCTTGTGTTGAGGCAGGGCTGTTGCCTCGATAATGCCGTGCGTGGTACATGGCAACGGCACCGGAGCCCGGGGCGGCCGATGGCGAATATACGGGGGGCAAGTAAGGGGACTACTGCAGCATGTTGAATCGCGTATCTGGCTGTTGTTTCTACCACGGTGGATTGCCGTTGAGTCAAAACTGCCGAATCATTTAGTACCTACTTATGTACTTATTAGGTAGAAGTCGAGGTACCTGCACCGTTGTCGTGAGTGGCGCAGCGACTGCAGCAGACAGCCATCAATCAACAAGCCCAAGCATATCCGTAGTCACCAAACAAACAAAGGTCGACACCATCTTTTCTGTTCATTATAATCAAGAGACCCTGTCAATAGCATAAATCGCTTCTTTCCAAGACCAGGGTCTGGCTACTTGTCCCCTATGTACTTGCCCCAACGCCACAAGCCGCTGCCTGGGCACAATGCCACTAATTGCCCGGCCTCCTCCACTTGTTACCGTCATGGCTGCCCCTCCTCAGCATCACGCCCCGCCAATTCTCTTCCAGAGTCTTCCCCTGCCTCTTCCATTTTACCGCCCAAACCAAACCCTTTGTCCCAGAAATTTCTACCCAATTCATATCGAGTCATCAATATTTTCGTCACATCAGGACTATACACTACACGCACTAGCTACATCCTGAGCCCATCCTGACCCCTGGTGCCCTGCTGCCAAGTTCAACGCAGCCCACTCGTCCTCACCTCGTCATTTGCTGAGCTTGGTGCCACCTTGGTGCAGTTATCTGACGCTTCGCCTCACTTGTTACGCCCGCTTCTCCACCGGCAACTCACATTCTTCATCTCACATCTTCTCGATCTTTTTCGACTTGCACAACATACCCCTCATTCATCAGCATCAACCTACCTATCCAGTCAACTTCACCAGACCAAGGGCCTTCACTGCCCATGGCCTCCTACGATCCCTATGACCGGGACTATCCCCGCCAATATGTTCGCGAAGAGCGTCGAGAGGCTACCCGCGACAGGTTCCTCGACCCGCGCGACTTTCCCAAGACACACTCGCGCGATCTAGTTCCCCGACAAGACAGCGACCTGTCCGTGGAAGAGATTCGTCGCGACTTCCCGCCCCCTACTGGCAGAGACATACGCCGCGCCCGCTCTGCTGGCCCCTGGGAGGATGACTACGGTCGCCCTCGTGGCTACGGCGGCTACGACCGCTACGATCCACGATATGACCACGAGCGAGACCGAGACTACGACCGCCGTCATCGTCGTGGCCCCAGCAGCAGCGGCTACCAAGACGAAGAGCGCGCCAAGAAGGACAAGGCCAAGGCCAAGCAGGAAAAGATCATCGCAGCAGTCGCTGGCGCTGCTTTGCTCGTCGGTGGAAAAGAGCTATATGACCGCCACGAGGCCAAGGAAGGTGGCAGCGATGTTCACCGAAACGCCCTCTCCTCAGCAGCGCTTGCTGGCTTTGGTGCTCTCGCCGGCTATCAGGGCGCTGAGTACTACAGCAAGCAGCAGGCTAAAAAGGACGAGAAAGCCAATCTCCTCCTTCACCGCGGCCGAGATGGGCAGCTCAATGACTACTACTCAGACGAAGAGGATGGCAAAGAAAAGAAATCCAACAAGAATTTCCTTGAAAGCGCACTGGCTGCTACCGGCCTCGGCGCCGCTGTGAAGCAGTTTACAGGTGGTGGTGACGACAAGTCCCGTCGCGGCAGCCCCAACAGATCCCGCGCCGGCTCCAAGGAGCGCAGCAGCGGAGGCAACAAGATCCAAAAGGCTGCCATGGCCTCTCTGCTTGCCGGTGCCACCGAGGCATTCCGCGTGGCCAAGGAGCCTGGTGGTTGGCGAGGTGAAAAGGCCAAGCGCGTGTTTACCGCCGCAGCCGGTGCAGCCACTGTCGATGCTGCGCAGGGCGGCGACAAGGGTACCCTTGGTCTCGCCGAGTCTGTCATCGGTGGTCTAGTCGGCAACCGCCTCATCAACGGCTCCAAGAGGGACATTGAGGAAGACGAAAAGACGGGCCGCAGCCGATCTCGATCTCGGGCTCGTTCCAAGAGTGGTGGTGGCGGCCCCGGCGGAGCTGGTCTTGCTGCACTCGCAACGGCTGGTCTCGGCGCTCTCGGTGCCAAGAAGGTCCTTGATCGCTCACGATCTCGCAGCCGCAGCCGACGTGCGGATTCCTACGATTCCAGAGACGCATCTCCCGATCGTCGTCGACAGCGCAGCAGAAGCCGCAGCGTCGTCGACCGCGCCCGCAACAGCCTTGCCAGGCTCGGAATCGGCAGTGCTGATGCCGGCCCCGCCGACGACCACCGGCGTCGCGACCAAGACGACTTTGGCGATGGGTACCGCCACCGGTCTCGGCGCCACTCGGACGACTACGACGACAGAGATGGTCGAGATAGCAGAGACGGCAGAGACGGCAGAGACGGCAGAGATGGTAGAAGCGACAGAAACGGCAGAGACGAAAGAGACGACAGAGATTACGCACGGGCACCCCGAGGTGGTCGGGATCGGTCAGCTTCGCGGACCCGTCGCCGTGGAGGCCGTTCCGACTACGGATCTGACACGGACCTGGGAGACTCGGACGACGATGAGAGAAAGGCAAAGAAAATGAGAGGTAAGCAATTGATCACTTCAGGTCTCGCTGGTGTCGCCACGATCCACGCTGCACACGAGGTTTTTGAGAGTTGGGAAAAGCGTAAAGCCAGGCAAAAGGCCGTCAAAGATGGCAAGTTGTCCAAAGTTGACGCCAATAAGCTCAAGACAAAGGCTCTCGTCAAGGACGCAACGGCGATTGGCATTGCTGCGATGGGCATTCGAGGTGCCCTCAGCAACGTCAAGGAAGCCAAGGAGCTGCAGCACGAGTGTAAAGACTTTCAGAGTGAAAAGGCCCGTCGTCACGAGAGGCGAGAAAGGCGTCGTAAGCGCCAGGAATTGGGGCCGCGCCGTCGATCTGGCAGTCTTCCCACGCCACGAAAGCAAAGGTTGATTGACTGGGACGACAATATTCCTCACTACGACGATGAGTATTACACGACGCAGCCTGCAGCTCCGGCGATGCGGCATCGCCCACTCTAACAACGGTCAGGGGTGCCACATGGCAGCTTATGACACGGCCTGCTTTACTGTGCCGCTTTCCAGAGCAAGGAAAACTATTGGCTTGAGATTTGTGGCGTCTGCGAGATTTAGCGTTGCACCAAAGAGACCTTTTGCTCTTTCAAGCGTCCAAGAAGCGAGACTAATACGTGATGTGATAGACCATCGTCGATACTAGGTGGAAGCGGTCCACGACAGACCAACGGGACGGGGCGACGCCCAACGCCCACGACGCCAAAGCAGGGGAGAGTGGCACAATGCACAGGGATTTGCTGCATGACGATGCCGGCTACCCGAGGGGGATTACACTGACGCAATAGAGGTGGCAGGTCAAGACTTTGAAGATTTGATACTATGAAACCACTTTTGGATGATTTAATGAGTGCTATCGCTAGAGACAGATACCTGAACGAATTTACGTGATTTTTTCATTTTGTTAATTTTTATTCTTCATATAATGGACAGAGATTTTCTATGAGGTGTAAACATCTACTGATGGCCAACCCCAACATGCGGGAAGGTGGTGGGCTGGCATGGCTTGCAGCTGTGGTGCGACAATGACATCACCACTTTGAATCCATCGAGCCCAACGTCCCAGGCACCAAGGGCTCTGCAGATACCATCATGTAAGCCCTGGTTTACAACACCAACGCATTTTTAATCATTTTATATTACACCACCCGTGAGGTTTTTTCGTCTTGAAATTATTAAATAAAAACACCGCCCTTCACGACAGGCTGCCACCAGTCTGCTTCCAGCTCTGCGCCATGGCCAGCATGTTGGACAGGTTGCCCGCCTGCTTGTCGTCGGCGGGGAACACGTAGTCGACGTACTCCTCGAAGGCGTCCTCGTCGCCGTCGACGCGGCGCCTGCGCTTGACGCGGCGCGGCATCTGCGCCTGCACGCGGTCCACGTCTCCCTCGGCCCCGTGCGTGCGCTCAAACGACAGCCAGGCGTTGAGCAGCGCCACGCGCTCCTCCTTGAGGTCCTTGTCGCGCATGCGCTTGTGCGCGCGCTCGAACACGGCCCTGGTGCGCGCCTTGGCCTCCTCGCTCACCACCTCCTGCTCCTCCTCGCCGTCCTCCTCGCCTTCGGGGATGTTGACCTCAAAGTGCGCGTAGCTGATCCACACCTTGACGTGGTCCGTCTTGTCCAGCAGGCGCTCGTACAGCGCACGCGCGCGCTCGTACTCGCCCTCGCCCTCCTCAAAGTCAATGTACGCCTTCCAGAGCAGCTCCGGCATGTCGAGCGGGTCCTGCGCGACGGCGAGCTCGAAAATGGCGCGCGCGCGCTCCGTGTCCTCGAGCGCCGCCTCGAGCTCCGCGAACCGGATCCACGTCGTGCAGTTGGCCGGGTTGTGCTCCACGTGCTTCTCGTACAGCGTTCGGCACCGCCCGAACTCGTACAGCCGCCGCTCCAGGTCCACGTAGCCGACGAACAGCCGGTCCTTCGGGCACGTCCCCAGCGCCCGGCCCAGCAGCTTGCGCGCCGCCGTCAGCTGGCCCTGCCGGATCTCGAACTGCGCCGCCAGCAGCCACACCTTGGCGAACGTGAACCGCTTGTGCGGCACCAGGCCCAGGCACGTCGCGTAGATCTGCCGCGCCCGCTCCGCGTCCCCGCCCTCCGTTTCCTCCCATATGGCGTAGAATATCCAGAGATAGATGTATCGTCGCCAGTGTCGCTTCTCTTGCGTCGGTGGCACCTGCGCCACAGCACGCTCGTACACGTCGCGCACCCGGTTAGCGTCGCGCGACGTCTCCTCCAGCGCCGCATAATCAAACCAGGCGTCGTAGTTCTTAGGGTTCTCCCGCACCAGGTTCTCGTAGTGAACGCGGCGCTTGCTCAGCACCACGTCTTCGACGCCGTCCTGGTCACCAAACTGCTTCTCAAAGGTCGTGTAGTTCTTGTGTAGCGCGGCCGACTTGGAGCGCGGTAGCCGGTCGAGGGCGTACTTGTAGATGGCGCGGGCACGCTCGTATTCCTTGAGCTTGGACTCAAAGCGGGCGTAGGCGATGAAGAGCTTCTCGTCGACGAGCTCGTCACCAAGCGTCTCAACCGCGTTTCCAAAGACGTCCCGCACAAGGTCGCTCGTGCCGAACTCCTCCTCAAACTTAGCCCACTTGATCCAGTTGCGCGGCTCCGGGTGAATCTGCGTAAACATGCTAAAGATTTCGCGTGCGCGCTCAAACTCGCCGTATCGCTTCTCGAGCTTTATGTATGCGCTCCAGGCCGCCTCATCAGGCCGCCACTGCATCCATCGGTCAAACACCTGGCGCGTGCCGGGGATGTTGCCCAGCATCTCCTCCATGTAGACGTACTTGTACCACAGCTTGTCGACGCGGGGCAGGCGGGTGACGGCGCGGTCGAGAAGGTTCCGGGCGTGGTTAACGTTGCGTGTCTTCATCTCGGACTCGATGTAGCGCACCCATAGCTGCACCGAGTTGGGGTGCACGTCGAGGGCGCGCTCAAAGACGGAGCGCGCGCGCGCAAACTCCTTTTGCTCCAGCTCCCATGCGGCATACTGCGTCCAGTTGCGCAGGCTGATGCGGTTGCGTCGCACATAGTCCTCAAACTCCTTGCGCTTGCGGCCCTGGTACTCGTGCAGCTCCTCGAGATCGGAGAAGCGTTGCTGCGGCGCTTGGATCCCACCTTCTTGCCGGTCGACGGCCTCGCGTAGCAGCTGCTCGGCCGAGATTTGCACAGGCGCCGCGGCCTTGTTCTTGACCCGAGGGGGTCCGCGTGTCGACTCCATGATCGGCTCGTAGAAATCAATGCAGCGGTTCGAATTGCTGTCGATGGATGGCGTTGGTTTCTGATTGCGTAGGTAGTTGAAATTTGGCTGCTGGCGCGATAAGATTTATCGTGCACGGACCACCCTAGGCAACTACTGCTGCCAAAATATTTACTAAGTAGGTAGCCGCCTTGTCAACTTCAACCATCCATCCCGACGCGCATTGTCAGCAGCAGCGAAAATCGACAGTTGCAGCCATGTCTACCGTCGCGGACGAATTACTCAACGATTTTGGTAGCTCGGGTGACGAGGCCGAGGAGCTGGAAAATGGCCTCGACACCACAAACGGCGACCCCATGGACGAGGATGGTGTCGAGATCAAGGCAGAGGATGAAGACATGGACGATGAAGCGGCATCCAAAGCCAAAATCGAAAAAATGCAGCTTGGTGCTGTGAAAGACGTACGCAGCGTGGCCAGCTTGATGGCGACGTTGGAACCAATCCTAGAGGTAGGGTGCCTTCACGATGCTGCTACGTTCTTCGCTAACTTGTGTAGAAAATCAAGCAGTACCAGTCACAACCAGCCACGCAATCGAATGTCGGAAACATTGAGGATCATCCCGAATACCACCTCCTAACGCAGTCAAACAGCCTATCGACGCAGATTGACGGCGAGGTGGCGCTGGTGCACAAGTTCATTCGCGACCACTACTCGATACGTTTCCCCGAACTCGAGCGACTCGTCACAACACCGCTGCAATATGCGCAGGTCGTTTCCATAATAGGCAACTGCCCTATGGACTCGGAAAGCGTAAAAGCGCTGCAGACGTCGACAAATAACCCACTGGGCATGGGTCTCAAAGCTGTGCTGGATGGACCGTCGCTCATGATTGTTACTATTGAAGCTACGACATCAAAGGGACAGGAAATGGCGCCTGGGGAACTTGCAATAGTGCGCCAGGCATGCGACATGATGATTGCGCTACACACGGCCAAGACCATCTTGACGGACTACGTGCAGTCACGCATGAACATCTTTGCGCCGAACCTGACTGTGCTCATCGGGTCGCTCACTGCGGCGCAACTACTCAACGCAGCTGGCGGACTAACTGGACTCTCCAAGACACCAGCCTGCAACCTGCCGTCATGGGGGTCCAAGAAGCGCCATGCCGGTCTAGCGACAAACATTGGTGTGCGCCAACAAGGTTTCCTATACAACTCAGAGATTATTCAGGGTATCCCTAATGATTTGAAGAAGCAAGCGATGCGGATTGTTGCGGCGAAGCTCGTTCTAGCCGCGCGCGTCGACCGCATTCATTCAAGCCCCGACGGATCTACGGGCGACAGTCTCAAGGGACAGTGTCTAGAGCGGCTGGAGAAGCTCACAGAGCCGCCACCGAACAAGGGAGCGCGCGCTCTGCCAGTTCCCGACGACAAGCCATCGCGCAAGCGCGGTGGACGCCGGGCGCGCAAGGCCAAGGAGGCACTCGCGATGACGGAGCTGCGACAGGCGCAAAACCGGATGGCGTTTGGCAAGGAAGAGCGCGAGGTGGGCTACGGCACGGGCTCGGGCACCGTGGGACTAGGCATGATTGGGCAGGCTAACGACGGTCGGATCCGCGCGATGCAGGTCGACCAGCGGACGCGCGCCAAGCTAAGCGCCAAGAACAAGGGCTGGGGCACGGCGAGCACGGTGGGCGGAGGTGCGGCGTCGTCCATCAGCGGGTTCGGGCAGACCAACAGCATGGACCTGCGCGGCAAGGGCCTGCGGATGTCGGGCGTGGGCAGCACGGTGGGCGGCCCGGGAGCGGGCACGGCCTCGTCGCTGGCGTTTACGCCGGTACAGGGTCTGGAGCTGGTGGCACCAAAGATGCAGGCGGATCTGAGCAAGAAGCGCAAGGCAGAGGAGGACCGATGGTTCCAGGGTGGAACATTTACGCAGCTGAGCTCCAGCGGCGCAGCAGGATCATCAAATGGTTTCAAGATTCCGGAGCTGCCAGCGTCGAAGCGGCAGAATACGGGGGCGGGCAGCATGGCGCCACCGCCGAGGAAGTGAGCCTGGACGGGAATAATCTTGGAAATTCCTACAGGAAAGGGTGATGGAAGTGGCGAGGGGGACAGTATTGGTGGTCTCTTTCGGGATTTTGGCGAATGGCGTTTGAGGTAGAACAACCCGCCAATGTCATGGCAATATCATGTATTTGGGGGTCATGTAATTAACAGCTTTGTGCATCCAATATTCCATAACTTTACGAAGTTTGCGCATGTCGCCTGGATGTGACGGCATAGTGAACGTGTGCAGGCGATGGCCACCAAGTGGCGACGGCCAGCGTCCTTGAATGCCCGCGGAGAAACTAACGTGCTCTCTGGAAAAGATGGTGGGGGTGCATCTGCATATGCACATGTGTGTGCGTGTCTTGAGAAACCCGACGGCCGTGTGACAAAGTTGCCCGTGTGGCTCAACATGGGATTCTGTCTGGATGGAGGAGGGGGGGAAAAGGGTCCGCGGGGCGAACAAAAGGGGTTGCGGGAAGTCCTGCTCCGTTGCAGTGGGTGGCCATGTGTTTCTAGGAAGGTGGCGAGGGGAGGGATGCAAGTATGCAGATTGGCAGGTACAAGATACAAGCGTTGAGACTGGATATCAAGTTTCTGCGCACGTGTGCGTGTGTGTCTGTGGCGGGCGAATGGTGAAGCTAGAGAGAATGGTGGTGTGTGGCTCGTTCACACTGCGAGATCTGGATGATACAAGCCAAGCCAAGCCACAAGATCACCAATATCCGGGAATGCTTCCTCTATGGGCAGGTACATGGATAACTCGCTTGTTATACTTGTAAAAGCAAGGCAGGGCTTACACTCGCGTGATCTGTAGCTCATATACGGCGTGTGCAGAGTATGTCCCAGGTGTGGGTTGTTGTGTTGTTGGTGTTTTGATACGTGAGGTCCCCAGCCTCACCAGCCACGCACAGTATTGACCGCTTATTAGGCCCGTTCAACTTGCATTCCCCTATCAAACAAGAATAGCAAGGCAATTAGTCAAATAACTTTTGAGTGGTGCCTTTTGCTAGCGTGGCGCTGCGCTGTCATGCATTGCATAGACGATGCGCAGGGTAGGTCGCACGAAGCTGTCGTTTACCTGGGGTCACGTAGGGTTTTCTCTCAGCCGGGGGCTTGAAAGGAAGAAATAAGGAAGATGAATTCGTATCCTTGCCATTTTACGGGTTGGGGTCTTTTTACACGCGTGCTTCCTTGGTCAACGCAAACAGGGCTGCTTACAAGCGGAGCTTTCGCGGAGCACTTGATGAGTGCGACGACCAACATAAACATCGAGATCGAGATGAGCACCATATGCGTGTGTGTACCCTGAAGGACGGCCGAGTGCGAGCATGCAGTTCCTATCTCGCCTCATATTTATCAAGATCTCGCATCTGTTGCACAAAGCTTTCCCAGATGATACGGATCCGACTTAAGACAAAATCGAGAGATGCTGCAAAAGCCTCTTGCCTTGTTCGTTTGGTCCCGAGGCATGAGGCAAGCCAACAATTTTTTTTTTGCACAAGGCGTTGTCATTGACGGATCTATGACGTAGGAGACGTTTATTTACTGATTCCCTCTTTCTTCCCTTCTGGTATCCTGGTACCGTCATTAATCCCATGTCCGTTGCTTAATTGCGACGGGGTACGAAGAAGGGAAGGAAGAAAAGGGAAGGGGCGTGAGCATTCATTGGGGTGGTGAGCGGGGGAACTTGGTCATGTTGGACGGCCGCCGTGCATTTGCAAGTACCTGGTGATGGAAAAGGGGGTGTGTGATATGACGGAAGACATCGAGATCGTGGGATGTTTATGGCGTAACATTTTCCAGGGCAAGGCTGGCAGGCGTGCCGATGAAGAGGGGCAGAGACATGAGAAGGTAGCGGGGGACCGCAGACAGGGTCAAGCAGGTGATGGGAAAACCAAAAAAGACTGCGGGAACCAGGGCGAAGAAGATGATTCTCAAGAATGAGACAACTGATAAGAACGTGGACGGGGAGGGAAAAAAAAAAAAGTCAAACCAGCAACAATAGCGAAAGTAGCAGAGCTTTCACGCCGCATCCAGGCGGAACGCGGCGGGCGGGCTGCCATTTTCTTCAACGCCCGCCGCATGCGGCAGTCCTTGTGGCTTGGCCCGGGGGGCGTGTGGCTGCAAGGGCCCTTCCCCTCCGTGGCGCAAAGAGGTACCCGGTCAGACGGGTTCGCAACAAGGTGATGTGCAACTCAGCAGGGCCCTTGTCTCTCCTTGCACCGTTTTTCCCGATGCACCAGCAAAACCACCGATCTGAGAGAATGACTGGCGCCTGTCAAATTGGGTATTGAGAGGGTTTATCCCAAGGAAAAAAGAGCGGGGAGTGGGGGGTGGGTGGCATTGAGGCTGGTGAGTGGTGCAAAGCCACAGCCTTCCGTCCGTCCTTTTATTACCCAGTAATAAACCGAAGGTACATAGTTTAGCCACTAACTCCTGGCCAAGCTGAAGAATTGAGTTTACAGGGGCACAGAAGCAAGGACCGGCAACTGGATGAACACTCATATGTTTGCCCTGTTCTGGGGTACAACAGCTATCAGGGCACGGCCATAAACCAACAGCAATATAACCGTTTCATTTACCAGTCCTCAGAAATCACATCAAGGTATGCACTGGGCAACTTGGCAGGCACGGGCACCAAAACATCAACAACGCCAGAAAAAGCAAGTCCCGTGGCTGGAGCGTGAAGCCTGACAATGATTAGTTATTCTTGAGAAGGGGAAGCTTGGCAGCTTGTGGCGCATGCGTTGGTATGCTGAGCCGTGCACTTGCGTGATACTAAAAGTACTGGTAAAACAAACCACTACCTTGAAAAGGACACTAACAAGGTACCCTGTGATTGATAACAGGCGCATGGCAAATCAGACATGGAGATGTTGGTCTTGTTGTATCGAGATGCTGCTTGCTGTTTGTTTGGGCAGCTCGTCGTTTCTTCTCACAATCCACAATCCCACATTGAGATGCGCATTTTCTTTTTTGGCTCTCAGTCGGAGTTTTTTTCCGAAACGGAATTTTATGGATGCCAAAAATCTCTTTGCCTTGCTTTTGCCCGTACATTTTGTGGTGCCCTGAATCTATGTACCTATCTTATTAGTTAGACGGATGCTTTGGTACCTGGGCTTGCTGATGGCGGGCGGGTTGCCGCCACCTAAAATGTTATAATCCCTTTGTCCCAACTGCAACTCGACAGAGACCGACCGGTAATGGCATGATGATTCATTTTTTCATCAACTTGATCCGTTGATTCGGACTTGCCTATCTTTCTCATTTCCCCTCCTTCCTGCGCCCGGATCGTCCGGATGGAGGCATTGGGCTGGGCTTTCACGGGCGGGGACTTGACCATTGGGTACCCAAGAAATGCCAATACGGCCACCCGCCGCCAGGCCGAGCGCCACGGGAGGGAGGCCCTTCAGGGTTCTTGGGTTTTGCATCATTTGCCGCAAGGGCCCTGTTTGGGACGGGCCAGCAGAGCTTCCCTTCCCCGCAGTTGCCAGAATCCAGGGACTTTGCGCCGTCTTGGCTTTGGCAAGTAACGCCGGCTTGGCCGCTACCTTAGTATTGTCCAGCTTTTGGACTCCACGGGTCATTCGAGGGCGGATCCAAGTACAGTAATCGTGACGGTAAAGATGTCAGCTATCTAGTTGATGGGTGCAAAGTAAATGCCGTCAACGACTGTTCTCGCTCTTGTTTTCTTCTTCTTTTTTCTTCATCTTCATCGTGCCCCCTGTCTTCGATGCGGCTCGGAAACATGTGCATTATCCCAGGGGGCCCGGATGCTGCGGTGCGGGTATACGAGCCAGCTGCAGCAGCCCACGCAAGGCTGGCCAAGCAGCCAAGAGCCAGGGTTCAAGGGGCAATGCCAAAACATTTGGCGTCAAACCCACTGCAGGCTACAGCAAAGCAAGCAGACCCAGGCACAATGTTGCTGATAACTACCTACCAGTAGTTGTACAGTACATAGGTACCTCTTCGTATGGTAGGTTACCTACTAACGTACCTGTTGCAACCCCTCCCTCCAGTCAGCGCCGAGTCATTCGGTGGTAGGGATACTGTCATCGCACAACACGACATCCCCTGCAAAAAGGCCGAGCGAGGGTCCTGTGAGAAACAAAAATAAAAGCGCAACATCGAAAACATCTTGAAAACGAAAAATCCAAGCAATGTTCAATGTCACTCTCCATTACATGCGAAACTGGGTGGACTGATGAGGACTACGTAGAACAATCTAGGCCTTGCTCTGATTGGCTAGGTGCTACCTAAGCTGAACCATCCACAAAAGTCGCTCAATGCCAAGATGGCAAAGTTGAGAATCCCATCTTTCCTCTTGCCCCAGTCCTCACGCAGTTACCTCTGGAGCGGTGGCGTGCTTCGAGCCAATGACGCAGCTGCTCGAGGCACACCAACCCCCTCCCCCTCCCCTCGGTCGACTCATCACGACTTGGCCAGGGTTCACCAATTAAGTGGAATGACGACAAACATCGTTGTCTTGGGGTCGTGAGCTGATGCAAAGGAAAACCACATGGTCGGCGGTCGCAGTCGCGACAACACAAGGCGCGACTTTGCATGAAGCCACCGTGGTTGCGTGCCACAAGAGACGGAACCGAAAACCCTGTGCTCCGTTCATTATGGATCTTTTGCAAAACCCCTAAAAGGGGCCTTTCTGCTCTCGATTGGCAAGGAAGGGCCAGACTAGTCACAGCAGGAGCAAACCAAACTCGAGAGTTCTTCTGCTCTGCTCTTCCAATAATTGACGTTTGGTCGGCGAGCACCAGCGTCGTGCAAGCGGCAGCACTAACCAGCTTATTGTGGCACGCTGCGCAAGTCCAGCCCATATCGGCACCTTATTAGTGCAAAATAGTTGTTGTGTGCCCGACCACCGATGATACCGTACCCGGAACGATGGCATGCTAGATTTTTTTTTCTCCCCATGAGATTTGTTTCGCATACCCATCTTTTGGAGAAAACCAGCATTCTTGTCTCTCGCCACATCACTGCCACCCTCAATTGTTCTGTACTGAGCTAGGGGCGTGTGCGGCGCACATCCCTCAGCCTCCATGACGTCGTTGACTTGCTACAGCTTTACCGTCTGGCAGCCTGTCGCAGTTCCCGCCGCGAGGCTTTGTTCTACAATGGAACTTCTACACCCAAACGAGGAAGGATGCTTTTTCAAAACAAGAAAACAAAAAGAACCCTTTTTACCAACGGCTGAAGCTAGCGTGGCGGAACATCCTCTCCGGCATGCACAAGTTATTAATTTAAGTTGCGGCCATGTTTCGCGCCCCAGGGTCAGGCTTATCTCGAAGCAAGGAAAAAAAAAAGGATACCCAAACGGGGAATGCGATCGAGATGAAAGACCTCAGCAACCAATGCCCGTCTTGTTTCTGGGTATGGCCATGCACTTGCATTACAAGGGGAGGGGTTGCAATGCGCGGACATGGGGAAAGACAAAGGATGAGATGCAGAGAGTAGCGGCCAATTTTGAGAATTCCATTGCAGGAACATCGTTCGATGAATATTTCGAAAAATGAAAAATAGGTTGTGATCGACGCGGCAAAATTGCTGTCGCGCAAACGGGTGTACAAAAACCCTGACGTCACGGTTGCGCAACGGAGGCCCCATCCGGTACGATCCTTCTGCCCAGCCAAACGGAAGCGCGCGGAAACAAAAAAGATTTGGCCGGAATTAACTTTTGTTCTAAAAAGGGTCGTCAGCAGAACAACAGAAGCAGACACCAACCAAACCTGGGCCACACTCCTTTTCTCTTTCGCGTCCAATGTGGGAGTGATAGTAATACACCCGGTCCTGATGACTGTCGACAGGCAATGAAGACGACTCCAGCTAGGGATCGAGATTTTGTATTGCCCATCAGTCAAAAAGTGGGACAGGGTCTCAGGGTCCATGGAGCGGGGGCGTGGAGATAGTGGGGGAGAGGGTATCAGTATAACCTTGGTTTGGGCAAAGGGAAGGCAAAGGGTTTTGTGAGAAGGGACGAGTCAAAAAGGATGACGAGGAAGGCGCCTTGATATGTGCTGAAGTAGAGGAGGAAGGAGGACAAGGAGAGAGAGAATATCGAGAGGAAGAGGCGGGGGGGCAAAATAATGGAAATGGAGCTTGGCGTGGCGGATGAACGGTGCAGGCGGACGGCAGAGCAGGCTGCATGGCCTGGCGTGCAGGAGTCATGCTGGCGGTGCAGAGGCGCCTCGCTCTGACTACGTCGCTAGCCACAGGGCCAGGTAGCTTCGGCTGGCAGATGGCAGCTGCGAAGCGACAAAAGCGTTTGCAGCAAACGGCGGACATCGCCTGTCTTGCAACTGAGTCGGGTTTCATCCAAGAAGATGAGATGCGTAAAATTACAGAGTACAGAAAAAAAAGTATGCAAAAAAAAAAAAAAAAAAAAAAAAAACAAAGCAAAAAAAAAATTCGTCGAAGTTAAGTTACAGAAGGGCCAAGGCTACCAGACTACCAGAACGACCGAGTAGCACGTCCGCCGCCTCAGCCAGCCAGTCAACTATGAATATTGTTGTTGCGAGTCCCCTTCTCCACCGGGCACAGCCTGAGAACCCCTGTCGGCCTGTAACCCTGAACGGGGCCCCCAAGCTACAGTGGGACCCATGGGCATAGAATAGTGGGGATGAGGTGTGGTGGGGGCAATCCAAACCGTGCTGCCGTGTTGTTTTCAGGTTGCTGCTGGGTACGTCGAGAGCGAGAGCGACAGGTAGGTTACTTCTGCGAGCTTTTGCTCACACCATCATCTCTTGTTGTGAACTTTTTTCTCTCTCTCTTTCTTAGCCCCCCCCCCCTTTTTTTTCGGGGATGCGCAGTGTTGTTGTATCATTTGATGCGTTTGTGGCGGCAGTTGTTGTTCTGCAGCACCAGGCCAGCCCACCCATCATCAACCCATGGCCATCACGTCAACAGCTGTTTGCAGCAGCAACACCGCAACAACATAAGCCCATACGTACATGCATCCAATGCACCGCGGCCAATGCCGCAGGCGGAGAGGACGCACTGCTAGACCCCCAAAGCAGAAAGCCGAAAAATCTAGATAAATCAAAACCAATACATGCACCGCCAATTCCTCGATCCCTCTGCCCTTTTCGATCGCCTGCGCTGGGCTTTGGCTCGCTCCTTCTCACTCGGCCGGCCAGCGGGGGGGGTGGTGACCTGCTGTGCCACTCCACACACCCAGCACCACCACACAAACCCACCACCCCCTCCCCTCCCTCCTCCCCTGTGTCCAGGTACATTGGCCCCAAGATGTATGTACCTTTTCGCCCTTCTTCCGCCGCGTCCGGTACCTCGTTTGACCACCCATGCTCGACAGAAACGGCGGCTTTGCCCAAATCCCCATCTCATCCCCATCCTGTTTCCCACCTTCGCCATCCCGCACCCCCCTCCCTTCCTCTCTTCTTCCTCCTCCTCTGGCCCTTTGCCCTTTTTTTATAAACTAATCCATCTTTTCCTCCACCCCCGGGTTACGCCTTTTTTACTTCTCATCCAGCTCTTTCTAGCTACTTTACTACGCCCTCTGCCATTTCCTTCCCAATCCTCCCCCTCCCTTCTCTTCCCTTTCAACATACCAGACATCGAAACCGGTTACTCTCCAACAAACATCCGTCGCCCTTGCTCACTACCCAATCCCAATCACCACAGGACATAAACCAAGTCGTCCTCTGTCCACCACTTGGATGCGGCTCTTCTAGCTTCCGCCCAGCTACCGCCGTCACTTACACCACGTCGCCGTCACCAAACCTACCTCACCACAAACAACCGCAATGGAAGCTCTCAACGCCGCCGGCCGAAGGGTATCCCTCCTAAACGACGACGGCCCTCACCAACCGTCGTCCTACTCCGTGGGCCACGCCTATGCCACCCCTCCCTCGGGTGCCTCGTCGCCCACCAGCCCCCAGCTCTGGCGCTCTGGCTCCTACGACTCGCAAGTGAGCGGCAGCGACGCCGTGTCCCCGTTGACACCGGCCCTCGACTACACATACACCTCATCACAGCCGTCCAGCCGCGCCTCCAACACCAAGCGCCCGCTGCAATATACCAGCAGCCGCTCCACCTCCAACGAGGATGACGTTGCCGTCGCCGCCGAGGACCGCCCCGCCAAGCGCTATCCGTGCCGCTTCCGCGACTCCCACGGCTGCGAAAAGACATTCACCACCTCGGGCCACGCCTCCCGCCACTCCAAGATTCACACCGCTGAAAAGGCTGTCCAGTGCACCTTTTCCGGCTGCCAGAAGAAGTTTACCCGCGCCGACAACATGAAGCAGCACCTCGAGACGCACTACAAGGACAAGTCCCGCAGCGCCGGCGGCCACCGCTCCGCCGCCGCCGCCCACCACAAGGCCGCCGTCGAGCATCGTCGCCCGTCCGCCGCGACTGCGCGCAGCCGCTCCTCCTCGTCTCTCGGCGGGCCTGAGTTAGACGTCCGCCAGTACGCGCTGCCCACGCCGCCCCCATTGCGCTCGCCCGCCGTCATGGCAAGCGGTGGCCGCTCGGCCTGGGAGCTGACGGGCACGTCGTTGCCCCTGCACAACCGCCCATCTGCGATACACGCCCCCAAGAGCGGCCTCGACGCGCTCGCCATGGCTGTTGCCTGCCAAGAAAGCTCATGAATCAAACAGTTTTGCCACCAAAATCCAACTCCTCATGACACGATTCCACCCATGCTGCGCAGCAAAAATATCCCAGTTTCCCCTGCAGAATCGACATCCTCTGCTTGCTTCACTCCTTAATCTTTAATGCGGTCACGCCTTGCAGAGAAGTGGTGCACCTATGAGTACTTTGACCTCTACGCTTACGGCTTTTTTTATATTTCTTCTGCAGTCGACAATGAAGAATCTTATACCAGTCCAGCACGGTGAATTTGGAGAATCCGGCGTTTTATTTTTGGAAATCACCCAGCCCTGCCTACCATACACGGCTTGTCAGGGCCTTTTCTTGTCCTCGTCTTCCCCGGAGGAATACTTTGATTCCTTGTTTGCTTTATTTTACCAATCCTGGCATGACCGCAACATTTACACAAAACCGGTCAACATATATGGCTTCGATGCCCAGAATCGTTTTTTTCTTCTTCTTCTTTTTGAACATATCTATACATCTATACAACAAAGTACATCGGGAAAACGGGAACGAGCATTGCACGCGATTATAGACGCAAAGTACACGAATTGGCGTCCTTTTTTTCCTTTAAGGTGGGAGTGGTGGAACGATGGTCTGTCGCGACAGTCGAGCATTGCCCAACAATTTTTTTGGGAGAAAAAGTCCGCGTTGGCGGGCGATTGGGACTGGTAAACACTCCTTTTTTGTCACCTGCTTTTTTTTCTTTTGATATATCTTGTTAGCGATATCCAACCAAACGGTACAAATATACGAGGGAATCGAACATGGCCGCGCCCCGCGACGGTTGGTTCTCGAACTGCTTGACATTTACCATATTCTGCTACCTGCATGACACTGTGATCCAAATGTGCCTTTAGTTCCGCGAGTCGTCGGAGACAAGGAACAAACTAATCTAACACACGAGTAATTTGCCGCCCGTCCTCCCGCCGTGGGGTGTGGCTTGACCAGGGTTCTCACCATCACAACAACGCAAGTCAACCTCTCCTCGACTCTTGTCTCTCTCGCACCATGGGTAGTGGGGGTTTCAATTTGAGACCTTTCTCGACGTACGACTGTGCGCGGCCTGCACGGCTGGCGCCGCCCTTCCACGGGCTATTGAAGGGGGAGGAAACAATCCAGGGTCCTGTCACTGGTGGGAGCATTGGGAGGGAAGAATGTGCGGAACTGACTTGTCAGCGGAAATCATGCAATTATCTAGTAGACGCCCCGTATTTGTCCAATTTTTTTTGTTCGTTCCATCGTGTATTCATGAGCATCGTTTTTATCTTAGCACAGCAGCGAATCAAGCCCTACTGTATTCGTAGCCTGTGCAAGCAACGCCGGCCCATCGCGCGTTGCTAGGCCGGCGCAGATAGCCTCGCGTTTCTCCACGTAACGCTAGGACAACGCTGTCGCTCTCTGTTTGCCATCCTTGCGCACGGGCTGGATCGCGCTTCAGAAACCGCGCCGTCCTCCGGCAACTGCGCTTTTCTTCTGTTTTGCTTGCCGTTCCCCAACAATGGACCCTGATCGAGACACACGCGGGCCATGTTTCGGCGAGGCTGTGCGGCCACAGGCATCCCGCCCTTCAAGATCCAAGACATTGGTACCGAAATTTGAAATACAAATTGGCGCGATAATCTTATCCCGCCCTTCGTTTTTCCCTGTCATTTCCCTTCCTTGCTCGTTTTCCAGTCATGGTGCGACAAACGCTTGGGTAGTGACGGGTGGGGAATGTGTCTCAAATCCCAAGTCGAGGTCGAGGTCGAGGTCGAGGTCGAGGTCCAATGGTCCGTCCATTGCCTTTGTTTTATGTTCATCCCGAGTCATGCCAAGCGATATGAAATTGTTGGTATCATTTCTTGGACTACAGACGTCTCATTCCTTCAGCTGAATAAGCTGTATTCCCCGGTAAGGCTTCGGTCATTGCTTTGTTGCCAAGAGGGGTGCTCTTGTGGTATTGTTTGGATGCCCCATTGAGCAGCTCCCTTCATCCGTCTGGCCGTTCAGGGACTGATCCCAACTGCCCGTGTGATGCATCGCTTTCTTGACCAGGGATATGCGGCGACGGCAACTCAAAATGGTGCGGTGGAAATGGTACACCGTTGAACTCCCGATCAGAGCTGTGTGCATATAGCCAAGTCTCGAGGAATCGACGATAGCCTGCGAAGGTCAAAACGGTCAGCCCATGAATACTTCTGAGCCAGAATTGAACGTACCCTCGCCATGAGTGAATTGTATGCTCAGATACCGGATATCGTGGTCGCTCGCCTCTCCCGATTGCCCAGCGGAAAACACCCGTGGTCTCATCCGCTGCGCAAGTGACCGCCGGGAACTTTCCGGCGCACTTCCTCGACGACCATGAACTACAAGACGTACTTGTTTCGCGCGGTCCTCCCTCCCACGAAGTTCTCCTTCAAAAGTGTGCACATCATATTCACGGTATGAACCGCCAGTCTTATTAGCAAGCACTGACAGCGAGTGGCAGGTCGTGTATCTATCACGCCAAAGCTTGAGTCGCTGTATTGCACCGATGCCTTTTACTTTGCCATAGCTGTCGGTGCGGCCATGTACGTTTGTCCAAACCACGTCGACATCATAAAAGTCGATGAGGTCCTTTCGTCGCACATCGCCTTGGAAGAGGAAGGAGCCGTCTACTGATGTGAATTCGTATCGCACGGATATGTACTGATCGTGGATGCAGACGCCCTCGTCGGAAATATATCGTATGCGATGTGGTTCGGTGAATGTGACGTAACGCTCCATATCGGACGGATCGTGATACTGTCTGTGGCGCGAATGAAGCGTGTGCGGAAACACTTCTGCAGGCACATCCGACGGCACTGTATTGTTAGCAATGTGTCTGGGGATGATGCGAAGATTTCTCACAATAATGCTCGAGCAGCTCATTTTGATAACTACATTGCCACAGAACCCGGCGCTGCTCGGATCCTACGACTTCCCAAGGGCCAAGGTAAACTGTGCGTTCTTCTGGTGTGTCTTGGAAAAGGGTTCTGGCCAGTCAGCAGACGACAATTCCTCGACCGGGGTACATACATGGTGGCCTGGAAGCCCGGGGGGCCAATGTCGAGAGGACGCAGACTGGAGCGAGGCACAAAAGAGCCTCCAATTGACGACGGCGCGGAGGCAACGGAGATGCCTGAAGTTGGGGTCCAAGTAGAATCGACGGGACTGGTGTAGGAACGACTGTAGGTTGGCGGACGGCCGAGAGAAGACGAGATAAAGGATGAGCTCGAAGAGGACATGCTGCAAAAGCAGCTCGAGGCGTGACGATCAGGTCACGTCGGCGGTGGGGGAGGGGAACCTGGCATACCAAAACGGTTACCGAGGCGCAGGCTGACGTTGGCAGGGAGCCGAGCAGTGACGCGAGATTGCGCCTAATCGCAACTGACAGGATGCTGGACGAAGGATTAATGGCAGCAAACCAATGTCTGGTGGAAGTGTTGGCCGAGATAAAAATTGACGTCGGATGGACGCTAGAAAGCGGGAGGTCCACGCAACGTCCACGCAGCGTCCGAGAAGCAGGCGACGGGGAGTCAATGATGTGTCGCAATATGGTGGCAGACTGCTGGCTGGCTAACGGCGCTCAACGTTGGCTGTGGTGCGGTGCGGTTCTGGCGCTGGCGAGTTATCTGCGACCGAGAAAGCAGTGACCTCGACACGGGAGCGACTCTCTGGCCAGGTCCGTTGCATTTCACGCCATTAGTCAATGCAGCGCGGAAGCATCCAGCGCAGAACTCGGCGTTGGCAGCGTGCTAAAGTCGTTGGAGGTGGTGTCGAAGCCGGCCTGGCGGGGCGGCCAGAGCCGTTCCACTAGCGGCGGTAGCGGCAGGCACGGGGGTTGAGCGCGGCCTGTGATGGGCTGGCGCGGCGCCGTTGATGGTGGGGAGGAGTTGAGAGAGGGTGGATCAGGGCTGAAGGAAATGGCTGAGGGTTGCATTGTGGTGCACAGCGGAGATGGAGAAGTGACGATGGTGATGATGAAGGTGTGTGAAGGAGGAGATGATGATGGGGGCGATGTAGGAAAGAAAGAAGGAAATAGTACGGATAGGGGTTAGGTGGTATTGGTCTGTCTCGGCGGATGATGACGAGTGGGTTCGTGAGCGTTTGTTGTATTGTCATGGCGTTTGATATTTCTGCCAGCTGCCAAAATACTCAGTCAGTGCCAGCTGCAGGCAGCTGCCAGCAGCTGCCAACGGCTAACGCAACGGTTACACCTGGCAGCAAACGGATGCTCCGCGGCTTTCCAACTCGACATCCCCGCCAGCTCTCTCGGAACATCCCAGCTGCATGCTTCCAAAAAAACCATAATCATACCGCCATCTTGGCCCAATTTCCACCATTCAATTCAAGCACACAAAATACCGCCTCTCCAACTGCCCGTCCTCGAACGAGACCCTTTTCAAAAGCCCACCATGTAGAGTTTTGCACATTGGCAACGCCACTGCAACTCCACCATCGCAACATGTCCAGACAAACACCACACTGGCATCACGTTTTAGCCACCTCTTGCATCTTGGACCAGGTGTGGGATATTGTCTGGTCTTGGACGTCCGGGGTCGTCACCTGTAGGCTGTCACCCGATTCCTCCAAAACTGGCGCTGCATCGCTGCCAAGTCAAGTCGCCAGCCAGCCCTCCAGTTCTCAGCCCGAGTCCGGAGTCCAGCCTGGCCCACCGACAGGGGCGCCTCCTCTGTCCCGCCTACATACACTATTGATTTGCTCTGTCTGACAACCCGTCGCCGCAGCCTCCTGAGCGGCAGCGACGTTATCTGCGACTCTCTATTCTTGTCATGTCATGCGAGACAGTGCAAAACACTCCCCTTCATCAGCTGTCCAACGGCGACCCCGCTCACGCCGAGATTCACCTAGACCTACAACCTCCGTTGCGGCCCTTGGCGCGCTCTGCGCTGAAATTGCGCTCGCTCTCGAGCACACGAGTCTTACGAATTTTCTACAAAACATCTACCGCCTCGCCGCTCCTCATGCCCGTTGCATGCTACGTTGACAATGCCGCTCGGGTCACCCTTTGGACCTAGGAACCGTGGTTTTCTCGGGGCAGACAGCTCCGCTCTCCCAACTCAGGATCTGCAGGTAACTCTCCTCACTAATTCGATCTACGTCTCAGCTCTCGCTAATCTTGCAGGACCGCCATCAATTGCGATATGAACTCGACCTCAACTCGTGGAATTTTCGAATTTGGGGTGTCGCTGCCTCGGGCTTTTTGACTGACTCGTACGTCCGTCCCATCTTCATCTTGGGCGTCCGGACGAACCGGTGACTAACACGCACAGATACAATCTTTTCTCGACTAATGTCATTCTCGCTTCCATCTCATTTGTATATTATCCGCATGGTCGCGAATGGCCTGGTCTTCTCATTAATCTCTTTACACTCCTCGGCTCAGTTCTTGGCCAGCTTTCGTTTGGCTTCCTCGCGGATTATTATGGCCGCACGCGACTGTACGGAATCGAGCTGGTCCTCGTCATTGTCTCAACCATTGGTGTTGCGACCAGCAGCCATGGATATAACGACATGTCCTTCCTAGGGCTATTTATCTGGTGGCGCTTTGTCATGGGCATTGGTATGTGGCGCACAACATTGTCATGGAATCTTTCTAATTGTGGTAGGCATTGGTGCCGAATATCCTCTCAGCGCAGTCATTACATCTGAATGGTCCAGCACGCAATCAAGAGGAAAAATGCTGTCGAGCGTATTTCTCATGCAACCTGTTGGTCAGGCATTGGCGCAGCTTGTCGGACTATGGGTGCTTCTCGGTTTCGAAGACAGCAAGAAGCTAAGGGATCTTCGGTGCGGCTTGGACACTCTTCATGAAGAAGAATGCCGCAAAGCCGTAGATGGTGTCTGGCGCATCGTCATTGGATCCGGTGCTGTCCCAGCCCTCCTTGCCATAATTTTCCGCTTCTTCCTATTTGACTGCGGCCTGTACAGTCTCGAAGTTCGCAACAAGCCAGCCGTTGCCATCCTCAATACGCAACGAGTCTACGGAACGCCAGCTACTACAGCCAACTACCATCAAAATATGCATCAGCAACCCCTACATCACCAGGGCTCGTTTGCGCTGCAGAATACGAATGGAAATTTGCATCCTGAGGCCTCACCTCAGCCCATGCCCGTGCAATTTTCTCGCGAAGATTTATACAACTACTTCATCCGCGATAAGAACTGGGTCTACTTGCTGGGAACGGCCGCAACATGGTTCTTCCTGGATGTGAGTTTCTACGGACTGTCACTCGATAATAAGGGGACTCTCTCCGACATGTGGGCGACAACACCGGCTGTCCCGATCAATGAGAATCTCGAGTGCTGGAATTCGAGTCTGCCTGGAGGAACATCTGCGGTACCTGGGTGGCGCAAGAATGGCTTGCCTACGTGGCAAACTGATTCAACGCATCCTTGCAATACTATTTACGACGTCTTGATTGAGCAAACGAAGCAGTATCTTTTGACAGTCTCGGTGGCTTCGATAGCCGGCAGTCTCTGCTTCATTATGTTTGCGGATCGTATACCTCGGCGCAAGTGGCTCACAGCGTCTTTTATCATTCTCGCCGTTGTATTCATGATTACTGGCGGCGTATATTACAGTGTTCATCGTGATTATGCAGCGGCTGCCACTGTGGTCTGCGTCGCTATTTGTCACTTTTTGTTCAACTTTGGTAAGTTTCTCTATCAAAAGCACACCACGGCTGACCCAGCTAACCCGACGCAGGCGCCAACACGCTCACGTTCATCATTCCCGCCGAGGTTTTTCCCACTTGCTATCGCTGCACCTGCCACGGCATCTCGGCCGCCGCCGGCAAGCTCGGGAGCATCGTTGCCGTACTCGTCGTGTTCGGCATTAACAAGGCATACAAGAGCCACACGCGGCAGGGCCTCATCTTCCTGCTCTTTGGCTCCGTCGCCGTCGTCGGTGCCTTCTTCTCCTGGGCCTACCTCCCCAATGTACAACGCTGGGTCGTCGAGCCCACGGGCGACGGCCGCGAGAAGCGCTACCTCGAGACCAAGGACCTGGAGGAGCTGGGTGAGGGCCGGGAGCGGGCCAAGCAAGCCGGCGAGCTGGTGTCATTTAAGGAGCGCTGGGGCGAGCTGCGCAGCCGGAAATTCGTGCGGAGGCGGAGGCGGAGGCAGAGGCAGGAGGCATAATACCCCATGTTTACAGCAGATTGAAATGTGCTAGCTTGTATTTTTGAGATTTATCGTAACAGAACGAGAGAACGTTACAGAGCGCCTTAGTGTATAGATTTCATGGTCCAGATATTTCATTGTACTTTGTTCTCCTTATTTCGACGTCTTCGTCGGACAGCTCAAAACGTCGCCGAGCTACTAATGAACGTATCCGCCGTGTCCGCGTACAAGTCATCGGCGCTTGTCGTCGCCTTGACGTGGGGGTCGCGCTCCAGGGCGTCCAGCCAGCGCGCCCAGCGCGATGAGGACGCCGCCGCCGCCGCCGCCAGCCAGCCGCGCCGCGGCTGAAGGACGGTACGCAGCCGCAGCGCGAACGGCGCGAGGTGCACGTCGACGAGGCTCAGCGCCTCGCCGAGGAAGTACGGCCCGCGCTCGTCGGCGGCCTGCGCGAGCCGATCGAGCTGCGCACGCAGGCGCTCGACGAGGTCAGGTTGGCGCGAGAGGTCCGTGTTCTGGAGGAGCGCGTAAAAGGCGCGAAGGAGGTCGGTGTTGATCTACATGCGCCGTTTAGCTTCTCCACTTGTATTTCCTTCTCGTCACCATCAAAAGCCGGGGGAGCAGTATGGGGAGGGGGTGATGGGGAAACGTACATGGTTGATCCAGAAGCGGCAGTTGGCCTTTAGCCGCGCGTCCGATGGTAGCAGCGGCACGCGCGAGTCCAAATCTTCGATCTGCCCTCCCCCCCCAAATCTCTCATTAGTAGGTGAGTCCCCGTTAAAATTAACAAAAACAGAGAGGAGAGACTCACGTATTCCAGAATCACCGCCGACTCGGCGCAGGCCCAATCGCCCTGCCGAATGGCGGGCACCTGGCCCTTCGGGTTGGCCTCGAGCAGGGTCGGGGCGGCGGGCTTGCGGTGCGGGTCCGCCTCGCAGTACTGGTACGGGACGCCCTTGGCCTCGAGGGCGATCCAGACGCGCTGCGAGAACGGGCAGTAGCAAGCCGCGTAGAGCTTGATGTAGTCGCTGCCCGCGGCCTCGCGCGCGTGCCTCCTCGCGGTGGCCGCCGCGTTGCCGGTGGGCCGCCGCTGCGCCGGCTGCGCCCGCTTAGCCTCCTTGTCCTGCGTGGCGACGTGCCGCTGGACGCTGTTCTTCTTGATCTCGTCGCTCTTGGCCAGCGTGTGCTTGTGCGGCCCGGCGACGCCGTCGCCCTTGCCGTTGCCGCCGTTGCCGTTGACGCGCTGGATGGTCCAGAAGCGCTGCCCGTGGTAGCCCGCCGCCACCGCCGCCGCCGCCGCCGCCACGTCCCCGCCGCCAGCGTCCAGCTGCAGCGGCTCCGCGCTGGGGAAGTACTCGGTGATCTTGATCTTGACGTCGCAGAGGTCCCGGGCGCGCGCGCTGCGCCGGCGTCGCTTCTTGCTGGGGTCCTCCGTCTTGGGCGTGCCGGGCGGGCGGCCCTTCATGCGACAGTCCCAGTAGTGGGAGACGAACGGCTTGCGCTTGTACTTTTGCGTGGATCTGTGGGAGTAGACGTTGTCCACGTGGGGGAAGTACGTTTCGAATCTGGAGCGCGGTTAGGGAGTTGTCGGGTCTACGGGACGGTCAGAGTGCTGCTTACTGCTCCTGCGTGAGGACAATCATCTCGTCGACGTTGAAGAGCTTCTCCCGCCAGGTTTGCAAGTCGGGAGGGTCCACAACGATTTTGCCTCCCAGCTTGCCCTGCGCTACCGGCGCGACATCGGCAACAGCCCCCGTCTCAAGCTGCATGGCGGGCGCGAAGCGCACCGTCGGCTGACCAATGCCAGCCGGGTGCATGGACGCTTGGCACGGGTGCGGAACGGGCACCGGCGTCGGTGCCAGGATGCCGAACTGACCCATGTGCTGCTGTTGCTGCTTATCCTGGGCGCCGATCTGCGCCATCGGCGCGTTGGCTCCTCCGCCAGCGTCGCCGTGCTGCTGCTCCTGGTGCTGCCGTCGTCGCCTCTGCGGCTGCCGGTTCTCCTCCGCCAGCGCCTGGTAGTCCAGCTGCCTCCCAAACACGACGCCCTGCGCGCGGTACGCCTCACCCATGGCGGCCGCCGCAGCCGCAGCGGCCGGATACCCGAGCCCCAGATCCATGGCGTACGGCTGCTGCTGGTGATGCTGCTGTGGCTGCGGCGGCTGAGGCTGCTGAGGTGTTTGCGGTGGCTGGCCGCCGGCGAACGGCCCTGATGACATGGCCGGCCGTGACGCGCACGCCTATGCGTTTAATGAAAGGATGCGAGAATAGGGCCCGGCGAGATGGAGGAAATCGATAAGAGGCTCTAACACCATGGACAAGGCCGCTGCTTGCTGCTTTTAGCAGATGTGAAAATGGTGAGGCAAATTGGGCGGCAGGTGGGTACAAAGCTGCTGGTTGGCGTCAAAAGAGCGACGTGCACGGACCACTTGGGCGACCTCAGTGAACGAGGTGCTCGTCCAGTAAACTCGAAGCCCTATAAATTATATAAATGCATATTCATTAAGAAAAAACTCTTACTATGTGGCAATTCCCTATTCGTCCTCTTTGCTAGCATCGGCGTGTCGTTCAATTTCCCTTTTTTCATCAAGGCAATAATGAGGCGCCCAAATGCAAATCACCCCGATCAAATCCGCCGCAGCTTCCGCTTCAGCGAGGAGTTGGCTTCGGATTGATTAATTCACATGATTGGGAAATGGAACGTTGCGTCCTCGATATTTGTGATTCCAGTGTTCGCTAGATATATTACTGTAGAATTTGCCACTCCAAAAAGCAATGCCGACCAGAGATTTCGAAAAAGATTCATATAATACACCCAATAATATCCAAACATATCCAAACAAAACAAACAACCAACGCCACCCCTAATCGTAATCGTCAGAGAGGAAAGTGTCGTCAAATATGCCGAAATGGCCGTTCTGTTCTATGCACCGCCAGCCTACCATTTTCATCATTTATCCTCGCATTGGCTCGTTGCCCGTATCCCAGGACGACAGATCCATCGCCTCCATAGGCCCCATGTTCATTAGCGCCCGCAAGACGCCCTCATTTTGTATATTAGCCGCTTGCTGTGCCGCACTGATATCGTCCCAGCCGTTGCCGAATGACATGGTTTGCGCGCCAAGCTGCTGCGGCTGCTGCATTGGGAACTGTTGCGGCGCGGGGCTAAAAAAGTGTGCGCCAGTGTCAGGAAACTGCGGCGAGGCTCCCGACGCAAATAATTGTGCAGCAGAGGGGTTCACAGGCTTGACTGTTCGCCCATCCGATCCGTTGCTCGAGTTTGGCGTCCGGCCGTTGGATTGGCCGTCTGGTGACTCCGTACTCTCGCCATTCATATCGCCAAAGCTGGAAATGTGTCCGCTGCCATTGCCTGTCTTGTCGTACATGCTGCTCGAGTTCGGGGTCAGCATCGGTATTTGCTGGTCCACCGAGAGCCACGCCTGTCCACCAAAAGCTGCACTGCTTGCTAAGCCCATGCCAGAGGGTTCAGATACAGCTGGCGGCTTAGTATGTTCGTCCTCGGCATAGTCACATTCGCGATATGACAAAATACCCTTGACATTTTCTGGGTCGTCACACAAAATCCTCGGCGATTCGTCTCCATTCTGGTCAGGCTGAGAGATATTAGCATTGAGCGCAGTGACGTAAGAAGAGGCACTTACGCTATCACCGCTTCTAGGGAACGCATTCTTCAGCCTGGGTATTCTGGATGCGAGTGCCTCGAAATCGACGTCGAGTTGGACTAGGAACGATTCGGTGAGGGGGTTACGCTTCTTGAGTGCGTTCATGGCGGATAGCAAGAAACGGAGGGAGTCTGCGGTGACGTCGTCGTCGGGCCGACTCTTGAGGTATTGTACAAACACGCGAGCGGCCACGTAGAGGGTAAAGGAGATGAAGGGATTCATCTGGCTTCGTTAGCAACACGCATGAATAGCAGGACAGATTCGACTCACAGCTGTTAGATCCATGTGAGAGACGTTTCGCATGACGGCAGCGATTTCGTTGGCAGCGGTTATACAGCGAACCTTGCTTTCAGAACTAAGGGATGCAGGAAGCTTGTGCGTCTCCGCTTTGAAGATGGCTGCTTGATGCAGGCAAATTGTCGAAGTATGAATAGACATGTTCATAAAGACAATGTTGGGGCTAGATAAGCCGGCCGGCAGCTTGAGGTGGGAAGGCAATCCGAGTGACGTGTTGAGGAGAATATTGTCCATTTCGCGATGGCGCTTCCAAAAGGGCCCGTTGACGTCACCGTCAAACTCATCGCTATCGGGTCTGTGCAGGTGCACAAGGTTGCGACCAAAGATTGCCGCGAGAAGAACAATAGCACCGAAAGCAGAGAGTTTGGCAGCGCCGCTAGGGGTGGTGCACTCGTCCAGCGTTTGTGTCTGCTCGGGGCGGCTCATCTCGAACGCCTCCTCGGAGGAAGGGAGCTTGGTGAGGATGTCACGTTCATCAATAGTCATGGGCCATCCCGTGCCGATACTCGCATATCGGTCCTCGCAAAATGCCATCCAAAAAGTTCGCCGTCGCTCCTCGCGCTCTGTCCAGTCTTTGGGTGGGGGGAGACACTGCTTCACGTCCAGTCCTGCGCCATCGAGTCGATGTAAACCGATCCTGCTTGGTCAGAAAAGCTCGAGCGTGTAGGATGTGGTATACATACATTTGCGCCAGACGGACAGCAGCGCCTGTGTTGATCCAGGCACGAGGAAAGTACATCATCTTCATCTCGTAGCATGCCAGCAAGATATGTGCTTGACAGTGGGCGACGGAAATCATATGCTCGCCGAAGCCCTTGACGTAGTCGGCCTCGACGTATTTGCGAGCGCGGGCATAGAACAGATGCTTCAAGTCAGAGTATTTGTCTGTGATGGAGCTGGCCATTGTCCACATGGCATATCGGAGGCAGACGGGAGGTCGTTGATGTGGTGCCCTACATAGTGAGTGAGCATGCATGCAAGGACACTGCGAAGAGGATTTGAACCTACAAGTTCATGGCCGCAAGGTAGCGGTATCGGTGAATCATGGGCATGGAAGGGTGGATCTTTTCAAAGTAGATTTGATGCAGCTCGTCAATGGATTCTTGAGCGGGCAGCGGTTCCTCCAAACCGAGACCAATCATCTCCCAGCTAAAGTTGCTGCCGTCTGCGTTGACAGGAATCGCCAGGCTGGGGTTTGGGTTAGCGTTGAAGTTGAAATCCTCGGCCTGGGCGGCGCGTGGAGAGTCGGGCGTATGGTTCCAACGATCCATATCCGGGTCAACGGTCATGACCGTTGGTGGCGGCGGGGCGGGCCTCTTCGTATTCGAGGGCGGCTGCGACGGTTCTTGTGTTTTTAACAGTGTCTCTACTTGCTCTGCATTTGCAGGTTAGGATTGACGGGATCTTGTCATGGGGCGTGATTGGGTTACGGACTTAGGCGTTCTTCGAGGGCCTTGACGTAGCCGCGCTTGGGGCCGCTCTTGCGTCTCTGCTCATCGTAGGCGCACGCGTGGCCGAGGCGAGAGCAAGTGCTGCAGCTAGGTCGTAATCCATCGCACTTGAGCTTGCGCTTGCGGCAAATCATGCAGGCAAGCCGCTTCGGTTTGGGAACGGTGGAGTTGTCGTGGACGGCGTCGCCGGGCGCATTGTCGGTCGGGCTGCCGTTGGCGGCGCGGTCATCGACGGGGCTATCATTGGCCTGGCCGTTGTCGACAGAGCCAGCCATGTCGGAGGAGTAGAGGACGGTCTGCAACGCAAAATGGGGTGAGGTTGATGAAGAGTGTGGCTGTGGCAGCAAACGGGGATATCGAGAAGCCGGGCGGGTTTGGATGGGGGGACCGTAAGCAACAGGCAGGCCGGGGCTGCAGTCGCGGCAGTATGAGGAGCTAATAGAAAATAATAAACTGGCGAAAATCTGTTGGCGTTTACTTCCAGGACCGAGACAAAAACGATGATTGAATGCTTGGTGATGTATGTTGCAAAGTGAAAAGGGTCAGCGCTGGCGGTTTAGGCATAGAGTGAGTGGTGGTCTGAAGGGGAGTGGAGTTGCGTCGGTGGGGGAGAGATGGTGAAGGACCGCAGGTGATAGTACTAGGTACCACATGATCCTACAATGCTATATGTGGATCGCATGTACCAAGTACATTGCTGCGCCGCTTTGCAGTGCCGCGCGATACCGCGCGATACCGCGCTGTAACTACCTGCTTTCTTTCATTTTTGCACCTGCTACTCGAGATAATGCTTGGGTGTTTTCAGTTTTCAGGTCGGCCAATAGATTGCAGAATCCATAAGTTACAGCTTGCCCTCCGCGGACACGCACAGGGCGCACCATAACGCTACCCAGAAAAATAGAGCGTCGCCCGTTGAAGCACGGAGAAGGTTGCATGCACGGACTGGGCGAGACACAGAGTCTGGGCAGGGTACCCGCAGTCAACGGTGCGCTGGCTAGGGCCAACAGGTACCCTGGGCAATGGCATGTGTCAAGCAGTGTTTGCAGAGGTAGTATCGGATTCATGACATCGCACCAACATCAATCTCTGGTTCTGATGGTTCTTGCGCGGTTTCTCCACGCATAGGGCATGAAGTGACAGTCGTCGTCGACGTGAACAGATAGAGTACCTCGGGAGGTACATAGATATGATAGGTATTGAACAGCCGCGTCATACCTTGGGTATCAGTACCCCGCGTTTGGCTAGTAGCAGAGAACATCTGCAACTCTCTTCTCTCTTCTTCGTCTTATCCACGTCACTGGTTAAAGACAACAGGTGGCGTTAATGATTCCGAATACGCGCATCTACAGCAATCCATCCTGCAGAAGCTGCCCTTGCTGGCAAGGCTGGACGTTGCAGGTTGCACTGCCCAGTATCCGTCCACGGCAGTGACACTGGCGCTGGCACTGGCGCTGGCACTGACTGGCACTGCAGTCAGCAGCCTCGCTCCTCCGCACCCCCTGCGGACCCGGTCGTTTCGGGCGGCACGCGATACGAGCAAGAGAGGCGATTTGTGCGATTCACCTGATTTATCAGCCATTTTTGAACTCGGCCTATTACCAGTGCGGCCACCTGTTGCCCTGTGCCAGCCCAAACACAAGCCACCATCAGAGCCACAAACGTTTTTTACGAAGTACTATCCGTGTTTGGCGGTGCTTCCCATCAGCCATCAGCCACCGGCGAAACCCCACCCAAAAAAAAGTCTCCAGCCGAGGACCCCCCCCTTCCCCTCCCCAACAATTGACCTTTTGGCTTGCCAGTTCCAATGCGCCGCTTTTTCTCGGGACCCATGCCCTCTGTCATTCACTAGAACATCTGCCCTGGCAGACGTACAGGGAGCTGAGAGTTTGGCGCCACATCCTTGATTGACATGTGAAATCATCCAAAGCTACCCTGCAGCAATCAACTCGATCAGCACGTGAGCTCTGGCTCAACAATCACAAGCCGTTCCTAGGCCTGGAATGTTCAGGCCATTGAAAGATGAAAAGGCGAACTGCCGACAAACGATGTCAAGAACTTGATACGCACAACTCTCCCGGCTATCGGTTGGCGGAGCCGGCCGATACATAGATCGATCATCGCTCGCAGATGCGCATCACCCCCTATAGATGCAACCATTATGACGTCCAAATAATGTGGTAAGCTTCGAGTCAGGACACCCGTTTACTGATATACCTGCCTGATCGTTGGCGCTTCCATGTGGAAACCCCGTGCTTGATCATGCACCTGAAAATCAATGCGGCCTGCAGGAATCGATCCATCCAACGCGAGTAAGGAAGGGGCTTGACGCCCTTGACGCCTGTTGTAGTGGGTTGGGCTGTCTGCGGCCCGAAACGACGTCCCCATCGAACGTTGGAGGCGATGCAAAATTTCGAAACTTCTCGAGGATACACATGGTTCATCACTACAGCATCCCGCGGGAAAGCGCGCGGACATGTTTTCTCTACGGATTCCCCGGGCTCGCATGAACCAAAAGCCCATCAACACTGGACTGTGACATGCCACAACGCCATAACGCGACGTCAGTTTCGACACGTTGTTGTTTGAAACGCTGGTTACCACAAATAGAGCATTTGATGACTATGCTTGAACTAGGCGCATCTCGCACAGCCTATGCGGCGGGCTTGGCCCTGAACTTGAGACAGTAACGACCATCCTTGTTCTTCAGTTTCGAGGAAGTCAAACAACAATCGGGGAGAGTCTTGTTTCCAGCAAATTCGCAACCGTCAACACAGACAATCTACTGGTGAAAAGAGCGAGATAAACTCACTTCGAGGCCTTCTTCAGGGCCAAGCCCTCATCTTAAAAGCACGGACGAGTAGATCAAAGCTTGTCTCAGAGGACTTGTGATTATAGACTGGCGAGTTATTACCGGTCGGAGCTCTACCGCAGCGTCAAAATGGCACGTTAGGGCGAGTCATGGTTCAATCTAGAGCTTTCCTCTTCAATTCCGCCGCGGCGAGTTTTGAAAACGGAAACCCCTTGGCCATTCGCTCAATGCGCAAGCATGGACAATCCGGCGCGCAGCACCAGCACACACGATTCAACTTACACTGCCCCTTTCTTCTCCCGAAACAAACAGCGGTGGTGTACGGGTACTGCGACAAATAGGGCCGACAAATAGGGCTCAGAGACAGACAGATAGATAACCCAGCGAACATCACATTATCACACTATCACATTATGAGCCATATATCTCTCTCCCAGCAGCAACTCGTCTTGGCCTCGTCCGTCTCCTATTTTTTCAGCTGCAGCCGTAACTCGTTCATGTACGTAACGCCACAAGGGTATTTTTATTATTTATTCTCCCCTTCTCTCTCCCCATATCAGTAGTTACAGACTCGAACCATGCCAAGTATGTGCTTATTGGTCGTACTCACCTAGTAGTGATAAGGGCCCCAGCCGAGACCAGCCAAGCCCGCCCAAGTCTCCCCCAATCCAGCGAGTAGAGAGCCGTGTGTCAGTCTTCCGGCCCGTCTGGTAATTTCCCTAGCTGCCTTGCATCGGACGGCTTAGGCTAAGAACATACTTGTAGCGGTGGCGCTACGCCGCCCTTTTTTGACAAGCAAGCGATGAGACAATTCGCTTAGCCAATTGTTAGTGAGCTTGTCACCACGAGGCTCCTGCCCAAGGCCAGGCAAGGCTTCGTCGCGGGTCCTTCACTCCCCCCTACTTATCCCAAGATTCCAAGTCCGTTATCCACGACTCGGGCAGACTAGCGGCTCGCCCCCCTACGCTTTGTTATTTCCTCTGCAATGCATGGGGGGCCTGTGGCTGATGTTGTGGATGACGAGTCGTCGTCTGGTTGTGAGCACGCAACATGGGACAGGGCTGACTCAAGCCCGTTGGCTGGATTAAGGTCTCGGGGGGCCCTTCGGAACAGCAGAGAAAATGATAATAAAAATATGTCTAGCCCCAAAGCGATGGAAAAATAAAATAAAATACAAAATGGATGGCTTGTCTCTGAGCTAGCCAGCCTGATAAGCGTCGACTTCCCCTTTGGCTCGTATTCCGTCTGGATGTCTTGTTGAGAGAAAAAGCCTATTCTACTCCCTCGTGTGCCCTTGACCGTTTGCTTCTTCTTCTTCTTTCACTCATTTATTAATCTTCAATTTAATCATATTTACGAAAGGAAACGAAACCACCCATCCATCGAAGAACGCAACTCTGACCCTCCCGATAAGCCCGTCTAACACCCACCGACTGTTGAAACCTCGCACGGCCATGAAGACCTCGCTGCGGCTAAACAGCAATGCCGCGCCCCTGCTGCTGTGTCTGGGCACGGGCGTGTTCCTGTGGCTGCTCCTCAGCCTCGGGCATGATTACGTGCCCTACGTGCGGCTCCCGTCCCTGAGGACCGGTGATGCCGCCGATGCCGCCGGCTCCGGGCCGGACAGCTCCGCCACCGACGCCGTCGTACCGGAACAGACGCTCATCACCGACACCACGAACCCTCCTCCTCCCGCCCGCGAAAACATCCCCAACACCGTCCACTACGTCTACATCCTCGCCAACGCCACCCACGGCGACTTCTCCTTTGCCTTCTCCGAGGTGCTCTCCATCTACGCCGCCTCCAAGTACTGGCAGCCCGACGCCATCTACCTGCACACCAACGCGCCCGACGCCGCCCTCGAGCGCGCCCGCTCCGGCGCCGCCGGCAAGTGGACCGCGCTGCTCTTCGCCGTGCCCAACCTGCACATCGCCGCCGCCACCGTGCCCACGCACGCCGCCAACGGCAAGGAGATTCACCTGATGGAGCACAAGTCCGACTTTGTCCGGGTCGCCGCCCTGCGCGAGCACGGCGGCGCCTACCTCGACTTTGACGTGCACCCGCTGCGCTCCGTGCGCGCGCTGCTGGAATCGGGCTTCGCGGCTGTCGCGGGCCGCCAGCAGGGCGACAACGCCGAGGTCAACTCGGGCGCGTTCTTCACGAAACCGCACTCGCGCATGATCGAGCTGTGGAGCGAGGGCATGCACGCGGCGTTCACGGGGGAGTGGTCGGCGCACAGCAACGGCGCGCTGACGGCGGTGTGCGAGAACCTGGTGGCGGCGGCGCCGGGGGCGGAGGTGCTCATCATGGAGCGCAACGCGTTCGCGCCGGGCAGCTGGATGCGTGAGGAGACGATCGGGCTGCTGGAGGTGCACGAGGAGGAGCCGTCGAGCTGGGCGATGAGGGGCGCAGACGGCAGCTTGCCGAGGTATGAGGAGGAGCCGATGACGAGGTGGACGGCGCCGGCGAAGGGGAGGGATCGGCCGGAGTGGGCGCAGGACTGGAGCAAGACGTACATGCTGCACGCGTTCAACCACAACCAGAAGGACTTTGAGATTCCGGGATTTGACCGCATCACGCCGCGATACATCCTCGAGCGGAGGAGCAACATGGCCCGCGCCGTGTACCCGGTTGCGCGGGAGCTCTACGAGCAGGGTCTGATTGACATTGACGACCCGTACAAGTTCAACGTGGAGGAGTGAGGGAGTTGGTTGGTGATCTTTGTTCGAGTTTTATGGGATGGATAGATGGATGCTCTTTTGGGACTTGTAGAAAAAAGGAGTCATGGAGTCATATGGTATGGAATGTATCATTACACAAACCGGACCGGAAATATCAAGACGCCTCGGCTGGACGGTCTTGACCACATTGCATGGGTTACGCACATTATCAGGCCCGTTTTCCTTTATTCTTTTCGCAGCATCAGCATATATATATATATATATATACATATACATATACATATACATATATATACTTGGCGGCAATATCTTTTTCTTTGTTTTCTTCTTTTTTTTGCAGCCTTCCTTCTTCGCTTCAAGCTGTATAGATACTCGTTCTAGATTTTGGACAACAATTCCTACTTCTTATCCACATCCACGCCGACAATGCGCAGCATCCCTAGATCTGTATACGCCAAGCAATACCTCGTCGGAGCCCACGCCACCACGGGGCTGGACCCGGCAGTTTTGAATGTGTGCACCAGCTCGCCTGTCTCGACGTGGCATACGTCCAATCCGCTGCCTACTTTCGTTAGCCCATCATTAGAATCAAGGAGTGTTCTGGGGCTCAGCTTACCCTCGTCGCTGCCACCGACAACGTAGCTTCCGTCAAATGTGAAACCTGTCACGCCTACTGTTAGCCGACATGTCCATCCACACCGTGGCGCACCACAAGGGTCATCTCGTACTCAAACTTCGCACCGGTCCCGTCATCCTCGTCAGCGTGCGCGTGCACAGCCAGTCCGTCGTGTCCCACAGCGCAATGATGGAGTCGGAGCCGCCCGTCGCCAGGTATCGCGCCGACGGCTGCATCTCGGCCGTCAAGCACGACGAGGTGTGTCCGTTGAGCGCAAACTCGTCGTCGTCGCGTCCCTGGGAGGCATCCGTCGTCTTCCGCTCCAGCACCGGCGTCAAGGACGGGTACGCGAGGATGCGCGTGCGCCCGTCGCCCGTCGTAGCGAAGACCTTGGTCCCGCTCCAGCAAAAGGCGACCTGGTTTGTCTGCACGGGCTGCTGGTGTGATGAGATGGGCGTGGTGGACGTTGGCGAGAGGACGTATATGACGTCGGCCTGTGATGGTTAGCTAGCACGGGGACAAGGCGGCCCATCTACGCCGGGGACCACTGACCTTGTTCCCGACAATCAGAGTCTGTCCGTCGGGCGCCCACGCCAGCGTAAAGGCGTCTCCCAGCCCAGACACCTCGTTGAAGCAGGCCTTTGTGCGCACGTCCCAGAACTTGACGACGCCGTCGCTGCTGACGCTGCACAGCTCGGCGTCCTTGGTCGGGTTGAAGGCGACCTTTTCAATGGGCGCCGCGTGGCCCTTGAGCTCCGTGGAGAACTTGACGTGCGCCTTTTCCGGGTTCCCTGCGTTGGCTCCCGTCAGTACATCATCTAAGGCCTACCTACCCATGCCCTTTGCCTTTCCGAAAGATCAAACTTACAGACTCGCAACGTCTTGTTGCTCGACCCCGTGGCAATCAGCGTCCCTAGCGGATTCCAAGCGATGCATCTTAGGTTACTGCGCCAATTGATGGTTAGTCTGCTGTCGGCCGACTTCAAGGACACCGTCATGGCCACCACATCCGACTTACTTGTTGGAGCCGGGCGCTCGTGATGAGTTGGGGTCCGAGTAAGGTTGGCTGCGCAGACTGCTAAAGTAGGTCGGGAAGCGCTCCTTGGAGAGGCTCTGCCGCGGCCGCAGGACAGGTGCCATTCTGTGGGAGTCGGCGGAGAGAAGAGCGGCACTCGTGGATTCCTTCTACCAGGATTCAGCCTTGGCTAGCTAGCGCTCAATGTTTTGTCGACGAACTGATGATGTCTGGGAGACTCGCGCCAAGTGCGACAGACGACAGATACAATTGGTGACCCACAAAAAGCGCGCTGAAGCACCACGAACATGGTTTTGGGCGTACAGCCAAGCTTGTGAAAGAAGAAGCGTCCGATGATATTTTGTAGAAGGGGAAGGTGATTGTGGTTTGATTTTTGCCGTGACTTATTCACTTGGTGCGGAAGCGTCTTAACACGTGACCATCACGTAGTCAGTCTGGTGGGTGGCTGCTTTACTTGACAACACGGGAAGTCTTTACGTGAAAATGAACTATCTACTGTAACTTATTATTGGCCTGGTCTTGTACCACGCGTGCCACATGTTGTCTCTTGTTTGAGACTTACAGCCGCAATTGGCCGTCCCGTGTCCCCCCAATAGTCTCGTACCAAGTTCACGATGCGGTGCCAGGCTACGGTGCGGTAAGGAACTCTAGCCCACTACCAAGTATGACTACCCAAGTATGCCGGGCTTAGTCTTGAACTCGTCTTTTCTCCGGCCTCATATAGCGTAACCGTCGTACATGATGTTGTACAGTACATGGCTAAACTAGTAGCAAACGCAATTGCCCATTCAAGCTGCCCATCTACCTGAGCTCCCCACACAAGCTTGCTCAGGCTTCCATTGTTGATGCTATCAACAGCATGGCCACAAGCGCTAGCAACTTCTTCTCAAGGACCCCAACACACCAACCTTCTAGAAAAAGTCAACGTCTGAAGCAAAACAAACAAACCTTATTAGTACCAAGCCTGCATGCATATTTAACTGCTGCCTACGTGGACATACATCGTCGCCGTAGTGAGCGGCTGGCCGCCTGGGCCTGGTGGAGACCCGGGCCGAGGCGTCACAACAACATCCAAGTCAACAACAATAATAATAAGTCAACAACAATAACAAGTCAGACAGCCGGTCAGACACCAAGTATCAAGGAAAGAGACGATATCTTATCAACAGCTTCATGTCAATGCAATTCATTACTCCTAAAAAAACAATACCGCCGTGATCCCACCGTGGAATATGTACACTTTTTCTATCGCGCCTCTGGCTGGCACCAAGAATTCCGCAGATAGTCCGGCTCAACCAAAATATCAACAACTCCGAAATAAAAAATCCGTTAGCCCTTTGCCAATGACTCCAAGCGCCTTGTATGAAATGAATGGCACAAAGAATCCGTGCCGCGAAAAAAGTGTAAACAACAAAATGGTATTGTTGATGGGAAAAAAATGCCGAAAATCTTCGGCCACAAGACTGCTCGTTAATCCAGGCAGGTCCGAGATGCTGCCTTCATGTAGGGCCGGCGCTCCAGAGCGTGAGCGGCCATGCTATTATTACTGCCGTGTAAACGCAATCGAAACGCAATGCTATCCAGAGAGAGGTATCGAAATTATATCGTCTTTATTCGTCAAGGTGATATAACGACAGATCCGTGTCGGTGATGCCAAAGATAGGCGCGTTCTTCTTGGCCCATTGGCGCGAGATGATTGAAGCCTTGAGGAACTTCTTGTTGGCGTACTTCTTGAAGAACGCCTCGTGTACGACAGGCCGCGCAAGGTAGTCGACCATGAGCTGCACCACAGGCTCCAGCTCCTCTTCCGTGTAGCCGGCATAGTGCGCCAGCATCTCGTCCCATTCACCGCGGTCAAGCATCAGACGCGACATGTACATGGCAGCGGCGGCGACCTGGCTGGGAGGAAACGACATGAAGCGGTGGTCCAGCAGGCTGATTTCGGTGAGATACTTGCCAATCGTCCGCGACTGAATGTCGTAGTTGTCCGCCTTGGAAACACGACGAAGAAAGTTCATGGGATTGGGGTAGCTGAGGTCGTAGTCGAGCGTGCTCAGCACAAAGCGCTCGGCACTGAGAATCTCCTCTTCCGTGAATCCGTCGTTGGTGATCTTCTTGAAGTTGCCAATGTACGGAGAGAGAACCTCCTCGTACTTGGACGCGATGAACATGGCAGTGATGCCGACCAATTGGAAGTTGTCGAGCTGGATGACCTTTTTCGACAGGAAGCGGTCGACAATGTTGACGGCGAGGAAGAGGGTTTCGGGAAGGAGGTGGAAGCGGGTGTGGACCTCAATGAGCCAGTCCACGAGGATGCCTCGTGTGCTCCATTCGAGCTCATCCTGGTGCTGCATGTACCGAGAGTTGGGGATGGACTTGCCTTCCAACTCGCGCAGGTACTCAAAGATCTCGGTAGCATACTCGGCAACCATCAGAGGGTCGTCACGGTCCTCGTCGTCGATGTCATTGAAGTTCGGCACCTCCGTGGTTGCCTTGTCAACGACCATGGGCTTCTTCTCGACCTTGACCTCGTCAACCGGCTCCTTGGCAATCTCCAAGAGGTTTTCCTTTTCTTGCGCGGAGAGCTTTCGCTTCTGAGCAGTTCCGCTGGTGGCGGAAGGTCTCTTCTCGACGCGTTTGGACTCTTTGGGGGGGACTTTGGTGGCGGCACGCGCCGGTGCCTTTTGTGTGGGTGCCTGGGCCTTGGAAGCCAACATAGTCTTGCCAGCAACAGGCTTCTTGCCGACCGCCGTCTCGGTTCTGGCCCGGTTGCTCAGGTCATTGAGGGCGCTGCGAGTGCTGGCGGAAACAGTCGTGCTCTTCTTGCTCTGGGGAGCTCCCTTGGTGACTCTTCCCTGGTCGCCGAGGACAGACTTGGCGGCTCTAGTGGTCATACGCGTGGTGCTGTTCTCGTCGTTCTCATTGGTGGCCGCGGCCCGACGGGTTGTTCTCGCCGCCTGGTACGAATCAGCACGTGTCACGATGGATGGGCAACACGATTGAACTTACAACAGGCATGGTGATCTAGTAGCTGCGTGTAGCACGTAACTAGATTCTATTCTGCTGGGTTGGAACCGTCGTCAGTGGCGTTCTTGATACGCGTCACGGTGAGGATGAAGAAGAGAAGAAGCACGAGGACGAGACGAGGGAATAAAGTAGGAAGCTCCGAGACATTCGAACGAGCTCGAGCTAGCTCAAGGTTGGTGGGCAACGGACCTTTTGGATCGGGGATAGATGAGGTAGGGTCACAACAGCGCGATTGGAATGCTGGCGACACGAGATATGGAAGCAAGGCTATGCTGAAGGGAGTAACAGGTGCGTCTGCCCAAAGAAAGATGCAAATGCAGATGCAGCAAAGAGAATGAAAAAAAGAAGGGAGAAGAGATGGGCGAACTAGAAGTAATAGCACCTGTGAGCGTAGGGCGAGGGAGTGATGTTTATGTGAAGAAGATGGTGCTGAGGGCGTTTGGAGGTGTTTTGATGGCGGAGCTCAGCGGAGTCTGGAGAGCAGAAAGCAAAGCAAGCAGAGGGAAACAGGGAGAGACGTGAGTGGGCGACAGGTATTTAGGTACAAAAAAAAAGGTACCGACACGATCAGTAAGTTGGTGGCAGTTGGGTGGGCCAGGCGCGCAAGGGATACCTCGCTGGCCAGGCAAACTAGGTGGGCAGGCAAGGTACCTCCCTAGTTTAGCAGGTAAGCTAGGTACGTACCGTGACGGAACACTGGCGCGGTTCGCGACGCCGCTTGGTTGCTTGGTCGTCGCCCGGGCCACAGCGGCCAGTAAGATATGCCGGACTGAGGCTTTGTCCCACCGACTGGCGGGGATGCGAGACGGTTTCTGGAGCGAATTTTACAGTTCAACGCGCTCACTGGTCAATGGCGCGAGGCGGCTGGTTTCTGCGAGGTATTGGTGCGAGTCTGGCTCTTCATACGGTCAAAAATACAGCACTATACCGGCTGCTCAACGTTTGCCTTGCACTTCACTTCACGACAACCTCTCAATTCTCCAATATTGAGCACAAAGGTTTGACGAGGCAGGGTCAGAGCGGGCAGCATGCCTGGTCAACACCTCCTCGAAAAAAGACGTGCTTTTTGGCGACAGTGGAGGCCAGACGAGGGCTTCAAACGACTCACAACGCGACTGTGGATGCGCTCATCGCGAGACCATGCAAGCCACCGTACCACAAGGTACGTACCGCCCAGAACAGAAGCTTGTAAACAATGGCAACGACCAAGCAACGTTTTCCTCATTGGCTTGCCTTCCCGCGGCGGGTCAACGCGCACGCCGGTGCTGTGGCTTGACGCGAACCCCGGACCACAGCTGTGGCGCAGCAGCATTTCTTGTGGCGTCGATTTTCAATGTCGGCGAAACGTTTTCCCATAGCTAAAACTTGAGCTTCATTGCACCACACCAGACGCAGAGCCATCAATCAGCGCCGGGCAGCTGTCTGGATTGCAATTTTGCAAGCAGGTTCACTTCGCTGTTCTGTGCTGCTTTCTTGCTTCATTGCTCTGTGTTTGCAAGCAATTGAGACACGAGCAGTCCAATTCATTCGCTCATCGGCTCTCCATTTGCGACCTCCTATTTTTGACATCTAAGCGCTCGTGATACATTGCACGACGATGCTGCAACCAAGACTTCCTGTCGTGGCCAGGGCCGTTGTCCGCTTTGCGCCGATTCGCCTGCCTATTCGCAGCTTCGCGACCGCCGCCGCGCCGGAATCGGCCCCCAGCATTGCCAAAGCCGAATCGCAGTCCTCGACCATCCGCACCTACAAACCGCGAACCCCCGGTGTGCGTCACTTGCGACGGCCGATCAACGACCATCTCTGGAAGGGCCGCGCTCACCTGCCCCTGACGATACCGAAGAAGGGCCACGGCAAGGGTGGCCGCAACGTCTACGGCCGCATCACAGTTCGACACCGCGGAGGCGGCCACAAGCGCAGGATACGCATCGTTGATTTTGTGCGCAACCGCCCGGGCCCGCACCTGGTTGAGCGGATTGAATATGACCCCGGTCGCAGCGCGCACATTGCCCTGCTGACGGAAAAGGCCACCGGCCGCAAGTCGTACATTGTCGCGGCCGACGGCCTGCGCGCCGGTGACGTCGTTCACAGCTACCGCTCTGGCATCCCTCAAGATCTGCTCAACAGCATGGGTGGCACTGTCGATCCTGGTATCCTCGCTGCCAAGACGGCTTTTCGCGGCAACTGCTTGCCCATGCACATGATTCCTGTGGGAACCCAGGTCTTTTGCGTTGGTTCTGCCGCCAAGCGCGGTGCTGTCTTTTGCCGCAGTGCGGGCACCCACGCCACAGTCGTGAACAAGGACGAGGAGACGAGGGCCGACGGCGTCAAGGTGGTCACTGGAAAGTACGTTGAAGTCCGTCTTCAGAGCGGCGAAGTGCGCAAGGTCAGCAAGCAGGCGTGCGCGACGATTGGTGTTGCCAGCAACATTCACCACCAGTATCGGCAGCTCGGTAAGGCTGGTCGTAGCCGTTGGCTGAACATTCGGCCGACAGTGCGTGGTCTGGCTATGAACAAGGGTACGTATTCTTTTTTTCTCTTGCTCTTGTTTGAGTGCAATATTAACACGGTGTAGTTGACCATCCTCACGGTGGTGGACGAGGCAAGTCCAAGAGTAACCGTCATCCTGTCACGCCCTGGGGCCGACCCGTATGTTTCATCTTTCTCTGGAATGATTTACAAACACTAACTCCCTGCAGACCAAGAGTGGCTACAAGACGCGCCGCAAGAACAACCCCAACAAGTGGGTGACGGTACCGAGACCACGAAACCACGGCGTGCAGAGAAAGAAGAAGACGGGCTAAATGATGAAGACAAGAGGGGTGTATTTCTAGATGGGCATTGGCTCTGGCAGAGCCGTGTACATTATGTCCTGTATCATAGCCATGAATATCAGCATGTTCAGTGTACTGTATTAGTGTGTTCGGGAATAATGGTACACGAAGTGTTGCAAATTTATTTTCCGACTTCTTTTCTCAGTTGACATAGTGTCTTAATGCATACGTAATATAGACTATGGCGGAAATAATCCGTATGAATTGAGGTGCCGCGCTACAATTGAGGACTCTAAGATTTCGTGCCATGTAGGTGCACTTTTATCTTCACCATGCACTCATTCTTTAATTAATGTTTTCTCTTCTTTTCCCTCTATTCCCGCTTCCTTTGTGTTTTATTTCTTGTGCACTCTTTTTTTTGTATGATTCGTTTGAGTCGTTCGTTTGCTCGGAATGATCCGGGCACGTGCTTGTCGTCCGCACAAACGAGGACTCTGCGCTGCCAGCTGCCAGCTACAACACCAAACAAATCCTCCCCAAACATCACCGTATATCAATTTATCGCCTCACTTTTCCTCTTCCTTTCACTTTCCCGTCCCTCGTCGGCCTATTTCCTCGGCGTCCTCGCCTCCTTATCCCGCGTGGCGCAGTACATACCGCACACGATCCACTTCCGCTTCTAGCCAAATAACGATTACCACACTACCGATGGGCACAGCCTGCCAGCCAAGAAGACCCAGCCCGGCACGATTTGCGCCCAGGGTCGCGCGGGACTCGGGTTCGTAGGGCTCCGCAGAGGCTTGAACCAACCCTTCTCACACCGAATAACTGAACAAAGGGCTGCCACAGCCGCCCGTCTCAGTGGGATGGAGTTGTTTTGCAAGCCGCTGAGCCAACGCTTGGCGTAGGATTATTGGGCAAGCCGGCGTCGTTGGGCATGAGCTGACCCAGAATGTCTTGCCCTTTTCTCACTCTCACTGCGCCATGCTCACACACAGCCTCGCCCCCAGCAACCACAGTGGGTTCGACTGACCAAACACCGCTTGGTTTCCCTTGACTTGACCCCTTGAGAGCGGGCTTGGCTCATCATTGTCGTGGCCGGATCCCCGTCGCCCAGCTTACGTCGGCTAGCCGCTGAGTTTCCTCTCGACAACTATATTAGTATTAGCCTCCCGCTACGAGTCTTCGAGTGAACCTACAGAGAGTTCCACCCACGTCACTCGAACGACGACCGTCCCTAGTCCCTCCGGTAGTCAAAGGCTCATCTCCTTCGGCAGACGCGCCGGCCATCCCTTTTCAACCTTACATCTCATGCCAACCTACGAAAAGATGGCGGCCACAGGAACGGCCGCTGCGCTGCGGCAGCAGTTTTCGATCCCCCTCATCGCCTCGTACATTATCGACTGGATTCTTCTCGCCGCGCTTGCGATCGGCTCCTACGTGCTCGGCAACATCAAGCCGAATTTTCGCAACTTTTCGCTGGCCGATCCCAACATTGCGTGCGTGCCATTCCTCGACAGCCGCTTTCTTTTCTTTCGCTAACAGAATTGCTTCCAGCTTCCCTTTCGCCGAACGCGAAACCTTTTCCAACATGCTTCTCTTTGTCTGCTGCGGCGTCATCCCCGTCATCGTCGTCCTTGTCGTCACCCTCATCCTCGTCCCCGGTGGCACCGTGCCGAAGGGCACCCCCGCGCTGCTCGTCTGGAAGCGCAAGCTCTGGGAGCTGCAGATCTCCTGGCTCGGCCTGCTTATGGCCGTCGGCTCGGCCTGGTTTTTCGTCAGCGGTCTGAAGAACATGTGCGGCAAGCCGCGTCCCGACATGCTGTCGCGATGCCTGCCAAACATGACCAACGCCGACAAGTACATCGTCGGCGGGTACCAGATCCAAGGCGCCAACGGCCACCTCTACTCGGCCGCGATCTGCACCCAGACGGACCAGGCTAAGCTCTGGGACGGCTTCCGCAGCTACCCTAGCGGCCACGCCGCTGCCTCCGCTGGCGGCCTGCTCTACCTGTCGCTATTCTTGGCTAGCAAGTTCGCCGTCACCCTTCCTTGGATCATGGCCGGATCTAGCGAGAACGTCGCCACGCAATCCGCGTTTCCCTCTCGCCACGGACGGCCCGACGGGCCTCCGCAGAACGGTTACGAGGACGGTAACGAATCCAGCTGGCCGCTCAGCGCAAAGAATGGTCCCAGCGCCAAGCTCCATGGCGCACGCACGCGAGCCGCTGCCCCTCCCGTGTTCCTCCTCGTCATCACCCTAGTTCCGTTCTGCCTCGCGATGGTCATTTCCGCGTCGCGCTGGTTCAACTACCGCCACCACGGCTTTGACATTCTCTTTGGCTTCTTCATTGGCACCATCTGCGCCATCTACAGCTTCCGCTACTACCACATGCCGATCCAGGACGGTGCCGGCTGGGCCTGGGGTCCGCGAAACCCTGCACGCGCGTTCTGGGCCGGCGTTGGCAATGTCGGTTACGGTACTCCCGGTGCGGACCGTGGTGCCGAGACTGCTGATATGGAGGCGTATCCTCAGACTGCAGTCTCCCGGGGCCCTAATCAACGCACCGGTCCTCATCCTGAGGCAAACACACAATACAATGGACAGTACGGTGCCGGCTTTGAAGATGTCGAGTTGCAGAGACTGAACCAGGGCGAGAATCGAGTGTAGTGGGGCTGTAAATTTGGAGAAAATAATTAGTTTTTTTTTAAGTAGTGATATCCCAATCAATTCGGTGTTATTAAAGACGCCAGCCGCATATGCTGGTGATGATGTGCAAGTGATGTTTTGGCGAGTACTTCAACTGAGAATATTCATTTATTGATTGCTACCATGTCATTAATAAAGACAACCCATCAAACGCCAAACAAGGAATCGTTTCCTTCATGATTTAAAAACCGTCAGCCATATCTCAACGCACCCGCGCGACCCGCATGTCCGGCGCGCCCTCAATCTCCACATCCTCGTCGGCGCCGCCCTGCGCCTCGTCCTCCTCGTCCTCCTCGTCGGCGCTGTCGTCGCGGAACCTGGCGTCGACGTCGGCCCTGCGGAGGCGCCTGCGCATGTCGTCGCGGCGGGCGGCCTGCCAGCGGACGAGGGCGGCGGCGGCGTGGACCTTGAAGCCGTAGACGCGGGGCACGTAGCGCTCGAGGCTCTTGGAGGGGATGAGGGCCGGGTAGACCTGGAACATGATGTTCTGGAAGGAGGTGCCGAAGTAGGCGCCGTCGATGGCGGCGTGGCGCGACGACTTGGGGTTGTAGACGTCCTCGCAGCGCGCGCAGTACAGCCGCACGGGCCGGCAGTTGGGCGTGTCGGACAGGCCCATGGGCAGCAGCGGGTGCAGCAGGCAGTCGACGCGCGGGCACTTGCCGAACTCGGCCTTTTTGTATTTTTCGAGCTGTGAATGAATGTGTCTGGTTAGCTTTTGTCCCAAGGAGGGAGGGAAGGGGGAGATGGGCAACGGGCATTACCATCTTGGTGAGACCGCGGGTGGTCACAATGTAGCGCGCGTGGACGAGGCCGTACAGATGACGCGCCGACTTTTCAATCGTCTCGCGCATCTCGTCGTCGCAGTCGAGGTCGAAGACGTCCGTCACCAGGTCCAGCGCGTATTGGTAGTACTGGACCTCGGTGTTGAGGCCCGTCAGGTTGAAGCGGTCCATCAGGTACTCCTCGTCGATTTCGCAAAAGTACTCATTGCCACGAGACGAGATGAACTGGTTGATGAGGGGAGTTTGAGGTCAGCCAAACAATGTCTCTCTTGAATGATTTGGGGGTGCAGGCAGTCCTGATCTGACGCCCGCAGAACATCTTGCCGAGAAAAAACCTACCCAGTCGCGCCAGTAGCTCGTGTATTCGCTATCTGTCTCGCTTCCGTAGTCGTCCATTTTGCGCTTGAGGCCCGCCACCGTGCACCGCTTTGTTTGCCGTGGGCCAGGGATGAGTCTGAATGTCGGGCTCGATGCGGTTGTTGCGCAGGAAGGCTGTGCGGTTGGATAAGGGAAGTTGTGGCGGGGTGGTTTTGCGGTGGGGCAGGAGTCAAGGGACGGCAAGGGACGCGGGCGGCGAGTAATTCCAGCTAAATCAGGATTAATTATACGGGGTCGAGAGATCTGCAGTGAGCTAAAACTAGTGAGCTTGATTTTGCGCCGTTTTTTCCCATATTTTAATCGCCAAGTGTAAGCCAGAAAACCTGTAATCGCATTTCCCATGTGAATGGGACCATCTAGGCAGACTTGAATGTAAAATATACTATTTCCATCACTGTCTATTCTTATGTTGAAGAAAGAGAACATTTTATTGAATCAAAAGTGAGCTTCGAGTTTCTCTACTCTAACCCTAACCCTGACGACCTACGGTATAGATACAGCACCGTGCATACTGTACAATTATTTCCATCCTTTTAACGAGAAGTGATTAAAATCAGTAGCCCAATTGCCTAAGATATCATCAATTGCTCTAGTGCGAGATTTATCATCAGGCCACCTACTAAACTACCGACTGACTCACCCGCAACTGCCTACTTTGGTTCGGATGCGCCCCCAGATTACCAGGCTTCAGCGGGGCTTCCAGGCGCGCCATTGGCCCCTCTAACGTTGGATTTCGTAGGCAGAACTTCGTGAGCCGAGCCGGCCTTTATAGACTTCGCACGGCCTCCGTTCCCCGGGCCATTCTTTTCCCTCTTCCACCTCGCACTTTTCACGCATGGACGGCATCGCCGCGCTTCTCTTCCCTCTCTGTCCCCGATAATGGACGCCTTGAACACGACGACGACGACGACGATGACCAACGGCGTGGCCGCGGCGGCCGCCGTCGTCACCAATGGCACCGCCATGGCACACAATGACGACGACCACCACGCTGCCACCACCACCACCACCACCACCACCGCCGCCGCCGAAGCACCAACCACCACCATGCGCCCGTACACCTTGCCCGTCGACAAGCTGCGGCGGCGGCTGACGCGGCCCGGCAAGACGCCGCTCGTCCTCGTCGCCTGCGGCAGCTTCTCGCCCATCACGGAGCTGCACGTGCAAATGTTCGCCATGGCCGGCCGCCACGTGGCGACCAGCCGCGGGCCGGCCGGCGCCTTCGAGGTGGTCGGCAGCTACCTGAGCCCCGTCAGCGACGCCTACAAGAAGCCGGCGCTCGCCCCCGCCCCCCACCGGCTCGCCATGTGCGAGCTCGCCGCCGCGGACGCCGACGTCATGGTCGACCCGTGGGAGGCGCTGCGCTGCGACGCCGCCACGCGCGAGCCCGTCTACACCAGCACCGTCGACGTCCTCCACCACGTCGACGCCGAGGTCAACCGCGACGGGGGCATCGAGACGCCGGACGGCATGGGCAAGGTGAGGGCGCGGGTGGCCTTGTTGATGGGCGCGGACGTGGCGGCGACGATGGGCGACGCGCGGTTGTGGCCCGTGGCGGACGTGGACGGCATCCTGGGCCGCTACGGCGCGTTCGTGGTGGAGCGGCCGGCGCAGACGCGCACGGAGGAGGCGCTCGCGCCGCTGCGCCCGCGGTACGACGAGACGCTCTGGGTCGTGCAGGCGTTCGACAACGACGTCAGCTCGACCAAGATCCGCGCGCAGCTGCGCAGCGGTGAGCGCGTGCTGGACCTGGCGCCGCGCGTGTACGAGTACATCAAGACGCACGACCTGTACCACGAGGAGACGGGCCACGCCAAGACGAACGGGGTGGTGCAATGATGATGGTGGAGGATGGGGATAACGGTGGGATAACGGTGGGATAATGGTGGGATAGAGATGATCTCGGGACATAGAATTCAAATCAAGGCACAGACGATGGGATGGGAACACGACAACGGTGATGAGATAGACCAAGACGATCAACGCCGTCATGTATAGAGCGGGCTGGGCTTGGGGACGTTTCTCGGCAGACGCATTGCATACGTAATCTGTAGCGAAAGAAGGCAAGCAAGAACACAGTACAAGTCATACAAATGATTACATCTTTTCTCTTTTACATCTATACTCTCCTTCCTAGATCGGAGGACTTGCGATCGGGCTAATGGTCGATCCCAAGCTCCCCTCGCTCACGGACCGTTCATCCGACTCCGTCCCGTCGCTCGGCACGCGCGGCCGCCCCAGCCCCGATGGAATCTCGAGCCGCGCGCCGATGCCGCCATCGCCGTTCTGCCCTCCGACCGCCGCCAGGTCCGCCATCTGCATGACCCGCTGGAGGGTCTCGCCCGTGTGGTCGAGCGCGGCCAGGAAGCGCGCCAGCTCGCGGCACAGCTCCCAGTCGGCCTCGCGGACGGCACGCGTCAGCACGCGCACGCTCTGCTCCGTCGACGGGCCGAGCTCGTCGAGCGTGTACAGCACCATCAGGTAGCCGCCCGCCGTCTTGACCGGCCCGCGCAGCAGCGACTCCTCGAAGAGCTCACGCGGCGGCGGCAGGTACGCGAAGAGCGTGCGCCACTGCCGCACCTCGGTCTTGCGCGTGCACCGCAGAACCACGTCCAGGTAGTCGCGCGACGACGAAAGCAGCGACAGCACGCGGGGGAGCACGGCCGCCTCGGGCGCGGGCGGCGGCGACGTTTCCGACTCCTCCTCGAGCACCCGGTGCAGGAGCATCTCGAGCCCGTGCGAAAAGTACGCCAAGTCCTGGTACTGCTCGGACAGCGCCACGGCTTCTGCCGTCATGGCTTGGCGCAAGTAGAAGCGCAGCAGGTCGGGTAATACAAGATGCGTCTGCCTGGTTAGTATTGGAGTCAGATGTGTGTTGGAGTACCAGACTTACTCGGATTGTGAACCGGAAAAAGGAAAAGTTGACATCACGCCTTTGTACAAGATTTGATTCCACCCCAAGAATGATGCCCTTTTCCAGTAGCATCGACAGCGGATAAAAGTCGACCGGGAACGACACCGGTGCCGGCAGCTCCTTGGTCCCATCCGAGGCCGCGTTAAGCACGTCGTCGATGCTGGCCCAACCCTTGACTTGCATGCCGTCAAACACCCACAGCGAGTCACGCAGCGCCGGCGGGCCGCGCGTCTCATCGCGCTCCACGTTGAGCAGTGGTTGGTCGCGCATACTGGCATGGTACTCGACGTTCTGTGCAATGATGCGCATGTCGTACTTGAGCTGGCCCTCCTCGTTGAGCGACGGGCTGAGAAGGACGAGCTTGCCGTCCACGAGGAAGATGACGGACGCGACCGCCACGTCTTGGGAGGGATCGCCGTCGACCAGCTGGCTCTCGGGCAGGATCCAGCTCAGACCGCGCACTCGAGCGGGCGATCGCACGATGCCGTGAAAGGCGATCTGGCCGACTTGTACGAGGCGGACGGAATCCGGTGACGGCGTGAATATAAAATGATAGAGGAGGTTTTCGTATGTGTACACGAGAAGAGAATCTTCTCCCGATGTAGTGACCAGCACTATGGGAGCGGGCAGTTTTTGCGTAAAGAGGACTTGCGACGACTCCAGCGCCGTTTCGCGCGAATATAGACGTATTTCATATGATTTGTTGCCCTCTACCGCGGCGACCAGGATATGCTGATACCAGCACATTCCTCCACGCACTTGAAACTCGTTTTCTTGTGCTTCGTTGGCAAACGTCTTCCATCTGCCGCTGTTGACGCTATAATGGGCTAAGCCTTTGCGACCTGCCACTGCCACGTAGCGTCCGTCTGGTGAAATGACAACCTGTCTTATCGGCCATTGGTGTAGTAGATAAGGAGCCGGAATCCTCGCCGTGTGCCACAAGAACGGTTCTGCCGAGATGGATGTCATGTCTGGAAGATCGTAGCCGCGATAGACCATGATGCCCGTGGATGTCTGCAGAACGGTGCGGAAGACATTGGCGTCGTTGTAGCAGCCCGTGACAGCGCTCTTGGCCATTTCCAAAGACCATATGGCCTCATTTCGCCGGCCAATCATGAGAATCTCGGAGCCTCCGCCGACCCAGGACGCACAGTCGACGCCCGCGAGCCAAGGCTCATCCGCGGTCGAGCGCTCGGCGCTGAAGCTATGGCTACCGGGGTTTCCGAACATGCTCCACGTCGCCCACCCGTTCTCGAAGCCGGCGAAGAGGCAGTATCCGTCCGGGGAGTATCCGAGCGTCGTGAGGGCACCGGCCGTTGACGTCGTCGCGGGTATGACTTGGCTGTGGGATAGCGTGATGTTGCCGGAGTAGTCCCTGACCGAGTAAACCTGAACCGTTCCGTCGCTGCAGCCAACGGCGATGAGGGAGAAGCGGGCGTTGATGACGGCACGAACCGCATGCCCGCGGGCCCCCTCGGGCGTGTGAAAGCAGTGGCCCTTGAACAGCTTCTTCGGGTCGTCGTCCTCGGACGTGCTCTTGTGCCGCTGCACAGCATACACGCGGCCGTCGCTCGTGATCCACGTCGACAGGTTCATCGGGCGGTCGTACGTCATCTCGGTGATGCAGACCTTCTTCTCGACCCAGCCCATGCGGCTCAGGATCTCGGTGCGCGTCTGGCTGCCCGTGCTATCCGGCGTCCACCGGATGCACTGCACCGCGGCGGGCTTGGCCGTGGCCACGATCAGCTCGTCGTCGAGCGCCAGGGCTGACTCGATGCCGGCGTCGACCTTGATCACCATGCGGAAGCGCACGCTGACGTCGAGGACGCCGGTGCCCTCGCCGGGACCCCAGAGGTACTGGTCCGGCCGCAGCCCGGCCTGCGGGCCGACCAGGCTCTGCCGGCGCCGCTGGACGTTGTGGTAGTTTGGGAAGTGCGACTTGTACACGCGCGACTCGCCGTCAGTGGCGACGGAGTAGGTGATGAGGTAGCCCTCGCTGGTGCGCACGACGAGGATGGCCGAGTCGGGTCGGAGGAGGAGGTCGACGTTTCGGCCGTAGAGCTGGAGGGAGGACTGCGATCGGACGACGACGGCGAGGATGACGGTAGGCTGCGGTCACGGCGTGTCAGCAACAAGCATTCAATGGCCGGCGGGACAACGTACCTTGGTCTGCCATAACGTGATGGACGTCGCGGTAATGACGGCAAACATGTTGCCAGAGCGCGAGACGCGGAGGGTCAGGACTGGGTCCTTGATAGGAATCGTGGGCTCTTCATCCTGCGATAAGGTCTCGGACGGCTCATCGCCAAACTCGACCGATTTGACCGCAGGCGTCGCAGGCGTCGCAGGCGTCACAGGGGGGGTTGTCGCATCGCCGCCGTTCTCCTCTTGGATGGCGGGCTCGGGCTCTGCCTCGTCCACGCCGGCGACGCCATCGTGAGACACGTACAGACGAGACCCTGACGCGCGATTGCTACTGGTGGCGTAGATGCGCGGCGTTCCAATAGGCCAGTACATGGCGACAGCCTCGAGCGTGCTGAGGAGTAGTTGGTGGGCGTGGGAGAGTGGACTCGCTTCGGATAATGAAGCTGGAGGAGAGCTGGCTTAGCTTACATAAGGTAGCCGTTTGAACGGAAATTGATGTAAAATAACATGAAAAGATTTCAGAAAACTACACTGAATTAAAGTAAATTATTTATTATTTATTCATTGCTAGTCATTTATCGAAAGATGGTTGGGTGTAGAAAATACAGCGCCGCCACCACGATGACATGCTGTGTTGTACCTGAAGCTATCGATAGGCACGGATGACCATGTTTGGGGCAGCCTAGTCCTTCACTTCAACACTAATCAATGCATGTTTTTCCTTCTCTTTTTTAATTCTTTTTTTTTAAAGAAAAAGACAAAAAACTTAGTTGCAAAATCACAAACCTGAACTACTTGATATGCGGACATAGATGGTCGTGGATGGGCGTCTTTTTACGAAACGCTGTTCCTTCTGCGACACTTTGGACTCTTCTTTTTGTTCTATATTTTTGGTAAAGTGATCTATACATAGGGCAAAGCACTTCCACGCATGAGTCGTGGCTTGAGCTATTGCCACTTGAACTACGCAGTACATTATGACATGAGCGCAATCACGACCCTGCGGCCGCAATCGCTGCCGGCGAAACCTCGTTTTGCATCACATCTACAGCGAAAAAGGGATCATCCAATAATTCTCTCGCCGAAATTCGCTGGTCTGGGTTTGTCACAACTACTCTTTGGATAAGGTTAAGAAGTAGCGACCTCTTCTTGCTGGGTGGGTTCCTGAACAAGGCCTCGTGGCTCGCCCACGCCCCTTTTCTGGTGTCGGGGCCTCCGTAGCCAGAGTCTGGTAGAGAATTAGTAAAATACTGCGGTATTCATAGAAGTTGAAGAATAGAAGGGCAACAGCATACCAGCATCGCACTCAGCCGCCGTGCTCCAAAAACTGGGCCAGCTATCCGGAGGGGGGCCCCCAAGTCGAAGAGCCGAAGAGAGATACTCGCCCAGCGCTGAGGAGCGGCTGAAAAGATCGGTGCTAAAACTCATTTCATGCATCTTTGTTGACATCATTAGCATCTTAGCCGCGAAGGATTTGGTTAACACATACCAGGCATCCGATCGCCCATAGATCCGCTGACTTGCTCCAAGCGGAACCGGCCTTGTCGTCAAACTTGTCGCGCATCACAATCTCTGGTGGGCGAAAGGTCAGTGGAGCGGCCCCAGGCAAGTCTGCAACTTGTTGACCAAATCTGTGTGCTATACAAGTACCCGAAATGTCAGCTAGTTATTTAGGCAAATTGTCCTAGTGTGCGTACCTCGGCCAAAATCCAAAATCTTGACAGATATTGTCTCTCGACTTGGAAACGCGTCGAAGCTGTGCAGAAAGTCCGAAATGTCTATGCGCGGAGTGGCATATGCTGGCACCGAGTCGCGTGGGAACGACCGGCTGCGTGGCATGACGGGAACAAGGTCAAGATCAAAGAAGTCGGCGAGCTGCTCGCCGTCAAACTGCTGGAGCCGTGGGATTGCGATTCCGAGGTTTCCGGGATGGGGATCTGAAAGCAACACGCTGTCAATACATCAGAACAGAGGCAGTTTAGGGAACACGACTGGGTACCTCCATGTGCTATGCCTTGCTCGTGGAGAAAGGCAAAGCCCTGTATAGCCTGGTAGACGGACGCCGATGTGCACTGGTCTATGGCATAACTATCGTTTAGTGGGCAGACAACTTCAGTGACCAAACATTGGTGGAATCCATTCGGCCCCTTGATGGTAAAAAAGTCGAAGAGTTTAATGATTCTCTCCAGGCCGGGCTCTCCTTGTCCGGATGTCTGAAGCTCGGAGAGAATGGTTGCCTCTTGATTAGGCTCTGAAGAGTCGGAGCCTTGGCAAAGCTTGACCGCTACCCATCGACTATAACGTAGTTTGTTAGACAAGATTGCCTGGTAGAAGAAGGTCGCTTACTCGTCAGCGAGGTCCCAAGCCAGCCAGACGGTCGCGAAGGCCCCCAAACCGAGCTTGAATCGGATTTGGTAGCGCGGCTCGCGATCCAGATCGCCGACGCAGGTGCCTAGCATTGGAAGGATGTCGCCGAGAATGACGGGATGCAATCCGTGACGACGATATCTCGTCAGCGCCTCCACATGACTGCCATCCCCGGTGTAAAAGAACTGCGCAGCTTGACTCGCGCCGCGCTTTCCATAGCAGTCGGCCATGTCCATCTCCCTCTTCCAGCCAAGAACACGAATTGGTATACGGTATCAGTTGGTAGGCTAGAAAGTTGTCAGACGAGACGAATATGGGCACCATGGAAACTCGAGAGCTTGGTGCGCCAGAGGGAGGCCAAATTTACTTGCGATGCGCGCGTGTAGGTGTGTTGGTGTAGGTGCAGATGTAGGAGGAATGCGAGTTACTGCCGTGGGAGGGGGAAGAGCTCGGAAACCCTTAACGCCACATAAAGGTACATACATTTGTATGTACACACGTAAGGTAGGTTAGTAGCTGACTGTACATGTGCAACCTCGAGTTGAGGCGCGTGTATCTGCAAACGGGAAGCCAGCCTCATCGCACTCAGCGTCCCGAGTGACGGCGTTTAACAACACTCAGTGCTTGGCTATTTGTTCACCAAAACCTCATGACAATCTCATTACATTCATTACTTGATGAGGGTGAGTCGCACAGGTCATCGGATCGGATCGTTTCATCCTTGTCCTCCTCTTGCCTCAACAGCACCACCCGTCTTATTGAATCCGTGCACGTCTACCCGGCCCTGTGGCATGACTACCTGATACTGGTGCTTCTCCAAATTCCTGCAGAATTATCTTTGAAGGTACCAAAATTGTCACCTGCGCCGGTCACGGAGCTGAAAATACAGCGCCATGCTTGCCGCGAGACCTGGCACGGCTAGACATCATCCTCGTAACGGCAACCAGCCAATATCACATCCAAGTATTGCCCACAACATGGAAGCAGAGGATGTGGCGTACAGAGCGGCAGGTCCTTGAGCGACAGAGACAGTATGAGAGTATCACCTTGCATGGAATACTTAAGGATGCAATGCAGTCTCTTTGCGGGCTTTCCATCCTCACCATCGTCAATCGACCATACACCATTTACCAGACCCTCGATCTACGACGTTATCCTTTGCAATTCTCTATATAGGAAGCCAAAATATGGAAGAAAACAAGGAAATTCTCACTAGCTACATCAAAACCACTGCCACTGACGGACGGCCACTCACCATCTATTACGCCTAGGACGCGCTAGAGGAGAAGAAATCGGTGAAAGCTGTCAAGGTCCTTCAGGATTTTGCCGCGGCCTACACCAGCTCATCAGATCTTGGACAGGGTGTAAATAGCCCCTGAGAATCTCCTTCAAATCAGACGATAAACTCGTCTACGCATTTGGCGCATCTTGTGAACCTTGGAGACATCCTGGAAACACACCTACAAGTTCCTGGCCATGGCAAACCAGGAGGCAATCGCCGACTTCTTCAAACAGACGATGACCTCCCGCGCCGCCTGCGAGGACAAGGCACGCAGCCTCACGGGCAGCGACAGGATTGAGCCAGTTGAAATCCAGGGGGTCTGCAGTATGTCGTCCAATGCCCCATCCGGTCCCGGGCTCTCAAGACGGAGACGAGCGACCTGGCGAGGCAGATCCACGGATCAATGGTGCCTACTGTTGAGTTCCGCGGCGAGCTCGGGAGCAGTGACGGAGACGACGAGACGGGCAGGAAGCCGCGACTGGTCTATCTCATGTCGCGGATGTCTGGAGTTACGCAACTTTGACTTTGTACTGTCTTGCGAGTACGAGCAAGCCTCCCCCAAGGCCTTTCCATTCGTCAGAATTTCTTTGCCGATGTCGCCAGGTCCGTTGCAAAAATCGTCAGCGCCGTTCAGTATGGCCGTTTTATAACCCTGGTACAGCTTCTTGGCTCAATCCTGGCTCCAGCCGCAACCCGTCCCGCCTGAACACCGGGACAAGATCAAGGCCGAGTACAAGCACGACCTGGGACGCCTCCACAGCAGTGTACCGGAGCGATTCTGGCCTCATGTTGAGACTTGCCTGGTCTCTCTCGATGCCATAATGTCCCTGCCAATGGCCCTCGTGCACAGGGACTTTGGTGCCTGCAACGTCTTGGTGGACGCGGAGACTTGCCACCTGCGCGGCGTGATTGACTGGGCCGAGGCGGTGGTCTGCCCCTTTGGGCTCAACCTGCACTCTGTGGTGTCATTTGCAGGCACGATGCGCCTGTAAAACGGCTGGCGTTGGTTCCCGGACCGTGCCGCGCCGGAGGAGACGTTCTGGGGACGTTTGTGCGCAAGGTCGGTGGCGTTTCGGACGAGACGGCCCGGACGATGAAGAGAGCGCGGATGCTGGGATTCTTGCTGTCAAATGGCTTTACCTGCAGACTGGCCTGTTCCCCTCCAGGATGACGATGCCGGGTGCAGCAGGATGAAGTATTTGGATGCTTTTCTTATTGACCAGTGTACTAGACTCGATGGGATTGACTGAAGAAGCCGGGCCGTCTAACCACCAGAAACACTGGACAGATTACCTACCTCAGGCTGCTTGGAAAATACGAACATACGGACCTTTTGTTTGCTTTGCCAAGTGTCTCGCATGCTGTCATCCTGTCGACAGCCGTACATACATCACCTCAGTAGCGGCCTAGCCTTGCTCCGATCGGAGCCGACTGGCTCGATGAGATACACTAACGAGGCCGGATATATCCACCAGAAACATGATCTGGCAGCCACACAGTCCACTTGGGTACCATTCAAGCTATTGTTAGTAGCGGAAAGCTTATACGCCGGCGTAGATGAACCCGAGTCGCCAGCCCGAGGGGCAGCCCCGAGGACCGAAGCCGGTGTCAACAAAAAGGTAAGCTACCCCACGTCACGCCCTCTACTTGACAGCCCAGACGCTCTTGATAAAACAAGTCTCGATATAGTTCTGTCGTTGCTCCCTCCCGGATACTGGCAGAGTCAAGCACCATGGGAGATATGAGCACATCCGTTACCATGCCGAGCGATCAGGTTCCGGCCTCACAGATCATCGAGGAGATTCGGAAGCGCCGCGCCGATTCCGGTAGGCTCGTCGCCGGCGTTGCTGCGGCGTCCAACAGCGACATGTTTAAAGGACCTGTACGTTGTATCTGGTGAGATGAATACCGAGATACCTAGACTCATCAAAAGTAGCAAGATGGAAAACCCAAAGCCAAGCGCTGGGATCGTGAGTTTCCCCTTGCAACCCCGACCAAGCATCGCATCTGCTAACTCTACCAGACCACCTCACCGAGGAGAGCAAGCTCCGCCAGCCTTGCGCCCTCAAGCTCGCCGCCCAGCACCTGAAGAAGCCCGGGCTCATCTCCCTCGGCAGCGGCCTCCCCGCCAGCAGCGTCTTCCCCTTCGCCTCGCTGTCCATGGCCGTGCCCTCGGTGCCCTCCTTCTCCGAGGCCGCGCCCGTCTCCCCGGCCACCGTCAACAAGTACGACATCCGCGACGGCGCCGCCGAGTACGACCTCTCCGTCGCGCTCAACTACGGCCAGGCCTGCGGCTCCGCCCAGATGGCTCGCTTCCTCACCGAGCACGCCGAGGTCGTCCACCGCCCGCCCTACGCCGACTGGGCCGTCTGCCAGACCATCGGCAACACGGGCGCGCTCGAGCAGGCCGCCCGCATGCTCTGCGACCGCGACCGCCGCGACGCCGTCCTCACCGAGGCGTTTGGCTTCTCCACCGCCATGGAGACGTTTGAGCCCCTGCGCGTCGGCGTCTTCGGCACCGCCATCGACAGCGAGGGCATCGTCGCCGAGGCCATGGACGAGCTGCTGTCCGGCTGGGACGAGGCGGCGCGCGGCGGGTTTCGCAGGCCGCACGTCCTCTACACCGTGCCGTCCGGGCAGAACCCGACCGGCGCCACGCAGAGCCCCGCGCGCCGCCGGGCCGTCTACGCGGTCGCCCGCAAGCACGACATGATCATCATCGAGGACGAGCCCTACTACTTCCTGCAGATGGACCCCTACGGCCAAGACGCCGCTCCTCCTACCAATATTGACGAGTTCGTCGCCTCGCTCGTGCCCTCGTACGTCAGCATCGACGTCGACGGCCGCGTCCTCCGCATGGACTCCTTCTCCAAGGTGCTCGCGCCGGGCGCCCGCCTCGGCTGGATCGTCGCCTCGCAGCAGCTCGTCGAGCGCTACCAGCGCCACGCCGAGGTCGCCTCCCAGGGCCCCAGCGGCTTCTCCCAGGTGCTGCTGCACAAGCTGCTCGAGGACAGCTGGGGCGGCCACGCGGGCTACCTGCAGTGGCTGATGCACCTGCGCGGCGTCTACGCGCAGAAGCGCGACGCGCTGCTGGCCGCGTGCGAGAGGCACCTCCCGCGGGATCTTGTCAGCTGGACGCCCCCGGCCGCCGGCATGTTTGTAAGTTTTTACGTCTCTTCCCAACGCTGGAGGTTGGGAGAGGTTGGGCAAGGCTGTGTGGCTGACTTTTGTAGGTTTGGCTTACGGTAGATCACGCGAAACACCCCGACCACGGCACGCGTAAGCTCGAGGACATTGAGCAGGAGATTTTCGACGCCGGCATCGACGGAGGCGTGCTGGTCGCCCGAGGCTCCTGGTTCCGCGCGGAGCAGCACGTTCCGCTCTCTGGGCTCTACTTTCGCATCACCTACGCGACCGCCAGCCCCGAGGACATGGACACGGCAACGTCACGATTCGGCGATGCGGTTCGCAGCAGCTTCAAAGTATAGATAGGCATCGTTCATGTACATGGACATCTATATACGGATGGCCGCAGCGCCATCCCTTAATTCAAAATGTACAGCGTTTCAAATATGTCTAGTGTCCACGTATTTACATCTAAGCGCACCGGGCTTGGCTGAGCTTGAAACCGCCCGGCTGCAGCCTCTGGAAGACGCCGGCCGGGTCGTATTTCTTGGCCACCCCTCTCATGAAGGCGACATTAGCAGCGCCGTAGCCGCAAAGAGGGTCTTGCTTGGGGCCGCCGTAGTTGAGGTAGATGAATGGGGAAAAGGTGTCGTGCTTCTTGGCGACGGATTCGGCGGCGTCGATAAAAGCTTGGCGCGCAGCCTCCATGACCGGGTCAAGGCTGGCATCGTTCCATCGGGAGACGAGCCAGAGGACTAATTTGTTAGTACCATTTCCCGGCAGGGAGACTCAAAACATACCTAGTTGATCTTTCTTTTCATCCTGCAGTCCCAGGACGTTGCCGCCACGGGCCTTGGCGTACGTTTCCTGCAGGGCGGGCTGCGGAACAACCGAGACTAGCCAGTCAATTTTGTCCTTGACTTCGAGGTCATTGTACACGGCGTCCGAAGCCTTCCAAAAGTCGAGCAGAGTCTCCTTGTCGTTGGTGATGGTGATACTCGCAGTGACGTAGCGGAAACCGCGCGGAATGGCGAGGCTGGTCTCGTGCGCCAACGCAGCCAGCGATGCATGCCGCTTGGTATTGAAAAGCTGGTTCGGTAGCTTGAGGAACGGCTGCAGCGCCGGCGAGTCTGCAATGTTGGCCGTGTTGGACAGCGCCACGTCGACCACCTTGCTGCCGTTGCGAAGATAGGTGGACACGATCTGGATACCCGAGTCGACATCGCGGTGGTTGTCGGCCACAAAGTCGACGGTGGTTTTTGTGATAATCTGCTGCATCTGTTCTCGGTTGGCCTGGGGGCCGTCCAAGGCGAGAAGCAGTTGGCCTCCCCACATGCCGTCAAAGGCAAAGGCAGCCAAGTCGATCTTTGTCACGATACCAAAGTTTGTGCTGCCGCCTTTGAGGGCCCTGTAGAGGTCCGAGTGGTTCTGTTGATTGGCGTGGACGATCTCGCCCGATGCCAATACGACCTCGTAGTCGATGATGTTGTCGACAACCCAGCCCTTGCCGGCCTGGAAGAGCGACTGCCCGCCACCAACGGCAAGACCGCCGACGCCGACATCCTCGCAGATGCCGCCGGTAAAAGCAATCTTGTCCTTCTCAAAGACAGCATATGCTTGTCCCCAGGACAGACCAGTGCCGAGGCTGACGTAAGAGCGGCTCTGGGACAGGGACGTGGAGTTGAGGCCCCTCAAATCAATGGAGACACCTCTGTCGATGTTATTAAAACCGGGGTTGGGATTATGGCCACCAGACTTGACGGCGAAGCGGCAGTTCTTCTTTGCGAGCTCCTTGACAATGACGGACATGTCGCGGGCAGAAGTTGGCGTCACGACACAGCCTGGGTGCTGCATCGAGGTGATGGACCATCGTGCGGTGACGAGCTCGTTGTAGTCGGAAGCCGAAGGACCGTGATAGATAGACTTCACCTTGTCGGCCAGGCTTCTACACTGCTGTTGGTTAGCATCTTGGTCGATGCACGAACGGTGGACAACATACGCAATCAGCAGTTGATGCTTCTTCTGCCTGCCCAGCTGCCTGCGCAGCAGCAGAGACGAGTAGAGAAAGAACAGCAATCTTCATAGTAACAATGTAAGACCTTGTACGAAGATGCGGACCAGAAGAATTCTACGACCAAGAGCGAGGAGCAAGGCCACCTTTTTATTATTGACAGGTTGGGCTATAATGCATATCGCTTGATTCAGCAAGCCGTCGGGAAATTGGGAGGCGGACGGCTCCGGTTGGGCCTTCTAGGCTCGCAAGGCCTGCAACATCGGCACGGGTACCATGTCGCGAACCAGGATAAGCCAAAGTTGGGTTACATTGTCGCTAAGAGGCTGACGATGGTTGGACGGGCTGGACGGGCTCAGAGACCAGGCTCCGTCGTAAATGCAGAGTGACGATGACGGCAGCCTGACTCTTCACTTCAGCTATGCCGCATCATTCAAGGTGGCACGGGCGGAAGTATTGAATGTGGCAGGCAGTCGGATGAGACAAGGAGGTGGGTTTGTGTGTGTTCGGATAGTGCATCTCGGGTTCTACATAGCAAGTTCATTTGTGCAGATCATTGTGTCAAAAGGCCAGTAGCACAAGGCGGATGCAGTTGCTGACAAAGGCTAAATGGAACGCGAAGGAATGGATCACGTGACTGACTGCCGCACGCCCCATTATTTCGCCTTCTCAGGACAAGACAAGCATGGGTGGTGGTGCGGATGCCTCAAAGCTTTGCCCCAGCAAAAGCAATCAGCTTCCTCCTTTAGTTCCCGCAAAATACCCCAAATCTCTTCGCAAACAGGCAGGTGGACGTCGCAAACTGTTTCTCACGACTGCGCGACCCTTGCGCGATAGAATTTTCCACTCACCAGCCCCTCGACCCGGGCAAATCAACGCGTCAAGCAAACACAGCACCCACCACCACCCTTACACATCACATCGCAATGCCTGTCGAGGTCACCTTCGACACGCCGTTGGCGGCCGCCATCAACACGGCGATCCAACCGAAGTTGCAGGAAGTAGGATGGGCGAGCGAGTCGGATGCCTCGTCGTTAGCTGAGCTGATCGTGCTGATGCTCGCCAACGGCAAGTCGGAGGAGGAAATCGCCACCGAGATGGCCGTTGACCTGCTGCATCTAGAGCCTGGCGACGCCACGGCGCGTGAATTCTCCAGGTGGCTCTTTCAACAAATCGACGAGCTGAACGCGCTGATGAACGCGCCCGCGCCTTCAGAGGGGGGCGACGTTGACATGGATACTGAATCACTGAATGCGTAGGTTCCCGCGGCCCCGTTCAGTTTGCATCGATGCTAATTTACTCACCACAGTCCCACTGGTCCCCGCGCGATGCGAAATGGTCAACGCGGCGGCAGAGGCGGTCGCATGCTCGGCAACCTTAACCGAGCGATGGACCGTACCGACGTCCTCCACCGCGTCCGTCAAAACGGCAACGAAAGGATCAACACCCACAACCGCCAGGGGCAACGCGGTCGTGGCGGTCGCATGAACCCGCGGAACATGCACGCCGGTCTTGCCGCTGGTGGTCCTCAGCAGTGGATGATGGGCGCCGCTGGCGGCCCGCAGTCCCAGGCCGAGATTCTCAGCATCCTCGAGCACCAGAACCAGATGATGTTCCAACTATCACAAATGATGAACAACGCGCCCAACGGCGGCGGCTTCGGCCGCGGGCGGGGTGGCAAGTCGCTGTTTGATCGCGTCCAGGACCCAAACCGTCGACAACGCAAGCCGCACAACGGTCACCAGGACAACGGCGAGAACAATGCCGAGGGCGGCGAAGACACGGACATGTCGAGCCGCGAACCGCTGAATCCCGACGAGACGATTTGCAAATACAACCTGCGCTGTACCAACAAGGAGTGCAAGTTTGCCCACCAGTCACCGGCGGCGCCGCCCGGCGCGTCCGTCGACGTGCACGACCCGTGCTCCTTTGGCGCAGCGTGCAAGAACCGCAAGTGCGTCGGCCGCCACCCTTCTCCCGCAACCAAGCTGGCGCACCAGAGCGAGCAGGACTGCAAGTTCTTTCCCAACTGCCAGAACACGCACTGCCCCTTCCGGCACCCGTCGATGCCGCTGTGCCGCAACGGTGCGGGCTGCACCACCGAGGGCTGCAAGTTCACGCACGTCAAGACCAAGTGCAAGTTCAACCCGTGCCTCAATCCGCACTGCGCCTTCTCGCATGAGGAGGGCCAGCAGGGCGGCTTCAAGGACAAGGTGTGGACGGCCGGGGGTGGTGACGAGCACGTGAGCGACCGCAAGTTCGTTGAGGACGGCGGCTCGGAGGAACTGGTCAAGCCAGATGATGAGATGAAGAATGATACCAACCATGCCGTCCCGGCCAAGGCCGAGGCGGATGAAGATGTAATTGGGTAGTGTACAATACGAAAATTTCTTATTGGGTGGCGTTTCTTGGGTTTGGGCTGTATATAGTTAACTGCGCTTACTGCACACGGTTGTAATAGAGCTGCGCGTTCTTTTTGGGCACGTGGTGTGCCCAGATCTATATTATCCGATCCCACGTATATGTGCATGTGCATGCATCTGCATTTGTCGGCATGGCATCTGTCAGGTACCTGTCGAAGTATACGGTGCAGTAGCAAGGCAAGAGGCAAGTCTCGTACTGCAGCCTTCTCGGAGGATGTAACACTAGAGAGAACCGCTTTGTGTAGAGCTTGATAAGGATATCCAGTAAATTCTACAACTGATTTGGGCACCTACTAAGTAGGTAATTGCTGTATCCCGAGACATTGGCGCCGTAGCCGCTGAGGGCTGCTCTAATCCGAGTCCCCCTCCACCCAGAGCTCCACCCAGCCGCTGCCACTCAGGCAACCTCACGCCACCACAAACAACAACGCAACACAAAGCTTCCACGAACCATGCGCCATTGAGCCATGAGCAAGAGTCGCTGTTCACGGGAAGCGACTACGATGGCGTTCCGAGCCCCCGCGCGGCTGCGCCTGCCATTGGTCCCGCGAGGACACCACCGGGGCCTCGCGAGCAACAGCAGCAGCGACGGCAAGCACGTGGCCGTCATCGGCGGCGGCCTCACCGGCCTCGCGACCGCCTACTTCCTCGCCAAACGGCTGCCCGCCTCGGCGCGCATCGACCTCTACGAGGCGAGCGACCGCCTGGGCGGCTGGATCCGCACCGACAGGGTGCGCGTCGACGTCGGCGGCGTGCGCGGCGTCGTGCCGTTTGAACGCGGCCCGCGAACGCTGTCCACGCTCCGCGGCAACACCTGGCGGTACGACGACCTCGTCCTCTACGAGCTGGTATGTCTCTCTGCCTCTTACAAACCTGCCTCTTTCCGTTCCCTCCCCTGCTGACACGGTAACTAGATTCTCGACCTCGGCCTCCAGCCTTCGTACCCCAAGGACCTCCCCCGATACCTCTGCTACCCCAACCACCTCGTCACCATGCCCCCCGACGCCTCCATCCTCGACTACCTGCGCGAGCCGCTCTTCCGGGAGTGCGCCCGCGGCGCGCTCGCCACCGCCGTCGGCTACCTCACCGGCCGCCACCGCCGCGACGGCCTGCCCGCCGCGGACCTCTCCGTCGCGGACTGGCTGCGGCTCATCACCGGCGACGGCGCCGTCGGCGCCAACCTCGCCTCCGCCATGATACACGGCATATACGGCGGCGACATCGAGCGCCTCAGCGTGCGCACAGTGCTCGACCGCGCCCTCTTCAGCCTCCACGGGCCGCGCCTGGAGCCCGGTCGTCGCCGCGTGCCCGAGCGCGAGCTCGCGTTCATGCGCCGCGTGATGCGGGACGACGAGCACGGCTTGGTCTGCGCGCTGGCGAACAGACCCAAGGGCGCGCTGGTGCACTTTGGCGCGCGCGGCATGGAGGCGCTGCCGAGGGCCCTCGAGGAGGCGCTCAAAGGGCAGCCCAACGTGACCATCCACCGGCAGACCCCGGCCACCAATCTTCACTACGACCGAAAGCGAGACAGGATCAAGGTACGGTTCCTGCCTCTCCGTCTCTGTCCATCCGGCGTGTTAGAACACGAACATAGCTGACCACGCTCACACGCTGCAGGTGACCGCCACCAAGTCGCCGCGGCTCTACGACCACGTCGTGTCCACCACCTCCAGCGACGTGCTCGTGCCGTCCGCCGGCATCCCCTCCGTCTCCATCATGACCGTCAACCTGTGGTACCCGATCGAGAACCTGAAGCCGCCCGGCTTCGGCTACCTGATCCCGCAAGCCACCTCCGACGTCGGGCAGAACCCCGAGCGCGCGCTGGGCGTCTTCTTCGACTCCGACGTCATCGCCGAGCGCGCGCCCGACGAACCCCCCGGCACCAAGCTCTTTGTCCTGATGGGCGGCCACCACTACCGCGGACACGCGCCGCCGGACGAGGAGGAGGCGGTCGCGCTGGCCAAGGGGCTGCTGGAGCGGCAGCTGGGCATCCCGCGCGACGCGCCGTGCCACGCCATGGCGAGGCTCGCGCGGGACTGCATCCCGCAGCACGAGGTCGGCCACGGGGAGCGGCTGCAATACGTGCACAAACAGATCATGAGCGGGTCTGGCGGCCGGCTGAGCGTGGCCAACGGCTCGTACGGACGCATCGGCGCCATGGGCGCGCTGCGCAACGCGTACGACGCCGCGCACGCCATCGTCGAGGGTCGTCTGTCCTCCGGCCTCGAGGACTTCATCGACGACCGCATCATCGAGGACGTGTCGCTAGCGGACATTCCTTGTCGGCAGCCCCAGAGTAAAGCATAGAAGGGGGGGAGGGAAGGTGGGGGGGGGGGCCTAGAGTTCACCTGTAAAAGATGGGCTCACGCATCCGAGTGATTGTATAAAAGACAATGTTCTTTCTTTTTTGGCCATTATTGCATCTAAGAGCTTTGGTATCATTTCTGTGGCTGGGACTTGGTCTTACGCTAAAAATAATGATCGTACATAAAAAGGCGTTTAATCCAAAATTACCACTTCCTTGCTGTTGTTTTGAATCTGCATCGCCGCCGCCGTGGACGACTCGCCGACGGCAGCCGAGCGCAGCGCCTCATCCACCGTGAGCAGCATGGCAACGATGCCACCCTCAGACCGCGCCGCCGCGCCCGTCGACAGACCCAGCCATCCGGGCCCCCGGCCGTTCCACACGGTCTTGAGTGCCGCCTCGTACACGTCGTCCTCCTTGCCGGACACGATGCCGTCGCGGGCGCGCCACACGTGCCACCAAGACTCGCCACGGCGCGTCTCAGTCCGTATCTGCAGCAGGACGACGCGCTTTGTCCCCGGCGGGCCCCGAGCGGCCATGGTGTACTGCAGGCTAAGCCACGACAGCGACTTCATGGCGAACGCGACTTGGCCGAGCTGCTTGGATTGAGGTTCGTCCCAGCGCATCTCGATGCTGCTGATGGCCTCGAGCGCCTGCAGGGACGCGGGGAGCCATCCCATCAGGGCCCCAATGCCGCCGTCGCTATTGACGAGTTGGTGCATAAGGTCGACGACGCGCAGGTGCGGGTTGCCGCGATCGATTTTGATCGCGATGTCGTCCTTCGATAGGTCCAGCGTGATGCGCCACTGTTGACTGTCGTCCTTGTTGTTGCTGTTTGCTTGACTGTACCGGAACCGTATCTCCTTGAGTGTCACTAGTTCGCTCACAATCGACCCGTTCGACTTGTCCATTGCCTCCAAAAAGTTGACGAACCGGTCAATAGCCTTGATTCGCGACTTGAGGAGCGCCAGGACGGGCTCGCCGATGCCGTGCTGTACGCGGAGACAAAACTCGCCCAGCTTGGCATTGTATTGAAGATTGCCATCGACGGTCCCCTTGAGAGCGGCAAACTTGGACGGCCTGCGCACCCCGAGAACCGCTTCTGACACACACATCAGGCTGCCTTCGTTCGCTTCGATACCTTTGAATCGGATAGTGACAACGTCGATTGCCCATGGTTGCCGGTCCTTTGATTTATGCCCTGCATCGTGGACTAGGTTCGGGAACAGGGCTGATAGAGCCACTTGTATCGAGGGTAGGTGAAGTTGATGGGGTAAGGTCGGGTTCATGCTGTCGTTCGTCTGGCTCTTAATGCGAAGGCGGTGCAACTCGCGCATATCGACGGCCTGTGCAATCATGCCGGTGGCGAAAATGGTCAGGTCGCTCCAGAAGTCATTCGAGAAGTCGGGGTTTCCCTTGCTAAGAGGCAGTCTGGCTTGGAACTTGATGGAGCGCCCTGGCTCGTCGCGGTTTGCTTCCAGCAGCCACCACTGGTCGCCGCCGAGGCCGAGAAAGATGACCACATACCAGGTCTCCCCCCAACCCTCCCTGCGCATCCAGATGGTGCGAGTCCAATCACGCAATTTTGTGACGGATTTTGTTTCTTCCAGCGAGAGAGGCGACTTTTGTGTCTGCCAGCCGGCCGCACTGCCGCGGCGGAGCAGCTCGTCCTCAACAATGGCGCAGCGCACACTCTCCAGACATGTGACGCCATCGTCGGCAGTGTTCTTGCCGCTGTTAAGTTGATGCTCATACTGAATCGAGAACTTAGACTGCGGCTTCACGGCAAATATGCCTGTCGTCGGTTCCACCAGCAGTGATGTCGTATTCGTACGACTTACTTGCATCGTGAGGATGCAGTCGCCGGGGTTCTTGTTCGAGATGCGCAAAGTCATTGCGGCTTCGTGGTGCTTAAAACGAGGCGCTTCGAGCAGCTTATCGCGGATGTTCCGCAATATGTATCCAATATGTCGTCCAATCACTTCCTTCAAAAGAGACTCAACAGAGAGGTCGCCGACGTCAAAAGCCAGTTGTACGTCCTTGACTTCCTGATTGTCTCTATACCATTTTGCCACCAGGTTGCTCGGCGACCCAGCATCCATTTTGCCATTCTTCTTCCCGCTATTAACAGCGATAAGCAGCCAACTCTTGGTAGTGGGTGCGCGCGATGACCAGTATTGTATCGCTAGGCCACGGTTGAGCTGTTCAACCACTAGAGTTCCGTGCCAGGACGTTCTGCTCAGCCGCAGGGCCTGGCTCTTCAGCTCGGTGATCTTGGCCGTCAGTACCATTTCGTGCAAAAATTGATAGCAGCCGGTAAGACCGTTCCTCGCCAGCGCATCGTTGACATAGATCTCCATGTGACGTCGCAGTCCCTCTGAAAGCGAGAGGGCTGACGGTGTGAATGCATATCTGAAATCAATGAACCAAAATTGCTTGTCGGGGTCTTCGTCGGCAATCGTCAAATCCACCTCGAACTCGTCTGCTACTTTGAATGTGACGCGGCCAGAGGAAATCTCGTAACTGCGGAACTGAGGTGGTATCTTGTCGTAATCTTCCAGGTTGAGTCGCAGGCTCAGGCGCGTATTGAGATCCTTGAGCCAACGCAGTTTCTCTTCAGCTGTGAGGGGGGGGGGTTCTATATAGTTATGCTGCGACTGTTAGCCAATGCTTCACCAAGAACGGTGGTCCGATGCCACATACATCTGATATCCATGGAGCACTTCCGGTAGATAATATTTGCAGGGCCGTCTTCAAGTCTGGGGCAGGTAGCCGCGCATAGCTCAGGTCTCGCTTGACATTGGCCGTCTTGTCAATGCACATATCGTAGCTGACTTTCAGCTGGTCCATGTGAAACTTCAAGTCAATCAGCTTGCTGACCAAGGGCGCCTGGCGGCTCCATTCCGTGATGACGAGCGCCTTGACCCATTTCGCGTGCATGTCCTGCGCAAAATGCAACAGGGTCGCCTTCTTCCGCAGGTTTTCGGCCGAGACGTCGTCGGGGCCGCTCGCCGTCAGGTTCGTTGCAGTACCGTTGAGGGCCGAAGCCGGGATGGCCATCTTGGCCAGCTCCGCCACTTTGTCCTGCAGGGAGTTGTGAGAGACCTGCGCCAAGCGCGTGAGGAACAACGACAGCGGGACGAAGCCCTGCGTGACGTGGACGATCTCATCGGGGAGGTCGTTCATGCGTGGCAGCCCCGAATCGCCGGCCCGGACCACGGCCTTGTCGTCCGGCGGCATGCCGGGTTGATCTGCGACCACTTTTGCATTGTCGCTCGGCCGTTCATGATCGGTGCGCCCGCTGGCTTCGCCATTTTCCATCTTTGAGGACGCCGGGCCGTTCGACAAGCCCGCGGCGGCCCGCCTCGTTTTTTAACGTCAGTGTGGTTCGTGATGCTGGTGCCAGGCGATGTGGCATCGCGCGCGCCGCGCATGTGCAATAGAATACAGATAATCAGTATCGGATGAGTCTCGAAATTAAATGCGCGCGTGGCAGGAATCGATGGATGTCGCGATGCGAATGCGCTGTGTGATGTCAGCTCCAAGATGTTTACCTGGGCGGCAAAGTCATGTGAGGCAGGGTGAGGATGGATGCGTGCACGGACCACTTTCACTTCTGCGACTACGGCTTGCTGCATAACGAGTTTATTAGTTCCATTCTCTGACCAAGGTTTCTTTGTCCGACCAACACTTGATGTTTGCGAATTTCTTTCATTCTTTTGAATCTGAATCGAAAACTTCATGTAGCTTTAAAAATTAGAATCTCGCGTTATTATTTTAGTTTACACACCTTATTTTTTATACTTTCCTATGCTTACCATCCTGTTTATCTTTTCTATCTTCATTTTCCTTCCTCACTTTCCTTACCTTGTTCATCTTCTATATCTCTTCTTTCTGCCCTACACCTACCCTCGTTGATTACCTACTGAAATGGTACGTAATAGACACGACCTTAAGAGGAACAATTTTATTGAAGAAAATTTTATCAACTGATTTTTTTTTTTTCATAGCCTATACATTATCATATCTGCCTAACCATTTTCAACTACCCATGTAAGCCACGCTCGCCTCAGCGATCAAGGCCCACTTACAGCTTGTTGCTACTGTTGTTGTTGCTGGGCACGGCAGACGTTGTCGGCCACTGGTAGCCAGCAGCGTCGCTAAACTTGTATCCGTATGAAGCAGTAAAGTCGTCGAGAACAGCGGGGCCGCGCGAGCCTACGTATTCTGTTAGTATCACGGCGTAGCGATGAAGACGAGGGGCTTCTCCTTACCATAGGGATACTCCATAGGGATGATCTCCTTGTTGTCGTCGAGGTAGTGGAGGAGAGGGGTAAAGATGCGCCAGCTAGCATCGAGCTCGTCATCACGGACAAAGTTGGAGTGGTCGCCCTTGAGGCAGTCGAGCACCAGCGACTCGTAGGCCTCGGGAATCTTGAGATCGGAGAAGCGGCGGCGGTAGGTGAGGTCCAGCTCGGTAACGACGGTCTGCATGCTGAGACCAGGGAGCTTCGAGTTCATCTTGATATAGACACTCTCGTTGGGCTGAATGCGCATAACCAACTCATTGCGAGGAATGTCCTTGAAGATACCTGATGTAACGTCCTTGAACTGGATGCGAATCTCCGTCTTTTGCTCATTGAGGGCCTTGCCAGCCTTCATGATGAAGGGAACGCCGTCCCAACGCTCATTCTTGATGTAGGCGACAAGGGCGCAGAAGGTAGGGCAGCGAGAGTCCTGGGGAACGGTATCATCCTCCTTGTACGCGGGCTTGCTGCCGTCAAGGGAGCGCCCGTACTGACCAATGATGACATTCTTGGGCTCAAGAGCAGAAATGGCGCGCAGAACGCGCACCTTTTCGTCACGGATATCCTCAGAGTCGAAGGACACAGGGCGCTCCATGGCCAGGAGGGTCAGGACCTGAAGCAGATGGTTCTGCATGACGTCACGGATGATGCCGAACTCGTCAAAGTAGCCGCCGCGGCCTTCGGTGCCGAAGGGCTCCTTGAAGGTGATCTGAACGTTGTCGATGTGGTGGCGGTTCCAGGTTGCGCCGAGGAATGAGTTGCCGAAGCGCATAATCAGAATGTTCTTGACCATCTCCTTGCCCAGGTAGTGGTCGATGCGGTACAGCTCCTCCTCCTTCCAGTCCGGCTCGAGAGACTTTTGTAGCTCACGGGAGCTGGCCAGGTCCTTGCCAAAGGGCTTCTCGACGATGACGCGGGCGATGCCCTTGGTGGGGTAGCAGCACTTCTTGAGGTGCTGGGAGACGATTGTGAAGACGGAGGGAGGGAGGGCCATGTAAAAGAGGCGGTTGTGCTCGGGGCGGCCTTTTTCGAGCTCCTCCATGTGCTTGGTGAGGGCCACGAATGACTCGTCCTTGTCGTACTGGCCGGAGACGTAGGAGCAGATCTTGCAGAACTCCTCGAGCTGCTGCTCAATCTCCTTGGTGGGGGTCTTCATGTATGACTTGATTCGGCGGAGGTACTCCTCGTGGTCCATCTTCGTGCGCGCATATCCAACGATGCGGACATCCTTGGGAAGGAATTGGTTTCGATACTGGAACAAATGTTAGAAGGAAGCTGCCCCGGTCGTTGGGTCAGCAAGCAGGTATCTTACCAGGCCAAAGAGAGCAGGGTACTGTTTTGGTTAGTGTTTCATGCTTTCGAGAGCGGGAAAAGGAAGCAATCGCCGGATTGGTCGGACATACCGTCTTCTTCTTCGCCAGGTCGCCAGACGCGCCGAGGACGACGATTGTGGTGTTTTCCTTGAGCTCCATGGCTCTGGGAGTTGTTTGTTAGCGGTAAGAAGGGAGCTTGATGGTGGGGTTGCAGCAGGGCCGAACTACTACGTACGAGGGCGAGGTTTGCTCCATGGCAGCGGGGTATCGGCTGAGTTGGGAGTCGAAGCGCAGACAGGAGGGGGATTGGCGTAGATATAGAGCTGGTCTGCGAGGAGGAAATAAACGGACGTGATGAGAAGAGGGAAAGGCTGGTCGAGGAAGACTGTTGAGAGATTGTTGAAGGTCCCCAGCTCTGGGGCGGGCCTTGCTCACTAATGTTATCGCTGAGCTATGATGCGCTGATAGCCAAATGCTCTGTCAGACTCTACCAGGTACGTTACAGCGGGCTCTCTGGCCCCACCCCGGGGGCGTTTGACCGGCCGTATCTACGAGGGATTTCCAGGATCACCGGGGGTAAGGTAGCCTGGTTGAAACTACTATTCTGCTCGGGAGAATGCAACTGTCGACGTCTTCTGTATTGGAATTGTTTATAGTGACCGCGGGCCATTTTTTCGCGCCGAATTTCTGCGAAACGCCCTCACACCAGCAGCATGTAAGCTGATACCTGTTCACTAGAGGTGCCCGCTTTCAGCGAGTGTTGCTGCACAATGCGTCCTGCAGCGTTTGGGTCTGGGCTTTTTTTGGTCCGAAGATGCCGATGCGGCGCAGGTGGCTGGTGAGCCAGACCCCACTCTTACTGTGGGTATTATCCTGTGGCGGTGCTAGCGACAACGACAACCCAAGCTTGAAGGTGCCCTAAGCAAACACGTGATGTGAAGGGCACAAATTTTTCGGGCCTATGCGAGTCCACCACACAACCATTATCGCATCCACCTGGAACCTCTTTTAGTCCGACTTGACGACACAAACCACCGACGACTAACCACAACAGAGGGACAGGTCTTTTCGCTAAGACGTCTTTCCTACGACTTTTTTCATAACGGCAGCGGCGGAAAACAAACAACGACAAGATGCCTTCCGAAGCCGGTCACAGATGTACGTTTCGCCGCCGCGCCGCGATGTTGCGATGATTGGAGATTACAATCGTGAACTGCAAGGATGGTTTTCAGGATCATATGCTAACATTGTCACAGTATACGTCAAGTGAGTGCGAGCGCGTTCGATTCGGCCGATTCGTTTGGGAGGATTCGATGTTCAGGATCACGACGACAAGGGCCGAATGTGTAGCTGGAGGAACTTGCGCTGACCATGTTTTGCAGGGGACGTCACCTGAGCTACCAGCGCTCTCGTCACATCACCCGTCCCGGCACCTCCCTCATCAAGATTGAGGGTGTCGACAACGTTGACGGCGCCAAGTAGGTCCCCCTGCTTCCCAAATCTTCGACGCCTGGTGTGCGCGTGCGACACGGAATAGCAGCTAACCTCGTTGAACCAGCTTCTACCTCGGCAAGCGCGTCGCTTTCGTCTACCGCGGCCAGAAGGAGATCCGTGGCACCAAGATCCGCGTGATCTGGGGCAAGGTCACCCGCCCTCACGGTATGTTTACAGAATGACGCAATTCCACTTGAAGCGACAGGCACAGTCATAGCTCGAGAGGCAACTCCTTCTAACTGGTTTCCTAGGTAACTCCGGTGTCGTTCGTGCCAAGTTCTCTTCTCCCCTTCCCGCTAAGTCTTTCGGCGCTTCGGTTCGTGTCATGCTGTACCCCTCCTCGATATAAATAAAGGAGAATTCGGGGTGGAGTTGGTACTAGGCTGTTTGATTTTGGCTGCATTGGAGGCAAGGATATAAAAAATACACCGCCTTGCGTTAAAGAGGCATTCAATTAAAAAGACATCCAAATCACCATGATTCTCCATGGGATGAGACTGAAAAAAACGATACGACTGAGTGAGGCCCGATGAAGCGTTGGACTGTGAGTGTGAGGCTGAGCAATGAGGAGGATCGGGGGGTTGATTTATTGATCTAACAGCAGGTTACGGCGGACGCTAACACGGTGCGTGGTACTACAATTCTGGGGGACGCCGAAGCTCAAGCGACTACGGGTGAAAACGAGACTGATTTGCTATTTCCGTCATGGACTGGAATGTCCCAATAACTAACGCCCAGCAGGAGACCTAGGAGCACGACCTCGACGGGGCCGCAGATGGCCCAGAACCAGGCAAAGTTGCGCTCGCTGGCGGCCCAGGAGCCGCCCATGCTGAAGACAGCGGCGAGCGAGGAGACGGGCAGGAAGACGGTGCCAATGACGGCGAGGACGAGCAGAATCTTGTTCTAGACACGCGCGCGGTCCGCCTCCATGACGGTTGTCTCGGCGGTGAGGTGCGCCATGGTGGCCTGCAGGCGCGCGTGCGCCTGCGTCATTCTGTGCTCAAGCGCGGCGAGGTCTGTCTGTAGGTCCGCCGCCACTTGCCGCGTCGCGACGGCCTGCGCCTCGGTCGAGTTGTGCGGCGTACACCAGACGGGACGGCCGCGAAGGCCGGCGGACGCGGCGCTCTGCCGGATCAGCGCGCAGTAGTGGGACATGCGCCGGCGGGCGAAGAAGAGGTCGCGCATGGCCCGGCGGAGGTGCTCGACCGAATGGGAGTCGTCAGTGCCCGCCACCGCGCTGCAGCGCCCACTCGATGGCGTTGAGGACCCGCGTAAAGTAGGTGGCGAGGTGCGCCCACTCGTGGGCCACGAGCCGGTGCAGGTCCTCGACGACGATGAGCGGCGCAGGAACTACGGCACCGGTTGTGTGGAGGCTGTCGTTGTGGCGCATGCACTCAAGGAGTCGGTTCCGCCGGCGAGCGGGTGGCCGCGGTGCCGTAGTACCGGCTGTTGATGACGGCAAACGGAACCTACAAGCGGCACTGCAGTTCCAGAACTCCGGATGCCTATCCAAGAAGATGATGCCTAGCCTCATCAGCATAGGGGCCTCGGGCCGATAGTTTCGGGGGATGTACCAACCCGCCATGGCCGGTCGTGGCGGCTATCGAACCACGCCGTGGCCGAGGTACGCGTAAGTGCTAGCGGCGGAAAAGCGGTCGTCCCCAGCGAGGTCGCGACGCTGGACCGGATTCATCGGACCAAAGTCCCGGTCGTCCCGCCACGTCCCAAACTCCTTGGCCGCCTTCTGGATCATGGCATAGCCAAGTCGCATGGGCTTGTCAAACTGCCGAGCGAGCACGTAGCTAAACGTCAGGTGGCTCTGCTTGGCGAGCACGGACGGTATCTGCAGCACCTTGGGCCGTATTTCGGTAAAGTTGAACGACGGCTGATCCTGGAAGAAGTCGTCGAGGCATTGCAGGAAGGAGGTGTGCTTGTGTGTCGTCACGTACGAGGCCCAAAAGTAGCGCAGCGCAGGGACATCGGGCTGCTCGATGATGAAGACTTGGGGCGTGTCCGTGTCCGGCTCGCCGAGCTGGATATTGGTATGATAGCGAGGGCCAGCATCGGCGAATTCGACATGATGGACGCGTGCTACGGCGGTGAGGACCTGCTCTTCCCATGGCATAAGAAGCCACTTTTGGTCCAAAACTTGTGGAGGTTGGGAAAGTACTCATACTCTTGGGGTGTGAAAATGTGCTTCATGACGGCAGGGCCAGTCATCAGTACTACAGTTGTTTCATAACGTCTCAGTGCAGACGAGAGCTGGCAGAGCCGGGGATTTATTGGCACTGCTCATTTGTGAATTATCATCTTGATAGAGGTTGGCTGAAGTGTGGCTGCTGGGGCTGTTGAGGCTGTTGATATTTTGCTGCAGCCACATAATAACCATTACGGCAGCGTTTTATTTGCTTGTCACGATCTTGGCTCATATGCTTAAGTTTGATGTAACGGTGTTTCGAGAGTGCAGGTGCGGGTTGGGGAGTGGTTGGTGTGTTGAATAAAGCGGTGTCGTCCAGTAAGGCGAAACGGTCATATCGACAGCTTGAGCGACGAGAGTGACTGAATTCCGGCTTGTGCTTGGACACCTGAGACTATCGCGAACGGCGTCAGGAACGGCGGCAACAGGAATGCGATTTGGGTGCTTTTGGGGTGGCGAACAATGATAGCCATTCTGTCGCAAGCGGCGGATCGGCGTCGGTCGGGATGAGGCTGGGCAGGGTGGCCCCGCCAACCACTAGTTGGTGTACTAATAAGTAAACCTCAGCCACTGATAAAAAAAGAAGTCCGTTTGCCGTCCGTCGGTCCAGGAGTCAGGACCAGGCATTCCAGACGATTTGCACACGGCTACCTGATCAAGACAAGACAAGCCGCTAGAACTGATGAGCGCTAGCTTCCAAGGCGAGCACCCACGGAGCAGAAGCTGCGGCAATGTGATGGGCAGTCGAGCAGTGGCTTTGCGGTGGAGCGGATGGTGATGGCGCCAGTTTTGTCACCAGTTTATTGGAGGCCGACAGGCGTGTGGTGCTCTGGGCATTGATTGGCACTCAAGCACTGCATTGGCATCCCTGTTTCGTCAGGGAAATGCAAAAGCAGCACAGGCCAGCAACATGGCAAATCTCCTGCTGGTAGCATGCTGCTGAGTAGTGTAGGATCCAGCTGCCGCTAGGCAAACCTACACAGAAACACGGAGAGCGCAGGAAAAAGCGACGCGTCATGAAGGACGCCAAGTGAGATAAGTGTCTGCTGGTGCAAAGGCTGTGTGGCGGGGCTGTCACAGGCGATTCGTGGGTATTTGGAAGGATTTTCGGGGGATTTCAAGTTGATAAATAGAAGGCGTGGTCCGGGTCGGTCTAGGAAGGTTTTTGCTAGTCGAATGCTTCTTGTCCTGACTTTTTCGACCTTGTTTCAAAGCCTCTCTTTGTGAAACAATCTCTTGTCCTTGTTTCCACCACCTTTGCCTTTTGGCCACGTCAATCGCTACCGGCCACCACCATTGTTGATTGTCGTCCTACCATTCACTATCAAAGTATCATCTGCCAGCAGCCCTGCGTGTTGGTATTCATCGAGCTCCGCACCATCCATCCATCCGATCGCAGCTTTACGAGGCTGGCTCGTATCGGCTTGTCACTTTTCGGCATCGACTTTGGGGGAAACGAAATCTTTGCAAGGCGTGCGTTGCGGGTCGACGACCGGGTTTGAAGACGGCCCCGCCTCCCAGAATACCCAGAGTACCAGCCAGCGCAGACAACAAGCCCCAGCGTACCATCAGTGCCTTGTTCGGTCGGTCCATACCAGCCCAAGAAAACCGGTTACCTGCCCAAACAAATTGGCTCACAGCACGGGTGCATTAGTACCGTTGCCGTCTTGTGCAACGTCGAAAGAAAATCAAGGTACCAGACACCCAGAGTACGAATTCATCTGCATTCTGCAGCCTGTTGCAGCCTGTTGCAGCTTCTTGCAGGACCACATCACGCTAGCAAGCCTGCAAACGACGCCACAAAACTCCGCTTCCGCCTGCCGATACGCTTGCTCCGCTGCTATTATAGGTACCTGGCTTCCTCGCCCGCCAAGCTGTACCTTTCTAGCTGCCCTGATAGGAAGTCAAACAGCTCTGGCACAATAACTCTGGCACATCGCAGACCAGACAATCCAGAGTATTCCTGTTAGACGATTCAAACCCGCCAAGTACGCAGCCGGCGCTTTTCCTCCTCTGCTGTCCATTTTCGGTACCACCTACGGATACAGCTCACTCACATACCTTCCATCCCCATACCGTCCTCTCTCGGCTGCTACGGCGACGGACCCCCCACCCCCCCCAAGAATCACACCTACGTCAGTCAGGTGGCAACTCGCATCGCAACTCCCCCAACATCGTGCCTTTCTTTTCCCCTTCTCCTCCTCCCGTCTCGCCAAACCCATCGCCTTTCATCCATCACCAGCAGCATATTTTCATCAGTTTGCCGCCTCTACCATCTCTCGTCCTGTCTCCCCCCGTTGCCGCCCATCTCTTCTCCATCCGCCATTCAGCCCTGGCATCCCATCTTTTTTCTTCTACGCCGCTGCGGCCCACCTGTTTTCACCAGTGACCCAACCTCCTCCACTTGATCCCAGCAACCTGCTGCTCTCTCGCCAACAGCATCGACTCTGTCCATCCAACAAGTCCCGTCTTCTCCGCTCTCAATCCCACCCAAGGTCAATTCAAAACTTCATACACGCACTCGGGCCTTCCATCGCCCGCCGTTGTATCCTCGATCGCTCGCTTGATCCACTCGTGCCCGACAAGTTTACGACCGCCCCCCTGCTTCTGCCCTGCGACTTGTGGTGGCCCTTGTTGCCCTCCCGTCTCCAGCGCCCTGCGCGCCCATCTCAGCCCAGTTTTCAAATACTCGTCCACCCCCAGCCCGCCGTCATCATGGCTGGTCAACCCGGTCAGCAACATTTCTCCTCCTCGCAGGACCAGCGCCAGCAACCTCCTGCCGGCTTTCAATACTATCAAGAGGAGCGATCCAAACCGCGCAGCTTCAGTGTCGGCTCTGAGCATTCTAAGAAGTCTCACAAGTCCCAAAAGAGCGCCTCTTCCCAAAAGGAATACGAGACATCGGCGGAAAAGGAAACGCATCGTCTTCACTCCAAGGCAGACCCGCTCGTCGCCATGTACGAAGCAGAGCCATGTGAGTAAAAACTGTCTCGACTTCTCTTTCCGACCCTGCTAATTCATTTAAAAGCTATGGTGGCCGCCATGGCTTCCGACACCAACACGGCACCGCTGCGTTCGTTTCAGCACAAGGATCTTCAAGGAAATGTCATTAGTACGTCGCGCTCACCACTCAATCGTCGCGCGCCCGCCTCGCGCCTTCGCCGCCACGATGCTAACACCGTGCAGCTGACCCCGACCGCTCCAATCCCACCCGATCGCGCTGGGAGCGACCGCTCGATACTATTCGTAGTTTTGAAGCAGCCATCAATGGTGGCTATCAGCGTCGCTCCACTGTCCACCGGGATGAAGCGGCCAACTGGAATCGCCGCACCAGCATGTCGACATGTAAGCTCGGCTTGAGTCTCCTCGCCACCCTTTCGCTAACCTCGCTAATAGTCCAACAACCACGCTTCCCTCAAGACAGTTATTATGGCAATAACAGCCGTCCCATCTCATATCGCGACTCCCAAACGGCGCCTAGCACTCGCCGCAACTCGGGCTTCTTTGACGGCCAAGGCTTTCGCCCTCCCCGCAGAGACTATGAGCAACAACACGTCTACCCTCTGCCCAACAAGGACAGATCTTACGAAACTGTGACTTCGGCCGCCGGCAGCGGGCATACGGACCCCGCTGGATATCAAACCGATCCTACAAGTAGTGACAATAGTTCGATCCGGCGAGCGTCCCCGACCAAACGCCAGGAACCCATCAACGACTATGGCATCGGCTTTGCCCACCCGCAATCCAATCTTGGTTTCACCCAACCACAACAACAGGCGCATCCGCTACCCCCGGCACCTGTGGCGGGCCACGAGCCAGTGCCGCCTCCCGTTCCGCGCAAAGGCAGCTTTTTGAAGCGGCAGCCTACTCAAGAGAAGAGGAAGAGTTGGCTGTCGCGCCGCTTTAGCAAGAACTAATATTAATGCGTAATGTGCATGGTCGGCGTTGGTAGCGTACTAGTTGAATTATTGGAATTATTCTTTGATTTACGCGGCTTAATTTACCATTTTTTGCGGCGTTGTGGACTGTTGACTAGGCGTTGCCTTACTCGAGTCGTTGCTCTTGCTCATGACACTTGACCATAAGTCTTGGTTAGAATACATTAGACTCCGTACTTACCGTTACTATTGTGATTTGTCTCGCCATTGATACGTGAATTTGTCTCGGCTTTGGCCTTGGCATTCCATTGTTGCATCCATCACTTTTGACAACGCAGCAATTTCATTTCTTCTCTGCCATCTTCATTATCGCCATTGCATTAATCTTCGCGCCCTAGCTATTGACGGATTCTATCCTTCGCATTGCCCTCGCCGATAATAATTTTATTGCCCTCGCTTTTGATTACTCATTCATCCTTCTTCGCTTTGGCCTTGGCCTTAATGTTCTCTGAATCGTCTTCATTCATAGCCACAATAACGTAACCCAACAACACCACATTGGCCAACAACGCCGCAAACCCCCCTGCCCATGAAGAGTTGCCTAAAAAGTCAGCATGCCTCCTACCTCGACAGCCCAACGCCGTACCTTGAAAAATTGTATGCACAGTCAGGAAGTAGGAGCCGATTGGCAGCACAATCATGGCAAATGTAAACCCCAGTAGCTTCAGAATGACGTGTCTAGGCAAGTTAGTAACTGCGGCCTCGTCGCAACAAAGGCCATCGCGCGTACTGTGGCACTGCAGGGCTAATATTGCTCTTCTCATTTTCCGTATCGTCCTTTTCCAGGATTGTCCTCTCGGACGCGTTGATTCGTCTCGTGGCCATTGCGTTGATGAATGGAGAATTGGCAGTGCAGGTATAGTTACGGGACCCTTCCCGCCATTGCAGCGCTTTCTGGTTAAAGTGAACACGTGACTTCGTGATGACATCGCGCGCCAAAAAGTCGCGGGTCAGTTGGTTGTGAATTTTCACCTGCCCAACGGGGGATCTGCTCTTCAAACACAGGCACTCCGCCAATTTCGGCTGCCTCGCCTTTGAGAAGCCCTCAATCATGGCAAATTCTTCTCCCCTGCTGCCAATTCGGCAGCTCGTCAGCGCCCGCACGCCCGACCGTGGTGAGCAGGACACCATCCCCTGCAGCCCGGGCGCCCTGATGATGATGCGCACCACGACGACGCAGCCCACGCAGATCCTGCCGCCCAGCTCCTCGCCGAGGAGCATCGTCGAGGTGCCCGCGTCGTCGCCGTTTCAGAAGCCGCAGCAAAAGCCCATCGTCTCGCGGCTAGCGCCCGCCGGCACCGTTTTCCGGCCACCGCAACGGCCACGCCGACCGTCGCCGTCGCCGAAGCGCGCCCACCCGGCCACCACCATCTCGCTGCTCTCTGACGATGAGGACGACGACGGAGGCGGCCTGCAGCTGCCGAGGGGGGACATCAGGCCGACAGACTTCAAAGCGCACGTATCCGCCTTCGCCTATAAGCCGAGGGCGGAGGATGAATCGCGGCGAATGAGGCTGAAGCAAATATACGACGTGTTCGGCGAGAGGGTGACACCAGAGCAGGCCCGCGAGGCGCTGCGTGCGTGCGACAATGACTTGGACGACGCCATACAGCACCTAGAAGACCTAACCAGGAGGAAGAAGAGGCGGCTAGTGCAGGGGCGGCGCCCAAGCCTGGTGTCGCCTAAGGAGTCGTCAGCTCCTACGCCAACATCGTCCCCTCCAGAATCACCTCCTCCAAAGTCTTCCTATCCAAAATCTTCCTTACAACAAGCGCCTCGGTCAAAGTTATCTTCGCAAAAGGCGTCGCGACCAAAGCCACCACCGCCAAGCCAGGAAGTGATTTTAATAGAGGATGACGGGGACGATTACCAGGAAGAGGGGGAATTGGTAGCGGATGAGAATGACCGAGTCTTGGAATCAATCAACAACAGCACACTACAGGAACTGGCTGCCATGACTGGCATGAAGGAAAACTTGTTGGAACCCATCATTGATCATCGACCATTTGCTGACTTATACGCTGCTCGGAAACTCACCATCAAAAGGCCAGGATCCCGGAAGGGAGCGCGGGTCAGCATCGGCGAGACTGTTGTTGACGCCGTGCAAATTTTCCTAGATGCCGTGACCGCCATTGACGAGGTAGTCGCCACATGTGAGGCCAAGGCGCGCACCGTCAAAAGCGTCATGGACACATGGGATCTCGACTACTTTGGGCACTCGAAGAGCAGGAAAACTCCCGACGAAGGGGCACCTCTTACGCCCAACAGCGCAACCAGTTTTGTGCCGCCGCTGGTGCCGCAACAGCCCACCCTCATGGACGGCCACTGTCGCATGAAGCCGTTTCAGCTCTTCGGGCTAAACTGGATGACACTTCTCAATAATTACGGAATTGGCTGCATTCTTGCTGACGAAATGGGTCTGGGAAAGACTTGCCAAGTTATTTCATTTATATGCCAGCTCGTGGAAACGGCAAACGGGGAGCGACTTTGGCCGAACTTGGTCGTCGTGCCACCAAGCACATACAACAACTGGCTGGGCGAATTCGAAAAGTTTGCACCCGGACTCTCCGTGATTGGATACCGCGGATCGCAGTCGGAACGCGCCGAAATTGCCTACGAAATTGAGCAGGATCTCGACGCATATCACATCGTACTAGCCACGTACTCGCAAATCAATTCAGAAGCCGATCTTGAAGCCATGCAGTCGTTTTGCCTCAACGCTGCGATCTTTGACGAGGGACACAAGATGAAGAACCCGGATACAAAAGGATACAAGGACCTGCGCCGCATACCTGCGGCGTGGAAGATGCTACTCACTGGAACACCTGTTCAAAACAACTTGCTTGAAATGACGTCGCTCCTCAACTTTATCAACCCGCAAATGTTTGACGGGTACATGCAACATATTCAATATATCTTCAGCCAAAAGGTAACGGTACGCGACGTTTCCAACGGCGCGTTTCTATACAGCGAGCGAGTTAAGCGTGCTCGCACGATTCTGGAACCATTTATCCTCCAGCGCCGCAAGGACCAGGTGCTGTCAGACATGCCGCGCAAGATTTCCCGGGTGGTGCACTGCGACATGACAGAAGACCAAAAACCAATATATGCCGAGTACGAGGAGCTTTTCAAAACGGCTCCTTCGGAGCGCAAATCGAGCGGTCGCCAAAACGACCAGAACAACGTGTGGATGCAGCTGCGCAAGGCCGCCCTTCATCCGTTACTCTTTCGTCGGCATTTTACGGACCAGGCTGTCACCAAAATGGCCAAGGTATTAATGGACCGCATTCCTCAGTCTGAGCTGCATCAGCCCGACATCAAACACTTGATCCAGGAGCTGAAGAACGCGTCCGACTTTGAGCTACACTTGTGGTGCCGCGACTACCCGTTTCTGAAGGAGTTTGACGTTTCGGAGTCATCGCAGCTAAACAGCGGCAAGGTCAAAAAGCTGCTGGAGCTAATCCGGCAGTACCAGGCCAACGGCGACCGCGTCCTCGTCTTCTCCAAGTTCTCGCGGCTCATCGAGCTGCTGCAGGAGGTGCTTGCGAACCAGGGCATCAACCACCGGGTTCTGACGGGCAGCACGAGCGTGGCGGAGCGGCAGGACCTGATTGACGAGTTCAACCAGGACGCGGGCATCCTGGTGTTCCTGCTGACGACGGGCGCGGGCGGCACGGGCATCAACCTGACGGCGGCCAACAAGGTGGTCATCTTTGACCAGTCGGACAACCCGCAGGACGACATCCAGGCGGAAAACCGGGCGCACCGGCTGGGCCAGACGCGCGACGTCGAGGTGCTCCGGCTGGTGGCGGCGGGGACGGTCGAGGAGCTGATCCACGAGGCGTGCAGAAAGAAGATTGAGCTGGCGAACAGGGTCACTGGCGGGGAGGCTGCAGGCGAGGAGCAAGGGGCGGAGACGTTGGAGACGGAGGTGCGGCGGATGATGAAGACGCAGTAAAGGAAAGGGAAAGTGGTTGCTGCAGCAGTTGCTGTTTGTGCTAACAAGGATATCATGAAGATGATGGACCATTGATTGTTGCTGGTAGAGCAACACTATTGCATTTTTGCTCTTGTTGGCTAGGTCACATTACTAGAGTTACAAGCTAGGGAGCATTGTATGAGAGCATTGCATGGCTATATAATACACGAGGCTAGAATTGCATTTGAGACGGACAGAGCTCGGATATGGTGGGTGCCTGATGTGTAGCCAAGTTGACACAGCTACAGTCTTGAGTCCAGAAAATTAAAAGATGGTAATTTACATAAATCACTGGAATAGCTGAAATTATTCCAGCCATAATTAAAGTAATGTCTAACTTCATCATATAATTCTAAAAGGAACCCCATGTTAAAACCGCTGAAAGACATACATGTAGTATGTACAAACGCTCCCTGGTGGAGTGGGCACCTGGCAACTTGGACTCTTGCATCACACCAAACCACCATCCTATCTTGGCGACGCCCAAACCGCCATCTTCAAACATTGGCGACGATGGGCCTCTCAATAGGCACCCTCTTCCAGCTACGCCTACGACTATGGTTCGGTAGGCTCATTTTCGGGCACGAACTCGGACCCTCGGTCGTTCGCGTCAGTTGGCACCGCCTCATCAAGGGGCCCGTCGTCCCGTGCGATATTGAGGCCATGGAGTACGTCGCGACGCACACGTCCATCCCCATAGCCAAAATCTACAACCGGCTGCAGTAACCCAATTGCCCCGCGAAATGATTCGCTGTGAGGAAACCAGGATGTGGCTAGGGCCCTGCAGCATCGACACCACCTTCAATTGCGAACCATTTAGACCTCGGGGCTGCCAGCGACCAGATACCAGGAGACAGTACGCCGATGGAGGGCTACCTCGCAGGCAGTCTCGTCGTTGGAAGGGGAAGCTTGCGAGGGCGCCTAAAATGAGGGGCTAAAAAACTTCGTCTTCTATCGGCCGTCGTCCGTCTTCCACCAGCCTTCAATCGAACCTCACTTTCCCTTTCCAAACATGGACTGGTTCCTCGACGCAAAGGGCTTGTCCAGCCCACGGGTCGACCCGTTGTCCAGCACCCAGCTCCTCGGCCAGTTGGTCATCGGTGAGCTGCCCGCCGACGTGACGCCTGAGGCGGTGCACGCCTTATTTGAGACCGTGCCGCTGCCGGTCAAGAAGACGCACCCGCAGCAGAGCTGCGTGACGTGGGTCCTGGACGCCGTCGAGCGCCTTCAAGAAAGGGGCTGGGCGCGCCTTTTTGACGTTGAGAAGACGAAGGAGGACGCGCTCGCGTATGCCGACAACCGGAACTGGCCTAGTACTGAGCCAGAGATCAAGCACTATGGTCTCAGCGCTGATGAAGCGCAAACAACTGTCGTCTAGGTACTCAAAATAAGAAGGCAGTGCTCCGCTCTGTCTTGCGGGTTTCAAATCCGGGAATCGTGCTCCTGGTCAGTGATATAATTAGCTCATAACCTGGTTCAGTTAAGATGCTGGCGGATGTCATCGCAAGTCAGTGGAACAGCCACCATACCCAACTGGTAAGCGCCAGCTTCATGGCGTCGTGACCCGCCGCCGTCGCTGGCCAGCACCTGGGGAAAACCTAACCAGTCTTGGAGATCCCGGCTGCCTAACTAGTAGTTAGGTAGCTAACTAAAGTTGCTCGTTCATACACCCCACCCCTTTTGCCCGCTGCCAAGGGACAAGTCGATTACTGCTGGGCACTGCATCATAGTATGTCGAGAGTACTGTACTGTATTGGTACTGTGGGGTCCAACGGCTGACCCGCTAACGAACTTGATCAGATCAGTCAGTGCAGCTCCCCACGACTGCCTCTTGGCGTGAATGTTTCCCTCGCACCTTCCTTCTTTTCTTCCTTCAACACCCTACAAACGCGTAATACTATGTACATCAGGCAAGTAACAGCTTTCGCTGAACCCGACCAATTGTCGAATCTCGTTCCTGCGGCGCGAGCAACTACCTAAGGCATACATACCTATCTATGTATGTACTTCCTTATGCACCGTTCTTATCCTTGACCTTTCACCCCTTGTCGTACGAGCTTGTTACTCTCCAACAATGTCCTCGTGTACCCAGCTATGTAGACCCAGAAGCATCGTATTTTATGCTATTTAAATGACACTTTACATTGTTCTTGAGCATTTCCCATGAATCTCGCTGTATTACAACCCGCTCTCCCATTCATTCTGTACTGTGGTTACACACTCAGCGCTGTGGATCTATTTCATGCAGCAGGCAACCGCAGCCATAACCTCGCTCTCACCTTCTCACCCAAACCCCTCCTCGACCCCCTCATCCCCTCATACCTGGCTCATCACCTGGATTAAAAATCTTCATTCATCTCCCATCCAGAAAGAATGTTAGTCACGCTCGCCCTCTACCACCGTGACACCCTCTCGCGAGGCAACTCTCGTCGCATCTTTGGATACGAGGCCTACCACTGGGGTCTCCTGCTCATGTCCTCCTCCTCCTCCTCCTCCTCCACAACCGCCGCCACCCCCCCAGACTCCCCCCTCTACTCCTTTGACGCGACCGACGCCTCTGACATCGACCCCGTCACCTTTCGCCTGCGCAACCCGTCCATGGACTGGTGGCTGCGCGCCGAGGCGCCCCCAGCCCCCAACCCCAAGCTCATCGGCCAGCTCGTCGTAGGGACTATTGCGGCTGATGCCTTACCCAACGACACCGCTGCCGAGGACAACGAGTTCCAGCGGCTCAGGGCCTTCTTCCAGACGGTCCCGCTGCCCGTCAAGAACACACACCCGCAGCAGAGCTGCGTGACGTGGGCGGTCGCGGCGCTCGCTGAGATGCAGACCCGCGGGTGGGTGCGCCCGGATGTCGACCTCCCAGCCTTCCAGGACGCCGCGCTGGCCTACGCCGATGCGAGGATGGGCGAAAACGCCACGGAGCCACCCGTCAAGGAGTATTTCGCATAACAGCTTCCCTTGCCGTTCGCGGGGGGGACGCAATCGTCCGAGCCCATCAGGATCTGCAGCGGCTTATCTTGATAAGGCGGCCCCCCCAACATCCTCGGCCGCGGAGAACCGTTATCTTTACCGACGGACTCACCCAATTGTGAACCGTTGCATCGGTACCTCTATCTGGGGGAGGGTTCATACTACGACAATGTCAAGGGTGCGGGACTTGCATCTTGGCAGCTTTCGGTAACATTGGCAGCGTCTTCAGTCTCTGCCGTTTGATAGCACGGCCCTTGACCTTTCCAAGACATTTTCCCATCCGCCCAATTAGGTTGCCTGCGTATCAAAGATAAGTCGCAAAATACATGAGTGATGCCGGATCGCTCATGATAAGGAGAACAGGCGGGAAGGGGATACGGGAAGGGGGTCGTGGTATAAAGAGGCGTCTAGGCCCCTGCATCGAAACAGCGGACCGAATCGACGACATATTACAACAGAAGAAGGCATCAGACAGTCACATTCAAGGTATAAAAAGCTTTCTTTTTCCTCTTTTCTCTTGGCTTCTCTTTTCCTCTCTTTTTTCTTTACAGGAAAATGGCGGAAGCAATGTTCACCGCCGCGCAAGGCGTCCACGTCCTCGGCGAGATGGGCCAACGCAAAGCCACGATGGCGCCGCATCGCGTCTTCCTCAGCGGCGCATCGGCAGGTGCCTTGCTCGCGTTTGCATGTGGCACGGTACTCATAGCCAACGCCGCTCCGTGGATGCAGGAGAACGCACCTGGGCTCATCCGCATCATCGCCAGCCTGGTGTTTCCCTATGGGCTGGTCCTGATTATGCTCACCGGTGTTGATCTCTGCACGGCATCATTTATGGTATGCTTCTCTCTCTCTCTCTCTCTCTCTCTCTCTCTCTCTCTCTCTCTCTCTTACACACACACATACACGCACACACACACAATTAATCTCCCAATCCTTCCCTACCCTCACTTTTTACATGCTTCCACATCGAGCGAAGCGAGGCTAACAAAACTCAGGTCACCACGCTCGCCACTCTCCAGCGGCGGATCCCCTGGTGGCGGATGCTCTCCCACTGGACCCTGACCTTCCTCGGCAACCTCGCCGGCTCGCTGCTCGTCGCCGCGCTGCTCCTCGACCACGGCGGCGTTTTCGCCACCGAGCCGTTCCGCTCCGCCGCCATCTCGCTCGCCGTCAAGAAGCAGGTCTCCCCGGAGTGGTACCAGATCTTCCTGCGCGGCATCGGCTGCAACTGGCTCGTGTGCCTCGCCGTGTACGCGGGCGTGCAGGCGCGCGACGTCACCGGCAAGACGGTCGGCATGTGGTGGCCGGTCTTTGCGTTTGTGTCGCTGGGCTTCGACCACGTCGTCGCCAACATGACGTTTATCCCCGTCGGCATCGCGCTCGGTGCGCCGGGGCTAAGCGTGGGCTTGTACATCTGGAAGGGCGTCATACCGGTGCTGCTGGGAAACATTATCGGCGGTGGACTATTTTGTGGTAAGTTTCCTGTGTATCTGAGCTGTTCTTGGATGTATTCGGTTGTCCCCGAATGCGCTAGCTATGCTGGCTGTGTCTGGGCATGATTTTTTCTGATTTCGATCGATGACGAATTCCTTACTGACGATCATCTAGGCTGCTTCTACTGGTACATGTACTCGCTAGAGATGGAGGAATTATCGCCGATGGGCTCAATCTTAGGCAAGTAGGGTATAAAAGCAGGCATCACAATTACGTTGGCGTGAATGGGCAGTGCCCTGGTCTCTATGTAAACTGAGCCCGATGCCGCTTGAAAATGAGCGACGTCGACATCGTAATTCCTTGGGCTACGTCAGAGCCGTACCCGGGTTTACGGCGGGCGATCCATTCGTCATGGAGGCCGTTGCGATTTAGACCCTGAACATGTGGCGGACAGTTGCCCACGTTTTTGGGGCATTGGTCATTAACGCGTGGTAGACGCGTGGAGACGCGTCGCTAACGCGTATAGTGATGATGTAATTCACCTGTCAGCTTCCAGCGCCGAGAAGTGAGCGCCGAACCCAAAAAAAAACCTATGTATATAGATATATATATATCCAGTATAGGGCAAAGTTGTCAGCCGAGTCAGCAAGGCTATACGCGAGAGCAAAAGGTCGGAGAGGTAAAGAAAGAAACAGATGATGACGCGGGTACAACTCGCGCCGCGCCGCGCACAGGAATGTTGGTTCGCGACAGGAATGCGATGGGAAGCTGACCACATGGACTAGCTCGCACCAATGTGTCGTTTTGACTCAAGGGTTTCTCCGTCTGACGTTTTTAGCCTTTTTAGTCGGCAAAGACAGTTGGGTTGCGGTGAGCAGGGGATAGTATGCGGTGAGTCCGGGGCAGTATGCGGTGTGTCCGGGCAGAAGTGTCGGTTGACAACCTCCGAGCTGGCATATGCAAAGCACAGCTTTGCTCATGCGAGTAAACGGTAAAGTCTTGCAACAGGGGGCGGCAAAGACGAAGAGAGATCTGGCGACCTGGCAACGGGGAAGGAAAAAAGGGAAGAAGGGCAGGGGTGGGGAGATCAAGGGCGGATACTGCAGGGCTGCTCGGGCGAACTGGTTCGTCACTTTTTTTTTTTTTTTTTTTTTTTTTTTTTGTGGGGGG